GCTCCAAAGCTACACAGAGAAACCCTGTCTCGAAAAACCAAAAAAAAAAAAAATAAAAAAAATAAATAAATAAAAGAAAAATAATCTGAGTATAGTCTAACTTAAAAAAAATGACATTTATTTATTTATTGTATGTTGGACCCCAAAGTTTAGGGTCTCAAGTGGGCGCCCCAAGAACCCAGACTCTAGTGCAGTTGATGCAATAGCACGAGGATTTTTATTGGCTTCTGTACAGAAGGGCTCCTCTGCTCCCAAGAGCAAGAGTCGCATCTTACTGCAGCCCCATGGGGGCTTTTAAAGGAAAAACCCACAAAAGCCCTAAGATAACAATTCCCATACAATTTCGTTTCACAAGATCATGGTCTGATCACAGAGTGATCACAGAGAGGGTACAGTCACATCAACATGTACATTCTTCCTGAAACCTCAAGGGGGGTATCATGGCGGGAGTGGAGTAGTTTACACAAAGGTCACAGTGGTCCTTCCTGGAACACTTGCAACTATCCCAGTCACAGTTGAGCACATTTCGTAACAGAAATCTTTTTACATTGTTACATTGTTACAGGGGTGATTGAGTAGTGGCTGAGTCAGGTGGCCCTTGGAACTAGTTTTTAGTTTCTCATTTCCTGGTGCTTGAAGTTTCTCTTTTCCTGAGGCTTGGGGGTGTAAGCCTGAAGGGCTAGGGTCTTTCATTGTATATGTATATGGGTGTGTGCGCATGCATGTTAGCTCATGTCTGTGGAGGTCAGAAGGCAGCTCTGAGGAGTTTTTGCTGTCCTTCCACCATGCGTTCCAGAGATGGATCCACGTTGTCAGGCTGTCTTGCGAATACCTTTACTTGCTGAGCCATCTTAGCATCCCACTCTGTAATTGTATAAATGAAGGAGCTGAGACTCACGCAGAGAAGTTAGGTTTTGTTGACAACAGACTTGATCAGTCCTCAGATGTAACTAGAATGAAATTTGACCATAAATCTGTTGCTTTCATGTTAATTATATTATGTAGCCTATCTTTTTTTTTTTTTTGCTCATAATCTCCTGTTAATGTTCTAAGTCTAATACTTAGGTTTTTTTTTTTTTTTTTCTTGTGGCTTTTTTCGCAGATTATCAGCTAATACCAATCTTGTGATTTATGTCAGAATTCGTTTTAGAGGGAGTTTGTGAAAGGGGGCTGAACTACAATACTGACACATGAGCCAGAGATACTGAGCTGTCCTGAAAAGGTTCCTGTCTTTTCTGACCTAGATAAAACAGCTTTCTAACCTGATGAGGGATGCAGGAAAGGAGAGTAAGTGCTGGCAAGAGCTGGAAGTTAAGTTGGATTATTGAAGAGTCTAATATATTTTGTAATACTCAGTAATTTTGTGTAACCTAAACCTTATTTTGATGTCGAAAATACTTTGCCAAAGTGCAAACAAAACTTCTATTTTCTTTTAAATTGCTAGTTTTTTTTAACCTTATTGGGTATTGATTGCTAGATTGCACCTCTCAGGTCATTTTTTGCCAACCTGCCTAATTAAGAGAAATATTTGTGTTTATTCCATCTTCAGGTAGTTTCTTTGTCATGCTGTTCTGCAGAACACCCAGCAGAAGAATTTTGAGAATTAAATTCTGTCGGCTTGTTTACCAGGGGTGTTGGTTTACCCTTCTGGGATAAGTGTGCTGCATTGGGTGCAGGAGACAGGAAACACTAAACTGTTTGTTGACACCCCCACCCCACCCCTTTTTCCTTTTGGTCAGAATTTTCACAGGATCTGGAAATTCTAAAGACAGTCTGATGACTTGTATCCCAGCTTTTCAGTGAGAAGAAAATCAACAGCTGCTGTGGTTCACACAGTTGAGTTGCTGTTCTATGCTTGGGCGTGGTTTAAAGGAAAAGATGTCAAGTTGAACTTTTACAGATTATTGTGCAAAAATTAAATCCCTGGTTGCATGGATGGTTCTGCCAGTACCACACTGTGATTGTAGAAAAGTCATCAAACATGTTTGGCTATCTGTGCTTTCATGCTATAAAATAAATTTATACCATTTGTTCTTTTTTTTTTCACTACTTCTCAGGACTGTTGTGGGCATTAAATGCAGTGCCATATAAGAAAATACTTAGAGAAATTCTAATTTTTCCTTTGTACCAGTAACTGTTATAGGTATAGAAAACAAGTAAACAGTAACGCTTTCAAGTACCACTGATACATCTGTTTGAGAATAATACAGCAGGTGTGTTTTGACGGGTATTCTATTGTCTGTAGACTGATAAGGATTGATCAGATTGTGACATTTGAATGCATTCCTGAAACACATTTTTGAAACAATGGGGGAAGGAGTTACATGGATATGAAGGGTAAACTACTAGCAAGATAGAAGTTCCCGAGTATGGACCTTAAGCAGATATTCCGGTGTGGATCTAACAGCAAGTGTAGACAGTGACAGAAGAGGCCAAGAAGTGGGAATCAGATCATTGGAGATTTATATCCTTAATTATTAACAAATGCTTACTGAGACACGCAAAGATTTGAGATTTTAAAAAAAGCAACTCTGTGCTGTTTCTGAGAACAAATACTATAATGGGAGGGACTTAAGACATGTTGGAACCAATAGTATAGTGCAGATGAAGGATTTTGTTGGTTCAGACTTATGGAAGATAGGATTGATCAGATTTTAGACAGCCAGAAGCTAAAGATGAAAGGATTTGTTGATGGAAGAGAGGAGTTTGGCCTGAGCAGTTAGAGGGATGGAGTTTTTGAGTAGAGGGATGAGAAAGAGGAAAAGAGGGAGGGGGGAAGGGTAGTTGGGATTGGAGGAGTGGGCTATGTATATGTTTATAGTTGATTGAAACATTAAACTAGGCATCCAGGTTTCTGTGTTTCTATAATAAGTCTGGAACTTGGGGGTTGATAGAAATCTAGGAATCTGTAATGTACTAACAACATCTACAGGAGTGTAGTTGCTGAGTTCTGAGGTACTCCAGCACTTAGAGGTTTTAGAGAAAGGGAGACAATGTGTTGGGGCTGGGTCTTGCAATAAAGGGGGAAAGACTATCAAAGTCTATTAAACCAGAAGCAAACTTTATTCCAGAAAAATAAAAAATAAAATTAAAAAATAAAACACTTCGGGGTACAAAAGCTTGTCAGCTAGCTGAGACCCCAGCCAATGTTGGAATTCCGAGGCTGTGGCAGTTGGAGGGGGACTATGGGTCTCTTTTTATAGTAAAGGGTAAACATGAGACATAGACAAAGGAATTTTTACAGTTTTGAAGTTAAACTTTTAGAGACAAATTGTTTTAGGTTTTTATAATATTTTTATTAACAAAGTTTTAGGGGTTTTTAGCTAAACAGTATTTGTATATCCCTGCAGTCTTTCTTTACACAGCTAATTGATGTTTGTCCAAACCTGCAGCTTCTCCTGACATAGCTGGGTTCCCATAGCGGGGAATACGAAACAAGGCAAGGCAGGTTGTCACGTGGAACTCATTAAAAGTGAACTTTGGTTTCAGTAGTGAGTGGGAGGCGGGTATTGAGAATAGCTAATCCCAGGGCTGCAAAAGGGCAATCTTTAGTAAAAAAACTAACATTTGGGTTGCTGACAGAGCTGCCCATCGTAAAACATGGAGGGGCCCAGTTAAAGGTTAATCCTTTTTTTTTGTTAGCAAAAATGATGACTGTCAGTTTCCATTCCTTAAGTTTATAATTTTATATTTCTATATCCCTGGACCCTCCAAATACAGTAATTTATAAAGTTGGGTGAGAATAGAGAGACCAGTGTCTTGGATGGAAGCCAAGGGAAGTAAAGTGGAGCAAGTAAGGAACACCTGTTGCTGAAACGTCAACTAAGAGAATGAAATCATTTACAGCATTTACAGTATGTAGATTCTAGGAGATTGTGACCAGGCCTGTTTTCAGAAGTACTCTGGGGTGGATTTTAGAGGAAAATGGAAGGAGAAAAAAAAAAAAAAGGTCAACCAAAAGTGTAAAATTGTGCCCTTAAAAGAGGAACATAAAAACGTGTTTGTAGCTATAGCCATGCAAGAGGTCAAAGGCTTGTGAAATTTTCTTTCTAAAGATGGGTGTAGCTATAATGTAGGGCTGCTGATAGAAGAAAATGGTCCAATAGAATGGAGGGAATTATGATACAGATGACAGGAGCTTGTGAGTAGACACAAAGGGATAGGAACTAGTAGGGTTGAAGTTCAGAGGTTTATATTATATAGGAGTGGAGATGGTTCATTCATAATACTAGGAAAGAAGGAAAAATACATGGTATAAAATGCACTAGTGTAGGGGCACGTTGCATGAAATAGGAAGCAGGGTGACTTGTCAAATGTGAGGAGGTAGGAAAAAAGTTTACATGTTCAAGAGAAGATGTGAAGAAATGAAGAGTGAGAAAGTTGAGCTATACAAGACCCACATAGTAGATGGGGAGAACCAATTCTTGGCTTTCACATGTATCCTGTGGCATATGCACACCTTCCTTTCCCCCTTTACATGAAGTAAATAAAAATGTAATAAAAAAATGTAATAAAAAATTAGGATTCTTATTTGCCTCTTAGCTGGGACAGTCCTTGAACACTGAAGCACACCTAGAGCCTTAGGTTGCTGGTAACCGCCAGGGATCTTGTTTTTCCAAATGCTAGGACATCATAATAGGAAATAGCATTTTCTAAAAAAAAAAAAAAAAAAAAAAAAAAAAAAAAAAAAAGGTGTGTGTTTTTGTGCACATGCATGTGTGTGTGTGTGCCTGTGGAGGCCAGAAGATGGATGGCCTGGAGTTCTCTGGAGCTTACAGGTGGGGGTGAGCTGCCTGATGCAGGTGCAGGGATCTGAATTCCTCCCCTTTAAGCTTAGTACTTGGGTCTCTCTAGCCACAGATTCAGCATTTTAAAGCCCCCCCAAGGGTGTAGCACCACCTTTATTTGAGGGAGCTCTTCCTTGTTGAGTCTTTGAAGGTTAAAGCTGTTGATAAAAAAGATTAGCTTGCTGCTGACACTTGTGCCTCTCCTGTTTTCAGCTGCCCAAGGTTACTGGCGTTGGAGCCAAGAGGATTGGATTTAACCAGGGCTGCTATTTTGTCAGGTGAGGAAAGGAATTGCTGATGTGAACTGCAAATGATAGATTGCAAAATTTGAATTAGGTAAAATTAGATAAAAGTGAGGGTCTGAAAAGGAGGAGGAACTGTGAAAAAATGGTAGTCAGGTTAGGCTGTAGGTCCTGGCCTGGTGAAGAGTAGTTATCTAAAATAGGAGAGAAAATGAGATCTGCAGAGGACAGGAATATAAAGTAACAGGCCAGACTTTTAGAACCACTTTTGTGGTTATTAAAATCCAAAGATTGGTGACAGAAATAGGGTTGAACATCTATCAGTGAATCACTAAATATTATCCTAGGGCAGTGAGAAGAACTTTCGAGACAGGGTTTGTGTAGCTTTCTCTGTAGACAAGGCTGGCCTCCAACTCAGAGATCCACAGGCTTCTGCCTCCCCAAGGGCTGGGATTAAAGGTGTGTGCCACCATTCCCGGATTGTTAGTCTATGTGCACTTGTTCATGTGTGCACAGCATGTGGGAATTGCTTTCCTTCTTTTACTCTGTGGGTCCTAGAGATTGAACTCACTGGCCAGCCCGCTTAGTTTAATCAGTGATTTCCAGGCCAAGACCCTATTTCCAAAGGGGGGAACCCCGCCCCCCAAAACACAAACAACAACAAAATATGTGGACATGGACAGTATCTGAAGGAAGGGCATTTGTCCCCTTGCTTCCACATGCATGTGGACACACACATGAATGCCTGCACACACACACAGCCTCCTCTTTGTCTCCTCAGTGCTGAGTGGGTTAGTAGAGTGCACTACTTCACTGGCTTGCAGTTTATTTTTTACTTTTTTAGTTTCAAGGCCAAAATTTTAACCACTAAATTGACTATTTTTAAAAAAAGATAAACTCTGAAAAACATTTCATGATTTCTTCCTGGCTACTTAGATTGTACTAAATATAACTTGACTTAAAATATTTAAAAAATTACTTAGTTTTGCTTGCATGTATCGTGATCATATGTGGTGCCCATGGAGGCCAGAAGAGTGCACTGGATCCCCTGGAACTAGAGCTGTAGATGGTTATGAGCTGCTTTATGGGCGCTGGGAATTGAACCCAGATCCTTTGGAAGAACAGCCAGTGCCCTTATCTGCCAAGCCATCTCGTCCCTCCTAACCCCATTTCTCCTTTTTTCCTCTTAAAATTAGATTGACAAAGTGAGACAAAAGCCTTGGGCTGTGACTTAGATTCTTTCAAATGTGCCCAACCTTTGACTTTGTGACATGATGATGTTGTTTACAAAGTTCATGCTTGAAAAAAAAAAAAACCCACACTGTTGAGTTATGAAAAAAGTTCACAAAAATTTAATGTTTTAAGTAAGCTTATAATTGTGTGTTGGACTGTAATTGTAGCTGTCACTGGCTGCATGTGACCCATGTTGGACCTGCCTGTAAGACATGATGTACATGCCTTATATCTGGTTAGTAGTGCGACCTTAATTTTTTATTCTATTCATTTGTAAACAGTGTGAAGTTGAGTGAGATTTATGAGTTCATTTATAGCCACTCCCCAGATCTGTAGACACTGCTTTTATTATGAATTACTGTATATGTTGTTACACTGTGAAGTTGTCAGAGGTTCTTGTGTGTGTAGAGGAGTTGTTCTCTGTGCAAACCTTGACCAAGTCAGGGTTCCTTTGAAATATCAGAATTTTCTTGTCATGTTGATCTTGCTTTTTTTGCTTTCAGTCTTCTTCCTTAATTTTGTTGGCTTAATAGCTTCACCCTTTTATGTTTTTGGTTGTGAACCTAGCTTTTACTTGGTGAGCCATCTCTCCAGCCTGTGGACTTTGTGTTCTTACTGAACATAAAGCAATCTTTGTAGCTACTGGATTCACAGCTACATAGTGAATGGTTGGCTCCCTTAGAATAAGATAGTGTTGAGAATGGGAGGTGCTGAAGACTACATGGATGTTAAAGATTTAGTGAAAAGAGCATTTTTGAGGTAACCTCTTTCCAAGAAATGTTTTAGTACTGCTTGTGCAATCTCTTCTTCATATGATATGTGCAGTAATCACACTTTTATTTGAACTTGTCATGTGTGTGTCTGTGTCTGTTTCTGTCAAAATTTCTTTTATTTCAGGGAGATTTTGTGAAACAGGGAGGTTGGTTGAAAGATAGGAATAGTTATGAATGTAGGTCATAGCAGAGTGCCATTTGAATTCAGTTTTAGGTCTGTGTTTTCATGTAAATATTAAGTGGCGTTAAATGTCTTTAAGAGAGCAACTATAATAATATTAAGAACCTATTACTGACAGTAATACTGAGAGGGTTTTCATATTTGAAGCAAACTTAAAGACTACTGTTTAGATGAAGACGAAGCTATTTCTTTTGCATTTTCTGTAGCTTTCTTATTCTGATAGCTGCATTGTTAAAGCCTGGGATCTGTCTTGACCTAGCCCTTGTTTGTTTATATAGCTGGGGCATATTCTACACATACACTCAGAACTTATTTTTTTCTTACCTGTAGTAAAATAAAACCTCATGAACTAACATGGGTAGCAGAGTGATTATTAAGGCTTCTGGCAGGTAATCCAGGGGAGTGGAGAGTGAATATCCAGGAGTAATGAAGTAATGAAGCCAAACTCTAGTGGGGTTTCAAGTCTGGGGCATGAATATATACACGTCAAGGGAATGCTTGAGTTTATGGTTTTGTGCCCCCCACCCCACCCCAGTCTCTTTAAGGAGTTAAGGCACAGAGCCAGAAGAGTATTCTGAATTTTAGTCCTAAAAACAAAAGACTAAAGACTAAAAGGATAAACATTATGCCAACATGTACTGTCAGCCTAATGGCAGTATTAAGTGGGAAAGTATCATGGTGGATCAGTGGTATTGTTATGCTCTACTCATTGAATTTTCATGTAGGTCTGACACAGTATCAATTTTTTATTGTAAATATATGTTAGTTGAAGCATTGTTACCACCTATAGCAGTATTGCCTTTTTAGGTAGTGACTTCTTAGTGAGAGTCTGTCTGCCTTTGCAAATACATTTGTCAAGGAGGGCTAGGGATTCAGTTACCACACTGTAAATACCAGGAGGGTTGTTTTTTTCTGCCCATATCCCTTAGACTTGTTTTAGATAATGTAATTATTTAGGGAAAAAAAAAAAAGAGGCTCCAGAGATGACATAGTTGTTAAGAACAAGTAGTGTTCTTCCAGAGGACCTGTGTTCAATTTCTAGCATTCATGTATGTACCAGGCTTGCTTTTTTGGGGCCAGCAACCAGCTCCCAAATCACAACATGGTGACTTAGTAGTTATGAATGCTCTGCTTAGCTTAGGCTCCTTTCTGGCTAGGTCTTTTAACTTAAATTAGCTTGTTTCTCCTTATCTACTTTTTGCTTCAGGGCTTTTTACCTTTCTTCCTTCTGTATATCTTAACTTTCACTGCTTCTAATGTCTGGCTGGAGGCTGCCTGGCTTCTTGCCTCAGGCATATCCCTTTCTTTCTTCCTCTTTGTTCTTTTCAAGCCTAGTTTTTTCCTCCTGTTTATTCTCTGTGCCTGTCAGCCCTGCCTATCTTTTCTACACCTGGCTATTGGCCATTTAGCTTTTTATTACACCAATCAGGTACCTTATGAAGGCAAGGTGAATGAAACAAATGCAGCACATCTTTACATCCGTAACAAAGGCAGCAGAAACAAATGTAACACACCTTCTTTACACAGTTAAAGTAACCTTCTGCAACATAAACAAATGTAACACATCTTTACATAGTTAAATATTCCACAGCACATGGCTTGGAACTACTTCTAACTCCAGCTCCAAGGGATCCAACATTATCTTCTGGCTTCCTTGAGTACCCACATAAACACAGAGATACAAACACGTATAAATATAAGTAAATAAGTAATAAAAGAAATAAGGCAAATTTTGTCAGTAAAGTTTGTTTCATTGAAATCAACATGGATTATGTTTATGGGCTCCACTTTTAGATTTGAAACTAATTGTTGACAAGTTGAAAAGGTGTTTTTCTTTTTTCTTGCAGGTGTAATCCAGAGAACAATTTTCAAACATCTTTGCTCATATTTGACACTGAGCAGTCAGGGGATTCAGGCATATGAGGAGGTATTGTCACACAAAACAGTGTCTAGTGAAGACGACAAGAAAGAGAGAGAAGGATCGGAAAAAGAAGCTAAAATACCATAGGAAACCATGGTGAGTGATGACTGGTATTTCTTTCATTTTTTAGTTATAAAAGATTATATAGTGTAAAATTGGAAATGTTAACAGTAAAGTAGTTAATGAACAGTTGTCTTGGTTTCCGTGCCTCAGATAAATATGGTTACTATACTTTTTTAACATGGTGTGTGTATGAAGGTCAGAGGACAGCTTAAGAGAAGTTGATCTCTCCCTTCTACTATGTGGGTCCCATGGATCAAACTCAGGTTGTCAGACTTTTTTTAATCTTTGGAAAAGATTAGAGGGAGCTGGGAGGTGGCTCAGAAGTTAAGAGCATTTCCTGCAGTGAACCTAGATTGGATTCTCAGTAAGCACATGGTGTCTGACAACCATTTCTTACTCTGGTTCTGGAGGGTCCAATGCCCTCTTCTGGCTTCTGTGGGTACTGCATGTGTGTGATGAAGCAGTCATACATGCTGTGTGGCAAAGCACCCACACACATGAAATTAATAATAAATCTTAAAAAAATGATTAGAAACCACATTTTAGAGCCCAAGCTACTGTATGCCATAACTCTCTCAATACAAAGAGTAGGAATGTTTTAAATAGTATTTTATAATAAAACTGGCATTAACAAATCACTATAGCTCAGTAACCTTGAATTTAAATAATTTCTATCTAGACTTTTACATGAAGTCCAGATTTCTTTCTCATGAAAATTAAATAACTTGTATACATGAATTGTGGAGGAGTTTCTAAAAACATGAATGTTTTAACTCGAAAGGTACCTTTTTTACATGCTTTTAAAATAATAGAATTAATTGTTGAATATACTAAGGAGTGTTAGAGTGAATGTCAAGGAAGCTTGGTTTTTGTGAGAGGTCATACTTTGAATTCATGGTGTTAGATGAAGTAATTATCTCTGGTGTCTTGGTCTTACTTTTTTTGTTGTTGTTTTTTGTTTTTTGTTTGTTTGTTTGTTTGTTTGTTTCGAGACAGAGATTCTCTGTGTAGCTTTGAAGCCTGTCCTGGAACTTCCTCTATAGACCAGGCGGGCCTCGAACTCACAGGGATCCGCCTGGCTCTGCCTCTTGAGTGCTGGGATTAAAGGCTGGTCTTTAAATTTTTAAATTATATTTTTGTGTATTGTGTGTGTGCGACCCCCCCCCCTCGCCTGTGTGTGTGTGAATTTGCATGCCATGGCATATATGTGAAGGTCAGAGGACAGCTTACAGAAATTGGGTCTCTTCCTCTACTATGTGAGTGCTATGGGTCAAACTCAAGACACTTAGTTGCAGGTGCCTTTACCAGCTGGTGCCTAGGATGAGATTTACTGAGTTTTTCCCCTTCATATTGTAGTTCTAGAGGATATTGTGTAAATTTTCTCCCTCCAGTAAGAGGTTTTAAAAGACATAAGTTAGGAGAAAAAGCATAAAATAATAATTACCAGTGTATTTTGAAATATGTTGTTTAATAATAACTTATTTCTTTAAGTGTTAATTTGCTTTTAAAAAGTTTTGCCAAGGTCTAAAATCAGGTAATTTGCTTTTATGGAGAAGAAATTCTGTAATATTTCAGAATGGTGGGGGGAAAATGTTAACTTGGGATTTTCCTTATTGGTTTTTTTTTTGTTTGTGAAATACAGAAAAAACAGTGTGACTTGTGTTGCCTTCCTTGTGAATTATCTGCTTCTAACTGAATTTAGTTTTGCTTTACTTGTAGTCTTTATAATCCTATGACTTAATGTCATATATATAAAATATATATATACACATATAAAGCTTTCTTTTATAGTTTATTTTATTTTTTAAATTTTAGTGTAGATGTTTGATGTAGAAATTTTGGGTTTTAATTAATTTGATTAATCATTTTTCTTTTTTATTGCTGCTTCTGAGTTTTAAGATTTGAACAATCATTTTTCTGTTTTATTTTATAGTTCTTCTGATCTAATTATCTTAATACTTAAACATGTTTATCTGGAGCTTATTGGATAAATCTTTCATGATTTTGATCGTGAATGCAATACATGTGTTAATTAGCTGGGGAAGTTGATTGCTTTGGAATTCATATTTTCCCCATTATGAAATTTGGATTGCTTCTTGTTTAAAGGCTTGCACCAACGATTTGATGTCAGATACTAAGCATTACCGCAGGGTTTTCCATATTTACATTATAAATTTGTATCGTCTATTGTTACTGTATTATACAGTCTTAATTAAAGGTCTGAGAATGTGTAGCACTTTGGGAGGTGGCTAGGTGTCATGTGTGAATCACCATCATTCATTTTTAGATATTTTTTTCCTTCTCTGAGACAGGGTTTCTCTGTGTAGCCCTGGCTGACCTGGAACTCACTCTGTAGACCAGGCTGGCCTCAAACTCACAGAGATCCCCTTGCCTCTGTCTCCTGAGTGCTGGGATTAAAGACGTGCGGCACCACCACCACAGAGTTTCTGGAGACTCTTGAGGCTACGATCTCATGTGGTATTTGATATGGATGACGGCTTGATTTTTTTTTTTTTTTTGTAGGGGTAATCAGAAAGCACAGGTTCAGCCAAAAGACATAGTGTGTACAGTGCTTTGTGTGACTGATTTAAACCCTATCATCACATGAGTGAAATAACTTCTATTTTGGGGTATGGGTTAGTAAAATAGGACTTTACTTTCCATTCATGAGCATAATTTTATTAACTGCTTTACAGTGGTTGGTGCTATGTTGACTTAAAACACTTAACGTTGTTATTCTTTCAAGGTGACATTCCTTTTGTTTTTTTCCTCCCCCTTCTGACAGAGATCTATTAGATCTTTTGCCAATGACGATCGCCATGTTATGGTGAAACATTCAACAATCTATCCATCTCCGGAGGAACTTGAAGCTGTTCAAAATATGGTGTCTACTGTTGAATGTGCTCTTAAACATGTCTCAGATTGGCTGGATGAAACAAATAAAGGCACAAAAACTGAGGGGGAGACAGAAGTAAAGAAAGAAGAGGCTGTGGAAAACTATTCCAAGTGAGTGTTGAATAGCTTTTATCAAGCTTTGCTCAGAAAAAATTGTGGGTCTTGTTGAGTTGGTGATGTGCTTGTTCTTTGAATTTTGTTATATGTGACATAACCAAGGAAGTCAATGTTTCATGACATTTTTCTCTATAGGAAACCCATGAGTAGATGAGAAAAGAAGGTGGTCCTCCAGGACCCCTTTTGAGAGGACATCAATGTTTGAAGGTTATGACAGGTTTTAGCCTCCTAAGTTCTAGAATAAATAGTAATGTTTTCTATTTCAAGAAAGTAATAAAATTACCATTTCTAGCTGGGCATGGTAGTGCACGCCTTTAGTCCCAGCACTCTAGGGGCAGAGGCAGCTGGATCGCTGTGAGTTTGAAACCAGCCTGGTCTACACAGTGAGTTTCAGGACAGCCAGGGCTACATAGTGAGAACCTACCTGTCTCAAAACAAAACAAAGCAAAAAATACCATTTGTGTCAGACATTTTGAAATCATAGTCTAGAAGAATATAGGAAAATATACTAGCAGCATTAACTATCTTTACCTTGTTAACTCACAGAACATAAATCTTTGTTGCACATTGTTATATAATGTTAATGTTCATTTTGTATATTTGTAGAAGGAAGGACTAATGGAAGCCTGGCCTTCTAACAGTTACATGAGAAGTGTTGTAAGGTAGCAATAGTAGCGATCCATAAGATGAAACCACAGTGCTGCCTGCAGTCAGATCATGAGATTCTATGTCATGCCAGTTTGGAGGTACTGTTTTGAGCCCTGTTACCGTGACTAGAGTAAGTCTCTACCTACTCTGGAAAACGAAGTTTATTTGATTGGTTATACCATAATTATAGGTTTAAAACCATTACTTTAGTCTTGGCTTATATAAATGGAAAGTAAAGGCTTCAGAATTTCCCTCCAGCTTTCAGTTCTGTTTACATCACTGTGGTAAGTACACAAGGAAGAGTAGGAGAAAATTGGTGAATGAATGGTCTGTACTGAAAGATAGTGCAGCCTTTTCCTCTTCATTTCAAAGATAAGCAGTGAGCTTCATGCTGAAGAGCATGGCAACTGCTGTTACATGTAACTGTACACATGTGTACAGTTTGGATTGTGTCTCAGTTTGTAGGTTCTTGTAACAAATCCAGTTTTTCTCAAATAAGATGCTTTAAAATGGTAATTCTTTAATTTGGGGCTCATGTTAATTGATGATATTTTCCAATGACTGCGTTAACTAGGGACCTATATACTTATAGTTGGCTCTCTGTATATATTATAGTTCTTATGCAAGTTAAGTCCTTAATGGTTTCCAGATTTAAATTGTAGCATTTATATTGCTTTTTCAAAATTTTGAAAAAGTTAGGGTTTTATACACATTTTATAACATGCCTCTTTCTACTGTTTATTATTTTTGAGTATATATTTCATGGAAGCTTGTACCTTTTAAATGCATCTTCTAATTTTTTTTTTGAGATTGACATAGTTTTAGAAAGCATTCAGACATTTTGCTTATTTAGATGAAGTTACTATGCTTTAATTAAATGCTTTTAAAAGAATATGTGCTCCACACTTTCATTCAGTCTTTAAAATACAGCTTTATGTTTGGATACTCCTTTTTTGTCTGTGTAAAGTCTTTGCATTTGTTGAAAAACCCCAGGTTGAGTGCTTATCTGTGATTTCCTGGTGGGACTCAAGGAACACAGAGTAGATCTGTTTCTTACTCTATGAATCAGGGGCTGATACGTCTTTAGGTTTAGAGCTGTGTTTTATGTACACTCGTATTTGGGCTCCTGGTCTATAAGTGTTACAAAGAGCATGAAAATCAGTGAGACTGGGCAGAACTTTTTTAAGCACAGTCTAGTGTCAGACACTTGTGCACAGCTGCTGTTAGTGATTTTCCTTGAATCTATTTGTTTACCTTTTTACAATCTGACTCCAGGGGTGCTAGGTCTCACAATTTACATGACTAGCAACGTTAGAACTGTTTTCTCAGTTCTAACTAATTTATTGTATTAGTTTGCTTGTTTTCCAGTAACTGTTAAATTCAGATTCATTATTTAAGTTCAGAACTTTTGAATTAGGGATTAATTTCTCTGCTCAACCATGCTGTCTTCTACATGTGGGATGTAAGATCAAACATGTCATGACTATAATTTAGAATTTAATAAATGAGCTAACAATGGCTATTTACATTTACTGTGTGCTACCTACTAGTCCAGATCATTTTATATTATCTTTCATTAAACAAACTAGTCTGTTACTATTGTTTCTCTTTTTTATGCTGACATTTTACTTATTAAATTTCCACCATTTTACATTTGCTCATGAAGAGAGTTAACTCAGAGACATTAATGAATTTTAACTTGAAGATTACTCTTCTCTCTCTCTCTCTCTCTCTCTCTCTCTCTCTCTCTCTCTCTCTCTCTCTCTCTGTGTTGGCAAAAGTAGTTTCTGCCTTCCAGATTCCCCTTGCTTCCTGTTTCCCTTACTTAGGAGTGGACTTGAGCATTCGAGGCAAATACTCTACCATTGAGCTATATCTCATCCATTTTTTCTTCGTATCTGTGCTTCAGTTTCCTCTAGATAAAGTACAGAGGAGGGAGAGATAAAATGTTGTTGTTTCTGGTAATCAGAAAAAGCTTTAATCCTAGCAGTTGGGAGGCAGAGGCAGGTGGATCTCGGAATTTGAAGCTAGCCTGGTCTACAGGGCCAGCCAGGGCTACACAGAGAAAGCCTGTCTTAAAAGAAAGGGGTAGGGAGAGACAAGGGGGGGGAAAAAGGAAGACTTTATTAAGGAGGTAGTATTTGGAAATAGCTCAGAGGATCTGGTAGGGTTTTGGTAACAGTGAAGGCAAAAGCAAAAATCTCAGCAAAGGTTTAGATGTGAAATAGCCATAGGGACTGTTTAAGAAACATTATTTACTGAGGTTTTAATATATGTTGAGCCTCTGACAAAGTTCCTTGCTTACATTGAATTCTATGAGAACTGCTATATGAGAAAAGGTTTAGTCTTGTTTTATGGAGAAGGAAGCAAGCTCAAAGAAGTCAAGTATGTGTAATTAATTCATCCCCTCTTCTTGTATAATATTAGAGGGACCAGCCTTAATATTAATACTTCCCAGGGGCTCAGAAAAGAAACTATGAACGGTGAAGACTGTTTTTGGGAAATAGAATCTCAGCACACTGAGCTCTATAGTCCACTTGCTTTAATTCCTCTGGCATAACATCCTATTTATGCAGCTTCAGTTCTCTTCTCGTGCCTAGCTCCTTTCTTGCCTGATTTCTCTCTATATTTATCTACTGCTTCCTCTAAGTTCTATCTTAAGTCTCTCATCTTAATTCTGCCTCATCTAGGTCCTTTTCATCTCGTTCTTACCCAGCTAGTACTCTTTCTCATCTTCCATCTCATCCATACGTTCTCTCTGGTTCAAATCCTCCTTATCTCTCTCCGTTCTCCGTCTCTAAGTTCTCCACATTCCTCCTAAGTCTCCCAGGAATTCAGTTATAAACCCAAGCAATAGCAATCCCCTGGTCGAGTAAACTCACCAGGCTTGAATTCTACGGGGTCATAAAGGCAGGTAAGAATTTTCCTCAGGCAGTGACTACCAGGCTTTCTTTTATAATCCAAAATGGGAATGGTAAAAGAGGAAGTCAACTGAGTGCTGATGACCAGTTAGTATATCAAAAAAGGGATCTATGTGCTCAGTCTATATTCCTAGAAGTGGTTAGGTAAGAAGTTAGAGGCCTATTAGTAAGTTTGTATAAGAAAGGAGGGTCTTGCCCTAAATTGCATAAGAAATAAAAGCTGTCCGCCTGACCTAGGAGACAGGTGTAGTTTTGTATGGCCTTGGATGCTTGATAGACATTTTAGATAAATATACTGTTAGGAGTTCTTTGGAAGCACACAAGAAAATTATTTTAGGAATCAGCTCACACACACACACACACACACACACACACACACACACACACACACACACACACACACAAGCTAAAATATCACCAAGACTTCTTAAGCCATGGCTTGACCTTTGGAGAAGTCCTTGGCTTTTCCAAGTAGTAGCTTTTGTGATAGTAGCTGAATTCCATTACGATTTCCTGCAGCTTGCAGCACCCTCTCACACAGTAATAGAGCCAAGATGCAAACCAGGAAGCCAGGAAGTCTTCTAGACTGCCTGCTACTGTGTTGAATGTCCAAATGTTCAGAGGGACATGAAGGAAAATACATGGGATGTCATCCAAAAGAGCGGTTTTGGGAGGTTATGTAGTATTCTGCATGGAATAGATCAAAGGTGCTAGAGGTAAGGCTGGTAAGGAAGAAGTTATTCAAATAGTCTAGTTGAGAACTTGAACAAACTAGTTTGAAGGCAAAATTTTTGAGGATGATTATGCAGACCAGACTGTACACATTAGGGAGCCAGAGAGGGTGAGACAGTAGAGTAAGGAACAATCCAAGATGACTGACAGTCTAACAGTTGCTTGCACTTATCTTCATCTCAACTTGCACTGTCTTTGTTTATTGAATCTCCCCTATGGCTTAGGCACCGAGTAGCTAGTTAATTTTTAACTTCCTGTCTATTTTGCACCACAATATACTCTCTTCTTCATTTCATTCTCAACTTCACTTATTTTTGACTAACTGGTGATTCCTTGCTTCTAAACCGCACCCCTCTAGTCTAACCAAATCAAACCTTCAGCTGCCTTGCTTGCCATCTCTAATTGTAACTGTTTCCTTGAGAAGCAACCACAGAATGTAAAGTGCTTGAGTATTATGGTCAGCTCTCCTGAGTTTAAGTTCAGGCATTGACATGTTACTTTAAAAAAATAAGTTTATTTATAATGTGTGTTGGGGTAGTGTTGTGGTGTGTGTATGTGCATGTGTGTGTTTCACGTGTTGGGGCCACAGATTGATGTTGGGTTTTCTTTCCCTCTGTCTCTCTCTTCCTCCTATGTTCTTTAAAAATTTTTTTTTTTTTTTTTTTTGGTTTTTCGAGACAGGGTTTCTCTGTGTAGCTTTGCGCCTGTCCTGGAACTCACTTGGTAGCCCAGACTGGCCTCGAACTCACAGAGATCCGCCTGGCTCTGCCTCCGGAGTGCTGGGATTAAAGGCGTGTGCCACCACCGCCTGGCACTTAAAATGTTTTAAAACATCTCTCACTAGTCACCAACCGCCAGGGAATGTTCCCATATCTGCTTCCCCAGTGTTCCTGCACTCAGCTTTTTTGTGGGTGCTGGGGATTAGATTTCAGGTCATCATGCTGTATGGCAAGCACTTCACCCACTGAGCCATTTCCCCCAGTCTTTCTCATAGGTTCTTTAGTTTATTGCTAAAAATTACAGAAGTTTAAAAAACAGCAGTTGAAAAATGTTGGAGGGGTTTCAGTGTTCTTGGGATTCTTGAGTAAGAGATGTCATAATGAATTAAAGTATCTATAGTGTGACATATGATCCTTGTTCAGTCTTTAGGGAAAAGTAACTTTAAATGTGAGAGCCTTAAATCTGAGGTTTAATTTGTAGATTTTTGGATGTCTGGGTATACATAATAGTTTATTTATGTAGGTATTCAGGAAGCCAAGTGATGATTAATTGTAGCTTGGGAAATAGGTTATAGAAATAATAATACAGGCTTTTTATTTGTAGGGATCAAGGTGGCCGGACATTGTGTGGTGTAATGAGGATTGGCTTGGTTGCAAAAGGCTTGCTGATTAAAGATGATATGGACTTGGAGCTGGTTTTAATGTGCAAAGACAAACCCACGGAAACCCTGCTAAATACAGTCAAAGATAACCTTCCTATTCAAATTCAGGTAAGTACTTTTTAACTGCATTTGAGAATTTGTAAAGGGTTGAGAAACAGTGATCTTGATGACTATTAACAAGAATTGTTAAGTCAGGTATAAAGATACGTATAAAAAAAAGAATGCCAGCATGATTTGGTCAGTGAGGAACTCACATTTAAAGCACATTTCTGGTGACTTATACTCAGGATATATTTACCAAAATAAGGACATTAATATACAGTCTTTTTTTGATTTTTCGAGACAAGATTTCTCTGTGTAACAGTCCTAGCTATCCTAGAACTCACTCTGTAGCCCAGGCTGGCCTTGAACTCACAGAGATCTGCCTGCCTCTGCCTCCCAAGTGCTGGAATTAAAGGTGTGTGCCACCACCACATGGCTAATATACAGTCTTAAACCTTTCAGGCATGTCTTGCTTAGACTCTCCATCTCCCCACCCCCAGACTATGTATGTCTCTGAGTATTATAAAACTCTTGGAGCTGGGTGGTGGTGGCACATGCCTTTAATCCCAGCACTCAGGAGGCGGAGGCAAGTGGATCTCATATGTTTGAGGACAACCTGGTCTACAGAGTGATTTCCAGGACAGCTAGGGATTCATAGAGGAACCCTGTCTCCGGAGGTGGGGGTTGGGGTTGGGGGTGCAGGGTCCAAACAACTGTAGATAATTTCATGATACTTTAAAAGTTATTTTGAATTTAAAAATGATTTGAAGATTTGTAGGCTGGAGAGATGTCTCAGAGGTTAAGAGCACTGAGCACTCTTCCAGAGGTGTTGAGTTCAGTTCCCAGCATCCTGCATGGTGACTCACAACCATCTAGTATGAGATCTGGTGCCCTCTTCTGGCTTGCAGGTGTACATGCAGGCAAAACACTGCATAAGTAATAAATAAATAAATAAATAGATCTTAAAAAATGTTTAAAAAGTGGAAGATTTGGTTAAAAATTTTAATTTATTATTGTTTTTTTGCGTGTGTGTATTTGTGCATATGTGTGTACATATGTGAAGCTGGAGGACAACTTTGTGGGGCCAGTTCCCTCCTGCCTTTGTGTGGGTTCTGGGAACTGAACTCAGGCTATCAAGTTAGCATGCTTTGATAGCCTTTGACTGTTGAACCCTCTTGCAGGTCCTAAGAACTAGTTAATTTAAAGTCACCCATTTGTTAAGTTTATGGAAAGTCACTCACTATTCCTGGTGGTTTCCAAATTGTTTTCACATTGGGTTGGGTTTAGAAAGTTCTAATGCTGGCCTGCTCTTGGGTTCTGGCTACCTTAAGACCTACTTTGCCACCTATCCCAGAGATGTGTTCAACAATGATTAGGAAGTTGAGATTGTCTTTCATTTCAATTATGTGTTATCTGTAGCTTCTTGGTAATTTAGGCTGTATTCATATCTGTGTCACAGAAATAGATGTCATCCCATAAGTCTAAACTTTTGAGTTGGTCACAGCTCACCTGTCCGTCCATGCTTGCTTGCTTGCTTCATTTATTCATTCTTGAAGAATAATGTATTATTAAAGATTTTTATTTTATATGTATGAGTGTTTTCCCTGTGTGTATGGGTGTTCAGAAGACGTCATTGGATCCCCTGGAACTGGAATTAACAGCAGTTGTGAACTGACATGTTGGTGCTGGGAACTGAGCCTGGGTCTTCTGAAAGAACAGCCAGTGCTCTAAACCACTGAGACATCTCTCTAGCCCTCTTTTGTTTCTTTTTAAATTTGTATTTCTTCTAAACGAGGCAGATGCCTTTAAAAAAAAAAGTTGTTTTTTTGTTTTTTTTTTTGGTTTTCGAGATAGGGTTTGTAACATGAATCTTAAAAGGTCTTATTAATAAAACAAACCCGGAGCCAGGTATTGAGGTGAACGCTGAAAGATCAGAGAGACAGAACAGGCCACAGCTAACCTCACCTTGCTAACTTCTCAGCCGATCCTGTTTCCTCACACTGGAAGCCTCTGATTCCTCAATCCAGAATGAATCTCAGCTGAACTAAAAGCCTACAAGCTTAACCAGGCTCTAGTTCCTGGTCCTCACGCCTTATATACCTTTCTGCTTCCCGCCATCACTTCCTGGGATTAAAGGCGTGAGTCACCATGCCTGGCTATTTCCAGTGTGTCTTTGAACTCAGAGAGATCTGGATGGATCTTTGCCTCTAGAATTCTAGGATTAAAAGTGTGTGGGCCACCATTTTCTGGCCTCTGTCTAGTGGCTGTTCTGTTCTCTGACCCCAGCTAAGCTTATTAGGGTGCACAGTATATTGGGGAACACAATATCACCACAAGAGTTTCTCTGTGAAACAGTCCTGTCTGTCCTGAAATTCACTCTGTAGACCAGGCTGGCTTCAAACCTACAGAGACCAGTCTGCCTCTGCTTCCCAAGTGCTGGGATTAAAGGTGTATGCCACCACTGCCCAGCTTAATTTGCAAGTTTTAAAAAAATTAAAAATAGAAAAATCAGTGTATATTCATTGTACAAAATATTAGATTTTATTGGGTGATTCTGATACATATGGACCATGTACTTTGATTCTATTCATCACCTATTTGTTTCCTTCTTTTGCTGTTCTCCTTCTTGCCCCTTCCCAAATGTCCTCCCTTTGCTTTCAAACAAACAAACAAACAAACAAACAAACAAACAAACAAACAAATGCTTCTCCTGACTATTTGCTTGCTGTGGAAATACAAGAGTTAGTTCTCTCTACAATGTAGATTCTGAGGATGGAATTTAGGTCATCAGGCTTCGGGAGCAAGCATCTTTAGCCATTAGAGCTAGCTGTCTTGCTACCCTGCTTTCCCCTTTTTAAAGTCTAGATTCTCATAAGAAAGAAAACATAAAGAAGGGGTCTGGAGAACTAGCTCAGTGGTTAAAAGCACTTGCTATTTTGCAGAGGACACAGGTTCAGTTCCCAGCCCTCACAAAGGTGACTCAGAGCTATCCAGGGTATCTGATGTCCTCTTCTGGCTTTCATGGGCACTGCACATGTGGTGGACTAACATACACATAAGCAAAATATTCATATACATTAAATGAAAATAAATAAAACTTTAAAAAATAAGAGACTGCACATACTATTTGTCTTTGTGACCCTGTCTTATTTTGCCCACATGATGCTTTCTGGTTCCATCCTTGTTCTTGCAAATGATATAACTTAATATTTGTTGAGTAATATTCTATTGTGTAAAAGGGGCCTTTCCCCCTAGTTATGTAATTTTTTTATAGTTTATTACTGGGTCCCTTTCTCTATATTGTACATGTACATAGTAACTGAACTTCAAAACTGTTTTTTATGCCTCTGTTGATCAAATTCTGACTTTAAAGGCTCTTATATTAACTTTTGGGATACTATTTTATTTTGTTTTAAGTCTGAAAATATACTTTCCTAAATAAGACTATATTTGACTTTTCTATTTTTAATTTTGGTGGGACAGTGTTTTTCTTCTTTTAATAATTTATTTACTTTTATTTGCATTGATAATTTGCCTGCATGTATGCCTGTGTGAGGGTGTTAGATCTTGCAGTTACAGACAGTTGTGAGCTGCCATGTGGGTGCTGGGAATTGAACCCAGGTCCTCTGGAAGACCTGAACCACTGAGCCATTTCTCTAGCCCAGAGCAGTGTCTTTTTAATCTGTTAAAAGTATTTAGTTTCTTCCTGCCTTCCAGCCTCCCTCCCTTCTTTCCATCTTTCTTTTATAACTCTTGTGACATTTGAAGATGGAGAGTGATAAGCTGAGTGAATTACAGGAAAAAGGGTTTTGATAAGGTAAGTTTAGTAACATGTTTGGGGCTAATAACACTTTTTAGGGTTTTTTTTTTTTTTGAGAGGCAGGGTCTTCCTACGTAGCCCTGGCTGTCCTGGTACTTTGTGTAGACCAAGATGACCTAGAACTCTGTAAACCAGGCTGGCCCTTGAACTCACAGATATTCACTTGCTTCTGTCTTTCCAGTGCTAGGATTAAAGGTGTGTGCTACCAGACCTGGCTCATGACAATACATTGTGTTAACAGAATAGTAATACAATTCCTCTTGTTTCAGGGTTTTTTTTTTCCCCCCGAGACAGGGTTTCTCCATGTAGCTTTGCACCTTTCCTGGAACTCACTCTGTAGCCCGGGCTGGCCTGGAACTTACAGAGATCCACCTGGCTCTGCTTCCCAAGTACTGGGATTAAAGGCGTGCACCACCACTGCCCGGCTTTGTTCCAGGTTTTTATTGTTTAGGAATTTATCTGTTTCTACTTTAGTGTAATGAGCATTGTTACTTTTGAGTCTATAATAAAGTAATGATTAAAGTATCAGCTAGGTTCCTGTTCTCTCTTAGTGAGGCTTGTTTTGTCGTATTCATCCTCAGGTATTCCAGGCTGGAAAAAAGGAGTACACTGCTATACTATTACTCTGAAAGTCTATCCCATTTCTTTAGCTTTGTAGATACAGTTCCAGTCTAAACAATAGTGCTTTCTCTGTGCAGGTTGCACTTGTTGAACTCTGCATTGTTTCTTTCTCAAGTGAGGATCTTTACTTTTAGGTACCACAGTTTTAAAATGTTATTGTTGATCTAGTAAGTCTTCAAGGACAAATCCCAAAAGAGAGTATAGATTATGCAGACCATCTCAAATTTTAGGAACTTTGTACTTTCTAGTCTAAGAGAGGACTAAAAAGACATAAATATTCTGAGATCCTTGAAGGGTTATGTTAGAAGAGGTGGAAGAGGCTTGAACACTTAGGGTGTGGATATTATGAGACACGTATTTTAATTTAATATAGTCATTATAGCTTCCCAACAATGAATTTTCTGTATCTGGGTGAAGGTACATTTCATTGGAAAAATGGTAATCTTAATTGTGTGTTGATGTTAAGAGTAAGTTATACAAATGTACTCACATTTCTCTCTAAGCATACATAATTATTGTAATATTTCAGGAAATAATTTTTAGTGTGACCTTCACAAATGTCTACTACTGTACTAGTTGTGTGTGTTTGTGTGTGTGAAAGTGTGTGAAATAATAATCTCTGATAGGACCTTCCTTTCTTACAGACTAAATACCTTTTCTGAATACCTACTCTAGGAACAGTTTGGTTATTTACTACCTTAATATAATTGAGGTGGAAATACACCCTTTTCTCTCTGTACTCTTTTCCAAGGTGATTTTAGAGCTTCTTTGAACAAGGGAGGCAGAGAATGACAAACCCAGTAACCTTTGAAGTCAGTCTAGTCCAAACTCCTATGTTTATTTACTTTGGATATGTCTTATAATTGACAATTTTAGTTTGACTTCCAATAGATATTTTAAAATTAAAAAAAATTTATGTGCATTGGTGCTTTGCTTACATTTATGTCTGTGTGAAGGTGTCAGGTCTCCTGGAACTGGAGTTACAGGCAGGACTGAGTTGTATTTTAGGTGCTGGGAATTGAACCTAGGAAGAGCAGCCAACCCTTAACAACTGAACCATCTCTCCAGGTTGAGTAGGTATCTTCGTGTGTGTGTGTGTGTGTGTGTGTGTGTGTGTGTGTGTGTGTGTGTGTGTGTGTGTGTATGTATGTGTATACACGCACACACTTGCATGTGGAGATCAGAGAACAGTTTGGTGTGTTCCTCTTCCTCAAATACTGAAAACCGTGTTTTTGAGACAGAATCTCTTGGTGTGTGACCTGGGGCTCCCTAATTAGGATAGGCAGGATGGCTGGCTATAAAGCCCCAGGGATTCATCTGTACCCACCTCCCCAGTTCAGGGTTTCTAGGCAGGTGCCACTGTTCCTGTTACTTATTTTTATTTGGTTTTGTGTGCACCATGTATGTGATGCCCAAGGAGCCAGAAGAGGGCATCAGGTCCTCTGCAACTGGAGTTCTAGATGGTTGTGAGCCACCATGTGGGTGCTGGGAGCGGAACCCTGGTCCTCTGCAAGAGCAGCAAGTGCTGTTAACCACTGAGCCATCTCTCCAGCCCTGTCTATTGTTTTATGTGGGTGCTGGGATCAGACTTGAGTCTTTGTGCTTGTGTGGTAAGCACTCCATAACCAGCTCATCTCTCCAGCCCTTTAACAGATAACTTTAATGATTTTTTCCCCCATTGGCATAATGAATGTAAACAGTTTGTGTGTGTGTGTGTGTGTGTGTGTGTGTGTGTGTGTGTGTGTGTGTGTGTGAATTTCACTTCTGGTTCTTTCATTCATGGTGAGGTCTTTTCTTTCTTTGGCTTCTTCTGTTCAGCACTAGGGTAATGAGTTTTCTTTTTCTTACTTTTTGGGAAGTACTTAATATTAAAACTGTATTTTTTGTAAATGATGGAGTTCTTTTAGAACACACCTTGTATTATTTCCTTCAGCCTATTTTATGTCAGTTAATATATATTAAACTTGATCATTAAGAAATGCCTTGTAGGATTTATTTAGTTATAATTTAATGTCCAATAATATTTAATATATGATTTGGATTATTTTATGAAAGCCCTAGGATTGTATGTTTATCTCCATGTATGTTAAAAGCAGCAATGTAAATTTCCCTGTGGATGTCATTTGCATTATCTCATAATGATAAGTCTCAGTGGAATGACTTCTGAGATCTATTGTAATTATACGAGGCAACTGTTTGTACTCATTCTTTCATGTGAAGATAAGTCATTCATACTTTCTTGATTTACTTTAGAAATTTGTATAATCAATTTCATAAGTCCTTGGCAAGTAGTTTCAATTGTTCTGTAAATAGTGCTATAATTTTGGAGAGCATTTCAAGTTATCTACTGCTGTATAATAATTTACAGGAATCATTTCAAGAATAATTATACTCTTGTAACGCTGTTGGTGACATTTTACATTGAAGAAAAATGGTTTTAAATATTGTTTCATAATTGTCTGCATGGTAGACATTATGGTCCTTTTTTGAGGGATGGAAAATGAATTTGCTTAAGTTGAGAGAGGTTATCCCTGAAGTAAGGAACTAGTTAGAGTTGTGGATTTCATTTACTCTTTGGCTTAGTGATACTAATAGTAATATTCATGAACTTAGCACAAGTTTTCCCTTTTAGGGATTTTAATATGATTGAGTGTTTTTGATATCTTGGTGACTTTCAGAAACTGACAGAAGAGAAATACCAAGTGGAACAATGTATAAGTGAAGCTTCTATTATAATTCGGAACACGAAAGAACCCACACTGACCTTGAAGGTGATACTTACTTCCCCTTTAATTAGGGACGAATTGGAGAAGAAGGATGGAGGTACATGTGTGTATATATATACACATACATACATATCTATGTTTTGTTTTGCTTATTTAACAGCTCTTTTCTGTACTTTGCTAACTAATCCTTGAGATTTAGGAGGTTACAGACTTCATTTGCTTGTGTATGCCACCCCATGATATTTTTAAAGTTTTGTTTTTACATAGTATATTTTGCAGTTTCAGAGACCTATGTACCATGTTGCTTTAACTCTGCTTTCATTTTTTTAGATTTTGATGAACTGCTTTCCCTTGTCTAGTGTAACTTCAAGTTATTGGTATCTGCTAACCTGTTCTACTATACTGGCCTACTGGTCAGATTCAGGATTAAATGTGGTTTAAAACAATTATTTTTAAATTTGCTTGCTTATTTTGAAACTACTCACTTGCATGTTGTGTTTGACTTCTAATAATTATATACTTTTAAAAATTTTGGTTACTTGTGTGTAGATTTGGTTTATAGAATAATGAAAAAGAATTAGTGAATATATTTTACTCAATAATCTTTCATCTTCAGAGAGTGTATGTACACACACATACATATATATACACACATATATATACATGCAAATTTTTATTTTGGAGATAGGAGCTTACTGCATAGCTTTGGTTGGCTTGAAACTCACTATGTGGAATTGGATGGTCTCAAACTCACAGAGATCTGCCTGCCTCTACTGCCTCAGTGCTGGGATTAAAGGCTTGGGCCAACCACCTGCCTTCAATAAATTTTTGAGAAGCTTTTTACTCTGTTACATTTTGAATAAGATGTATGTTAAAAAAAAATCACTGTATGACACTGCCATGGTCATAAATGTAGAATGAGAAATTCCTTAACTGTTGGTAGTTTTGAAAAGTAGTGAAATATGTGTGGTGAGCTTCATTTTCTTTCTTTCTTTTTTTTTTTTTATCTTGTCAAGTTAGCTTTTTTTGTACTCTTAGTATTGTTCAAAGAAACATGCCACATGATACTTTTCCTGTGTTGGACCTTTGACCAACTGGCCACTCTGTTGTAACAATTTAGAGGCCCTATGGTATATATGGGCCAGTAGGATATTTGCCCTTTTCCATTTATCAGATTTCAACAAATCTCATTGCATACCCCTTTACCATAAATACCACTAAAGTGAAAAGGAGTATAGGTCAGTTTTGTAGTTTATTTCAAACTGTTGATTAGTATAGAAAAAGGCACACTTAACTGTGAAGTAGATTTTTGAATTTTAGTTCCTAGACATGAATCATAGAATCCTGGAACTAAAATAGATGGTCACCTTTTTAAAATTTTTTTTTTTTTTGAGTGAGAGGTGGGTTAGGTTGTGTGGTTGACTAAAATCAGAAATTTTTATAAATCAGATACATTTTTGAGGCATATTTAAATAAAAATACATCCAATCTATAATTGTTTAATACCCATATTTTACCCCTTACTCAACATGTCTGTAGCACCTTGGAAGAACCAGTCTCTTAAATGGCTTAATTTTTTTTTTAACATCAGATCTAGGATTTCTGGTTTCTGGTGTGCCAAGATGTAATAATTTTGGTAAGCTGTGTTCTCCTTGACCCTGTCGTACAGAACCAACCATTTCTATGTAGAGCTGTAATTATAGGTGATACTAAACATTATTTTTCAAAGATTTTTTTTTTTTAATTTTCTTTTGATGTTTCGAGACAGGATTTCTCTGTGTAGTCTTGGTTGTTCTAGAACTTTCCCTGTAGACCAGGTTGGCCTCAAACTTACAGAAATCTGCTTGCCTCTGCCTCCCCAGTGCTGGGACTAAAGGTGTGCACCGCTACCACCTGGCTGTAAACATTGTTTTTCTATTGAGAGGTGTTTGTTTGATCTGCTCTTTGTGTTACCTCTTTGAAGGTATTAGGAAAATATAAAGCTTTTTCTCTTGTGGTTTTGTGTACTCGCATAGGATTTTTGTATAGCTGTCAGTGTTGATTCCCTCAGGCTTAACCTGTTGCCTTTAAAAAAAAACAAACCAAAAAAAAAAAAAACCTTAATTTTGGTTCAGAGAAGCTGAAAACAGGCTCTTAGTGTATTATACCTTTCTGGGGCACTATTAATCATAGAATGGGATTTGTGTCAAACAGAGTCGCAGTGTTTGTTTAAGGTGTTTTGAGTTACTGAGGATCTTAAGGCCTCCATGTGCTGACTCATTAGCTGATATGTGAGCTTAGGTGAGCTTGGAGCTGATGTTTAACAGATGTTACTTCTCTTTTTGAATAGCAGGAAGATTTGCTTTGCTGTTCCTAACATCCCAGCCCCGCTGACCAACTTGATATTTTACAGCTTATTCATTTTGTCTAATCTGGGCTTTGTCATATTTTTGTCTATATTCCTGGGCAACTTGGAGCATCCAACATAATTGAGCATCTGCAATCTGGATTACGCAGTTCTGTTTGTTCACCTAGACACTACTCTTTGCCTTGATGTAACCCTTTCCGTCTCCATAGGATTGGAAACACAAAGCACATTGAGTTTTCAGGGATGCCTGGCACTGAAAGTTAGTGTCCTCTTCCCTTCTGTCCATTTTCTTTCTCAGAGTTAAATAATGGCCCCAAGACACTTTGTCATAGTATTCTAACTTGCTTTACCACTCCCAAATACACAGTTTGCAGTTTATACACAAGTCATCTATTTTTCTTCCCTTTCTTAACTTGCTAAATGACTTTGACAGAATCTAAACGAGAGGAAAGGAAGGTTGAGAACAGACAGAATATTTTCTGTGTAGAAATAGATAACCATTCACTTCAAACCACCATTTATTTTGTAAGTTGTCAAGAGTGAATAAAGATTATCCTTTTTAAAAAAATGTTGTCACAAGTAAGACTTCTATGCTATCAGTGTTAGCATACTCCAATACTATTAGGCCTGGTGGAATGACCATTTCTCTAGTATTGTATATGTCCTTTAAAAAAACAAAGGTACAAGAGAAAAAGCACAGCTCTTGCTGTATAACATCTGTGCGTTTAGTTTTTCATTCTATTAGCGTTGTGTGACATGGGGCACATTTCTTAATTTCAAAATAAAGATAATAAAGAAACAGTAAGTTGTTTGCAGGGATCAGTGAGAGACTGCATATACAGTGGGGTATGCAACTAACTTCTAAACAGTCAAGTACAGAAACTACTCAGCTTACTAAACACTCAAACTACCTACTCAAACTGTCTCAACAGAGTGATGTGGTCACACTAGGTTCAGACAGTTGAACCTTAACATAGCCGAACTATCTGTCTGTCTGTATGTATGTGTCTGTCTGTCTTTCTTTCTTTCTTTCTTTCTTTCTTTCTTTCTTTCTTTCTTTCTTCCTTCCTTCCTTCCTTCCTTCCTTCCTTCCTTCCTTCCTTCCTTCCTTCCTTCCTTCCTTCTTTCTTTCTTTCTTTCGAGACAAGGACTTGCTAGCTCTGTCTGCCCTGATCATACTAGGTTCGGACAGTTGAACCTTAATATAGCCAAACTAATTCTCTCTCTCTCTCTCTCTCTCTCTCTCTCTCTCTCTCTCCATCCATTTATTTATTTATTTATTTATTTTGTTATTTAGTTATTTTTGAGGCAAGAACTTGCTAGCTCTGTCTGCCCTGGAACTCAATAAATACACCAGCTTGTGTTTAGACAGTTGAACCTTAACATAGCCGAACATTCATTCATTCATTCGTTCCTTCATTCATTCATCTACTTATCTATCTGTCTGTCTGTCTGTCTGTCTATCTATTTTTCTAGCTACCTACCTATCCAACTATCTATCTTCTATTTTTGAGGCAAGGACTTGCTAGCTCTGTCTGCCCTGGAACTCACTAAATACATCAGCTTGATACACCAGGCTGGCCTTGAACTCACAGATATCCTTCTGCCTAAACCTCCTTTGTACGATCATCCACATAGCTAAACTTTAAACCACACTTGAAATCCAGTATTAGTCAGTATGCAGTATACCAGTATTAGTCAGTATGCAGTATACGCTGAGCTGGATTATTGTATAGCTCTGTTCCTTGGATGGTAGATCTCCCCCTTTCCCCCACCTCCTCTTATACCTATCCTTTATCCTAAGCACCTAGAATCATACCTGATACAGAGGTAGATTACCAGAGAGTACCACACATGAATCTTCACAGGGAATTTTCAGTCAGCATATTATCTGAGAAAATATAGTCCAGTGTATAAAAAAGGAAAAGTTAACAATAAGCAGCATCTTGCATGGCTTAAATAATATTTACTGGAGATGTATTTCTGTTACAGTGTTACTCCCACCATGTTATAATCCTCATATATGATTTATTTAAGGAAAAAAAATCTCACAGTAGCCCTAAAAGGGAGGTAGCTGTTGCTCTGTTATAAGCAGGAATGTAACGTATTTTGTCCAGCTGTCCTGATAGAGTCCAGTGTGGAATCCTTTCTCCCCTTCCTTCCTGGGGTTGCTGCATGGACACTTTAGCTGATTGTTTCTTTCTGACCATTACAAAGCCTCAACTTTGGTGCTTGTTATTTTATTTTATTTAATTTTTATTTTTATTTTTTTTGGTTTTTCGAGGCAGGGTTTCTCTGTGTAGCTTTGCTGGGACTCACTTGGTAGCCCAGGCTGGCCTCGAACTCACAGAGATCCACCTGGCTCTGCCTCCCGAGTGCTGGGATTAAAGGCGTGCGCCACCACTGCTCGGCGATGCTTGTTATTTTAAACTAGAAATATATTTGCTATTGGGGGAGGTGATAAATTTTTTAAAGTTATGTTTACATTGCAGTTTTAAACCAAACAGATAGTGAAAAATAAAGTCTTTTCTGTCATTAGTATTGAGTAGAGTCAAGAGCATGATAGAGAAGTGAGTTCTTTTTCACCTATTGATGCCAGGGTGTATTTCTGACTCTTTTTGGTAGAGGTTCTCTGGTATGTTTCCTGCTAGGGTCATGACATTAGATTGTTGTAGTCTGTACTTGTGCTGCAGGCTTTATTTCCCTCCCTTCCCCAGGTGCAAGATATGTACTGTGCAGAGAAAACATGGTCATTTTCTTTCCGGTGCTCTGCTGTCACAAAGATAGCATTGATGGTATAATTCAACTAGAAAAGGGTCAGTTCCACCTTATTGCTACATGTGTTTGTTCATATTACCATGTCCTTATGTTTTTCATGAACAGTATAGTTCAAGCATAATGTCTTTCCAGAAAGCTTTAAGGAATTGAGAGAAAGGAGATTTTAAGAATATCCTTAGACATACTAAAAAATTCTGTCAGGATGAGCTGAGAGCTCGGCTTTGTCCAGATTGTCATGGAGCTTGCCACGCTACCCCAGCTCAATTATTTTACTTTTCAAGAGCGGGGTCTAGACACATAATACAGCCACAGTCATTTCTGGCTTTCCCTGTTCCTCCTCTACAGGCTAGTGTTTTGTTAATGGGGCAGATAGCCTGCATGTAAGGCACTGAGAAAAATTGTATGAAAACACTGCAGAGCAGTGTCTTCTGGTCACTGATGTAACTAGCCTCCAGCCAGGCGAGCAGGTTTATGAATGACAGCTTTCTTTCCAGTGCTTCCATTGATGCACATATGTTGTTCCAGTGCACATATATACATGGTGATGGCAGGCTACAAAAACAATTTTAAAAGCAGTATTTTTCTCTGCATTTGGCATTTTTGTTAATACTTGTCCATTTTGTGCTATTTCTTATGTTTCCTACAAAGCAAGTGAAATGGATCATAGTTCTGCACTTTATTTATTTAGTTTTTTTTGTTTGTTTGTTTTGGGGGGGCAGGGAGACAGGGTTTTCTTATGTATCCCTTGGAATTTCTTATGTACTGGCTTGGAATTCCAGGCTGATCTGGATACCATCCACCTGTCTCTGAGGGTGCTGGGATTAAAAGTATTTAGACCACAAGCCCAGCAGTTCTGCTGTTTTTAATTAATTAATGACAAATATATTTTTTAAAAGTAAAATCTCTGCTTACCTAATAAAGTTGAAACACACACACACACACACAACTGTATTAAGGTCCTGAAATATTAAACTTGAGGTTCTATCAGGAGGATCATTATTTTCCCAGCAGTAGTTCTGTGATTGCCACATTAATTTTTTTTTTAAATCAGTGAAAATATGTAAAACTATATTATTAGCTATAGAAAGGAAATAGACAAGCTGGGCTGATAAGTAGCACTGTAGCACCATATGCTTGTGTGTCACATAATACAAAAATCTTTCAAAATAAAATGTATTGTTACACCTCTGCTCTTTCCAGCTTCATGAATAGTAAAACATTTTGGATCTTTTGACTCTCAGAGTGTGAAGAAACATGGCCATTTTGATGTCAATGTGAGCGGAATCTGCTGCAAGTTCTCAGTGCTTTTCCTTTTCATCTTTTTTTAGTAAAATCTGTTGTTTCCAAATGTTGACTGTCTGTAACAAGCTGATGTTTTGACTTTATTTAAAGTAAGAGTTTATAGTAGTAATCTGATTTTGAGATGAAAGAAGTCATCAAAAATACCTTTCTCTTGTCACCATTGCAGATATCTGTCACAATTAGGATAAGGTACTTACCATCTTTAGCCATTTGACAAGATGAACAAAGAGTTCTGGCTTCTTAGATCTTACCTCTCTCTATCCCCTCTTTCTTCCTATGCCCCTCTTCCTTTGTCACCCTCTTTCTGACATTTTGACTCAGTAGGATAGGTAGAATAAAACTTAACACTCTGTACTGTTCATTTAAAAATTGAAGTTGTAACCAAAAAAATTGAACCAATTTAGATTATGTTCCATAGCAGTCAGTCAACCTTTGTCATATCTACCTTTCAAGAGACTCTAATAATTTGCCAGGTGGTGGTGGCTCATGCCTTTAATCCCAGCACTCGGGAGTCAGAGGTAGGTGGATCTCTGAGTTAGAGGCCAGCCTGGTCTGCAGAGTGAGTTCCAAGACACCCAGGGCTACACACAGAAATCCTGTATCGAAAAACAAAACAAAATAGAAGAATAAAAGTATTCTAATAACTCATTTAGAAATATTTTATCTTCTGTATGAGCTTTACACAGATGCTTTTATTGACTATAGTTAAACAATTTGATGATAAAACATTAAAGTGACTCAGTTGTGTAGTTTGTGCCTGTAAACACAAGTTCAGGAGCTAGATCACCTGTGAGTACCATATTTGTTTGGGTTTATAAACAATTCCACATTGATAATTCTTTTAGAAGCTTGTGATTTTTGTTAGTAGAAATCAGTAATGAAATGAGACCTAGTATTTTTGTTGGCAGTGATTAATAGGAAACAATGCAGACATCTGCTGTGCAGCTTACTTGGCAGGAAGTAAGTGTGTAGCATTTCATTGGTTAGTGTTGCAGCAGTACAGGGAACCCACAGTTCTTCCTTTTATAGTTGTGGTTTTAGTTGGGCATTATGCCTTCAGGTTTAGAAATGTTTTAACTAGTAGAATAAACACTAAATTTGCCACTATAGAGTCATTGATAGCTAAGGAATCCAAAAAGTGTCCATGTTCTTGTGCACCATTTAAAGATATTTACATCTCTTGGACTATGCTGTATGCTGTATATCTACTCTTATGAGAATATTGAGAAATGTTGGCAGGACACATATTTAAAAGCGTTCTTAAGAGAGAATGATGAATCTGACTCAGGGTTAGACAATTCTTCTATAGGAATCCATTTGTAGAACTATGCTTTTAGATAATGCATCAAGACTTGAAAAGTTGACAAACCTGCTTCTCTATACTTAGTATAAATGAATTTGGTGATAGAAACTTAGATTTAGTATCATGTAACATCTCAAGTATGTGGGTTTATTGTTTACCATGTTTCAGTTTTGCTGCTTTTGACCATCTCAAACAATTGTGAAATGTAAGGCAAATGAAATGACCATGGTTATGTAGCAGTCCTTAAAGAAAAAGAGATCAATAAATATGAAATACATTTCTGTTTATTTTATATTTGTAGTTTTAAAAATTTGGCTCCAAAAAGAAATACTGAATGAACTTCAAGGTAACTCTTGAGATTCTCATCAGTGGAGTCAAGTTGCTAGTGGTAGTTATTTTAGTGACTAGGATTGTATAGAAGCAAATAATTTCTTTTTTTGGTCACACACAGTATACTTTCAGCTTATCCAACTTTACTATTACATAAGAGGTCCAACTTTTTTAGACCCTGATCAGTGATCAAACTTTCTTCTATTAAAAAGTTTTTAATTGCTGGGTGGTGGCGGCACACGCCTTTAATCCCAGCACTTGGGAGGCAAAGAAAGGCAGATCTCTGTGAGTTCGAGGCCAGCCTGGTCTAGGACAGAGTGAGTTCCAGGACAGGTTCCAAAGCTACACTGAGAAACCCTCTCATGAAAAACAAACAAAAAAATTTTTATTGTTATTATTCCCAGATGCCCTTCTTTGTAGCTTCCCAAATGAAAAAGTGCTATGTATTTTTTTTTTTTTTTTCTGTGATGGTATACATGTTCATTAATAAGATCCCTGATTGATTATAAGAAGCAGTGGTCACTGATTCCTTTGCTGAATGAATTCCTCTAGTTTTCCTTGTACTTTTTCACAGAATCTGATGATTGTTTATTTAAATAATGTGCACTTAATTAAAAAAGCAAAAAAACCAAGTTATGAAAATTTTTGGAGTCTTATAACAAATGCTGCTTTCTTTTGGTTGTTATTGATAATTTCTTAAGAATCCCCTTTCAAACTGTATCTGTTTTCCTTTATCCCATTTTACTACTAGAAAATGTTATGATGAAAGACCCTCCGGACTTACTGGACAGGCAGAAATGCCTAAATGCCTTGGCTTCTCTTCGACATGCCAAATGGTTTCAGGTTGGCATTTTGTTATTTCCTTACTGTTCTGTTTTGATTTTATTTGGAAAACCTTCCACTTTTTTCTGTGTGTTATATTAAATGGAGATACTTTGTAGCTCATAGAGTTATTGTTGGGACTAAATTAGATCCTTTGGATAAAGTACCTAGAATAGCTTCCATTGTGGGGTGTGTGTGTGTGTGTGTGTGTGTGTGTGTGTAGGCCAGAGGTCAACTCAGTGTCATTTCTCAGGAACCACCCGGGTTGTTGTTTGTTTTTGCCCTTTTTGGGGGGCCTACCACCCAGCTCCCAAATAAATCACACATGGAGGCTTATTCTTAATTATAAATGCCTGGCCTTAGCTTGGCTTATTTCTAGCCAGCTTTTCTTAAATTATCCCATCTATCTTTTGCCTCTGGGCTTTTCCTTTTCTATTTCTGTATACTTCCTTTGTTTCTTACTCTGTGCCTTGCTGTGTAGCTGGGTCACTGGCTCTTGGGTCCTCCTGCTTCTCTGGCTACTTCTTCCCTCTGCCTGCCAGCCCTGCCTATCCTTTCTCCTGCCTTGCTGTTTGCCATTCAGCTCTTCATTAGACTGTCAGTTGTTTCAGACAGGCTCTGTAACACAGCTTCACAGAGTTAATGAATGCAACATAAACAAAAGTAACATACTTTAAAATAGTATTCAACATTCCGCCCTTTTTCATTTCTAAACAAAAATGAAAGGTTTTAACTTTAACATAGTAAGACTGTATACAGTAAGAAAAATTATCAAGTAAAGATTACATTCACAATGTACTGAATTCCAATTCATTTGTGTCTGGCAAATTTAAGAAAATATTCAATAATCTATCGTATCTTAGTAAATCCAAAATTTTATACTTAATTTACTTTTTATCATATCTAAGAAAAACTGCAACTTTTAAGTATCTGGTCTTCAACTCCATCAAAACCCCAGAAGGATATAATATTATTTGAGTAAACAATAAGTGCATTGCAAACAACTTCCAAAAACCCTAGAAATGACAGAGAAATGTGACTGCCGGGATAGTCACCCAAAGTTTCTCTGCAACATTGGAGCATCCATCTTCAGCCTACAGGTCCATAGTATCTGGCAGACTTTTCAATGAAGCAGGAAATTTGAAAGACTGTCCCACTTATATTGGCAAAGTTTATTAGTCACTTTCCTTTGTGTCTGGCAGTGTCTTCTGTGAAGCAGGAACCATGGAAGGGCCATCACCCTTGTTTTGAAAAGTTCAGCAGTCACTTTTCTGTGGGTCAGGCATGTCCAGTTTATACAACATACTGTCCAGCAATCCAGGCAAGAGCAGCTTCTTGCCCAAATGGCTAGCCTTGCCATATTGAAAGCAAACTCCATAAGGAGTTTCTTCGATGCCCATAATCTCTGAAGTAAGTTGGTGCTACCAGGAACAGATGTGTCTCACTGTCATGAAAAGCCCTAAGTTAACAAAACATTTTAAATGCCATATTCTGTAGTTCTTTGAAAGGTTTGAAGACCTATCTATCTATCTATCTATCTATATGATATGGAAAGCATACCTAACATTTATAATTTTGATTATTGTAAATGACTAACCACTAACTTATGTTCCTGATTATCCTATATAGTTTATAATAGTAAATTTCAAAAACTACAATTTCTCCCTGTATTTCCAAATGAACTGCATAGGCACAATACCTCAAACAAAAATAGAAACATGCATACAATATGTTGTAACAAAAATAACCTTAAATTTGTATCAATATATAAAAATCCTTTAAACAAGAGTAGGAACATATATACAGTATGTTATAACAATAATGACCTTAAATTTACATCAATATACAAAAGTCCTTTAAACAAGAGTAGAAAAGAATATATATTTATTTATAACAAAACTTAAATTTGTATCAATATACCATATTCTTCTAAATGATATCAAACATCCATAACCCACCAAATAATCAAAAAACCACCCTCACCCCCCCAGCTCTTGGGAATGTGGACATAGTTTTCTCTAGACTGTTTCTTGCTGGCTGTGGGCAAAGGCATCTTCTTTAGGGGTCCCTGAGAAAGTTTGAGATAATGGCCAAGTCCTGGGAAGACTAATAGTAATAGCTGATAGACTAATAGACTAATAGCTGATATCACCTGTCAAGATTCAGGAGGTCTCCCTTGATCACACCTGATCAATATTATTCCCGAAGAAATCCCCAACTTCTCGTCTCCCATGGGAACAAAACTCCAAAGCATTTTTGATTTCTATTTGTCAAATACATTTTTTGACTTCTTTTTATTTAAGGCATTCCTAAAGTATCTAGATTGGTTCAATTTAGCAGTCCAGTTCACAATCCCATGTTTCTTAACACCTGTCTTTTGCTTCTCAACAATCAAAAAATTCAAACTCAACACAATAACATACAGGATCCAGACTCCCTGTCTATTTCCCATCTTGCATGGCTTTTTTCTTTTACTCTCTATTTAACGGCTTTATTTTAAAACTCTTTCTTTTTATGACTGTTTATACCCATATTCTTTCTTTCTTAAGCCTACACACATTGTAAAACACACTGGAACTTGTTTAGAGGTTTTTCCATCTGGACTTCTTTTATTGCATATCTTTTAGCCTTTTTTAACCATGAGAGCAAACCTTTAAACTGCTAACCTACACTTGGATCCATCCATAAGTGGTTCTCAACTGGCTCTGCCTGCTTCTCTGGTTGTGAAAGTGAAGCCTAAAGTTCACAGCCTGGTCGGAGGTTTGTAACGGAGAACTGCATTCTACCTTCCTAGAGTTCTAGAATGCTGAATCTTGCTCTGTGGCAAGCGTTTTTACTTAGTTTTTGTTCCTACTTAATGTACTAGCTGCTCAAGGACTTAGTGTCTGGCAGAAACTGTCTGACAGAAACTCTTAAAAGGAGCTGTATTTTTTTTTTTTTCTTTAAGCTTTCTCAGGCCCTGTGGAAATTTGAGCTCCACGTTGGGTTCCAAAATGTGTTTTTTGTTTTTGCTCTTTTTGGGGGGCCCACCACCCAGCTCCCAAATAAACCATACATGGAGGCTTATACTTAATTACAAATGCTCAGCCTTAGCTTGGCTTGTTTCTTACCAGCTTTTAACTTTAAATTATTCCTGTCTATCTTTGGCCTCGGTGCTTTTTCCTTTCTCTATTTCTGTATACCTTTTCTTTCCTTCTTACTCCTTGTCTGGCTGTGTAGCTGGGTGGCTTGGTGGTTAGCCCCTGAAGTTCTTCTCCTTCTCTGGTTACTTTTTCTCCCCAGATTTCTCCTTCTATATCTTCTTTCTGCCTGCCAGCTCCGCCTATCCTTTCTCCTGCATTGCTACTGGCCATTCAGTTCTTTATTAGACCATCAGGTATTTTAGACAGGCACAGTAACACAGCTTCACAGAGTTAAACAAATGCAACATAAACAAAAGGTAACACACCTTAAAATAATATTCCACCTTACTTTTTTTTGAAAAAGGGCCTCTCACTGAGATCTAGAACTCACCAAGTAGGCTACGCTGACTGGCCAGCAAGCCCCAGGCATCCTCCACTACTGTTTCCCCAACACTGAGATTCTAAGTGTGTGCCACCACACCTGGCTTTTAAAACATAGGTTCTGAGAGTTGAACTCAGGCCTCCATGCTTGCATAGGAAGCACTTTATCCACTGAGCTGTGTCTTGGTGTTTTGTTATCACGTTATTCTTTTTGGCTTACTATTCTGAATAGTAATGATGGTGGCTTGTAAAATATAAACAAGGAAAAGCTGAAAGTTAAGATAGTACCTGGAATAGGGTTGCCATGAGTTTACAAAAAGAATTTTTATATTATATTCCTTTTACTTAAAAACCTGCCTTTCTGAACTTGCTATTTTTCATAACTTGTGCTTGATAACCAGTAAATCATTTGCTAATTGGTATTCATTTTTAAAAACTTACCCATGATCAATTTGTTTCAAATTAGGAATGGATTTTTATAGGGATATTGGAATCATTTTGTTTGTTTTAGGCAAGGGCAAATGGATTAAAGTCATGTGTAATTGTCCTCCGCATTCTGCGTGATTTGTGCAACAGAGTACCTACATGGGCACCATTGAAAGGATGGGTAAGTACTTAAATGTGATTAAAAACAAATCTGAAGCTATAGCAGAGGAAATTCTAGAAATGATGTTACTATAGAATGACTGCCTTCTGAGTTAATTAAGGCATACATTGTCTTTTTTTGCCCTAGAATTAATTATGCAATTTTATAAATTCTTTTATGCATATAACTTGTCTCTCTTGTCTTGTCATTTGTGTTTTAGACTTGATATATGTATATAAAAATTGTACATCTCTCTCCCTTTCTCTCTCCTCCCCCTCTCTCTCTCTACACACACACACACACACACACACACACACACACATACACACACACACACACACACACTCCCGATCTAAAGGTTTTATACCTTTTAGAAGTAAGTCCTGTTTTGCTTTAACTCTGGATTGATTATTGATCACTCATGAATCGCTCGCTGCTGCTGATAGCCTTCTTGGCTGGTCCATTGCCCTCAGTGTGGTGTTACATTTCTGTGGAGACTATCTGATAGACTGGTGTCTTTTGTAATTCTCATGAAATGTAGACACAGATCCAACATGTTAGGTTAAATGCAATGTATATAATAGCAATTAGGTTAAGTGCAGTGTTTGCCTGATATTAATTACTAATTAGAGACATAACATATATTGTAACATTGACTTAATTTGGAAGTTAATATGCCTGATCCAGTCAGGACTATAAATTACAATTTTATGAAAATAATTTAAAGTTGTAAAGATTCATTTATAAAATAATGAGCAATTATGAACATTTATGCAACTTAATAAGTTTCAGTGTATCTAATCAGAGGTGTGGTTCTTTGTTTATTATAATTGTTGCTCTGGGAGAAGGCTATTTGAAGGAACTCAACTTTTTATAGTTGAGTGCTTAAAAACCTGCCTTTCTGAACCATAACTTGCTATTTCTCATAACTTGATTTTTTGGTTTGCTTGATACCCAGTAAATTATTTGCTAATTGGAATTCATTTAAAAAAACTTATCTGAGATCAGTGTGTTTCAATTGAGGAATGGATTTTCTACAGGGATATTGGAATCATTTTGTTTGTTTAGGCAAGGGCAAATTGGTTAAAATCATGTGAGTGTTTCCTAACTTAAGTGGGATTTAGATAGACCAGTTGCTACCTTGGTTATTTATTAGCTATTGCTCATATCAAAACTTGTTAATCTTAAATGAATTATATGACTGTAATTTCATTTTTTTTGTATCTAAAAACCATAAAGTTTTTGTCTCAAATATTTTCAGAATATATCTAAAAATACTTGATTTAAGAAATGATTGGATTAGAGTAGATAATCATGGGGGAAGAGTTAAATGGACCTTAAATATTAAATTGTCTACACTTTTTTGGCTTCCCTTAGATAGAAATGTCAGCTCACATTTAACTGGAATCCTTTTAACACTTGGTGCATGTACTAATTTGTAATTTAATATCTTCTAGCCACTAGAGCTTATATGTGAAAAGTCTATAGGTACTTGTAATAGACCTTTGGGCGCTGGGGAGGCCTTGAGACGAGTAATGGAGTGTTTGGCATCTGGAATACTACTTCCTGGTAAGGGTTTCAAACTCTCAAGGCAGAAGAATAAGAAAAAAATCTTACTTTAGTTAATTTATCTAAACATATGCTAAATGTTTGTCCTCTGCAGAGGAAAATGATGTGTAGGAGTTGTGATCTTTGGAATTTTAGCAGCTCGAATGTTTGTGTGTGGAAGAGTGCTGTAAAGCTTTTCCATAGTTCTAATTTGTGTTTTATATGTACTAACATAAAGGGTACTAATAGATACTGTGTCTGCTATGCATTTGCTTCACCTAGAAGTCTGAATCTGGAAATGTAAATGCTTATTTGAAAAGTATGAAGTTCATTTTGTTTGCAAGTCTGTTATTAAATTTTGAAAAATTAAATATGTAATCTATTTAAAGTTTCATCATGTTGTTGTAAATTCTTGGAGTATGGCTCATTTTGGTATTAGGTGACTTCCCGTAAAAAATGACAGTTAGGTGCTAACACTGCAAATGACAGATTGTCCTTAGTACTCCACTCATATGAGCAGACTTTTAACTTAGTTCTACAGTTTTTTCCCTTCTCTCTTTGTTACTTTGCTGTGTTCTAAACTCATTTCTAAATTTTTATTTTTCCTTGCCTTTGCCAAAGGGGGTCCTGGCCTTCATGATCCTTGTGAGAGAGACCCAACAGATGCTCTGAGCTACATGACCACTCAGCAAAAAGAAGAAATCACTCAAAGTGCACAGGTATGAGACTGGTGTATCACTGATTGCTTAGAAAGATACCATAATTTCCATTTCTGAATTGTTCTGTGTGGCTACATTTCTTATATGTTTAAGTTAGGGAATTCTACCAGTATAATAACATCAGTATGTAAAGAATGTCATTTGAGTTAAATGTCATATAAGCAAGAATGGTTATTGAGATTTCATTAAATATAATGTTTTATTCTTTAGCATGCACTTAGACTATCAGCCTTTGGCCAGATTTATAAAGTGCTGGAAATGGACCCCCTTCCATCTAGTAAGCCTTTTCAGAAGTATTCCTGGTCGGTTACTGATAAAGAAGGTGAGTATGAAAGGTTTTTTTGTTTGTTTGTTTTTTTTGTTTTGTTTTGTTTAATTAGAATTGAGGGTTAACATTGATGGTGGTGTGCACCTTGTTTAGGGAGCTTAAACATTGGTCATCCAAGTTACTGCTTTTTTTAACTTAATTGGCTTCTATCCAAAATATCAGTGATATCAGCCTGCTCTCTCATTTGTTCTTATTAGTGATCAGCTTATTTTCCTGTGTTGCTAGATTTTGTTACTGCATAGACTTAAGAACCATACTTTAGGCTTCTGGTCTAAGAGGAGATAAACCATAAGTTAAGAAGAGACGTTATCTCTGTCACTGGTCAGTGTGATGAACTTTCTGAAGTTTGCAAGTGATTTGTACAAAGAAAGAGAAACAAAAGTATAGGGGATGAGAAAAATGTATTGGGAAATTCACGGCCACCTCTGTTTGTACTTGTCTGCTTGTACTTGTTGTTGTGTGACGAAATGTTTCCTGGGCAGATGAAACACATTCATCTTTTCACCCCAGATAGGAAACTCAAAACAGACCAAAGATACCACCAAAGTCCAACTTGGTGAACCAATGAATTTTATTGGGGTTACTGTGGGTGAGGGGTTACTTAATAGGATCAGGAATGACTCAGAGGCAACTGCATCACCAATGCCCACCTGCGCACAGGTGACAGCTCACAAAACCTGGGAGCACACTGCACAGCTTTCAGGCAGCTCAACAGGTTGGAGAGTGTCTTTCTAGGTGTTTCAGTTGGTCTAAACCTCTTCCAGGCAGCTCTTTTTGTTCCAAGAATCTTCTTTGAGCTGGGCTCTTCTTACTCTGGCAGAGAGGGGCCTAGTGAATCTGGTTAGTTTCAGGGAGTTCTTGAAATGGTTTTTCCATTTTCTAGGATCGTCTGTGATTTCTTTTTTAATGTCTTAAAGTTTTTATTTTATGTGTTTTACTTTTATAGTTATTCTGAGATTGTGTGTGTGTGCTATGTGAATGCTGTTTTCTTTATTTCTCTCTTGGCATGTTTGGTGTTTCTATATAGGAAGGCTGCTGAGTTTTGTGTGTTAATTTTGTATCCTGCCAGTTTTCAGAATGTATTTATGAGCTGTAGAAATTTCTTGGTGGCGTCTTTAGGGTCTTTTATGTTTAAAATCATACTATCTGCCAATACCGTTACTTTGACTTCTTCTTTTCCTGTTTGTATCTTCTTGATCTTCAGTTTAACTGCTCTAGCTAAGACTTATATAAGCAATATATATTGAATGACAGTGGAGACAGTTGTCTTGTTCCTGATTTTAGTTTAGAATGATGTTGGCTATGAATTTGTTGTAAATAGCCTTTGTTACGTTGAGATTTGTCCCTTGTAACCCTAGTCTCTTCAGGACTTTTATCATGAAGGGATGTTAGATTTTGGTAAAGGCCTTTTCTGCCTCTGATGTGGTTTCTGTCCTTTAGTCTGTTTATATGGTGGATTCTGTTTATTGATTTACATATGTTGAAATATACCTACATCTCTGGGATGAAGCTGACTCAATCATGGTTGATGATCTTTTCATATATGCCTGCATTCAGCTTGCAAATATTATAGAGAACTTTTTTTTTTTTTTTTTGGTTTTTCGAGACAGGGTTTCTCTGTGTAGCTTTGCGCCTTTCCTGGAACTGGAACTCGCTTTGGAGACCAGGCTGGCCTCGAACTCACAGAGATCCGCCTGGCTCTGCCTCCCGAGTGCTGGGATTAAAGGCGTGTGCCTCCACCGCCCGGTGAGAACTTTTACTGTATAAATACTCTGTATTTTTCAGAGGTGCTGGCTTATCATTTTCTTCTTTTGTTGAGTCTTTTGTGATTTTGGAAATACTGACTTTGTGTTGTAATGTCTCCCTTTCATTTCTAATTACAATTAAAAATTATTTTATGTGCATGAGTGGTCCCCCCCCCCCCCAAGGTTTCTGGTGCCTGTCCTAGGTCTTTTTTCTGTAGACCAGGCTGGCCTTGAACTCACAGAGATCCACCTGGCTCTGTCTCCTGAGTACTGGGATTAAAGGTGTGCGCCACCACCGCCTGGCTGTGTATGAGTGCTTTGCCTGCAAGTATATCTGTGTGCCATGTGTGTGCTTGGTGTTCATGGAGGCCAGATCCTTTGGAATTGAAATTATGGATGATTGTGAGCCACCATATGGGTGCTGGGAAATAAATCCAGGTCCTTTGCAACAGCAACTAATGCTCTTAACCTCTGAGCTGTCTCTCCAGCCCTCTTATCTAAATTTGGATCCAATTTGGATTAGATCCTTCCTTCTGGCTAATTTGACTAAAGGTTTGTCAATTTTGTTGTTTTCAGTTTTTTCCCCCAAAGAACCATCTCTTTACATCATTGATTCTGTGTTGTTTTTCTTTCCTATTTCATTAATTTCAGCCCTGTGTTGATCATTTCTTCCTGTCTACTTTCTTTAGGTGTTTATTCTTGTTTTTGTCTTTTTAAGCATTCAAGTACCTTCCTATTAGGACTGCCTTTACTGTTTTGCATGGATTTTGGTATGTTGTTATGTTGTGTTTTTATTTTGATTCAATTCTGAGAAGTTTTACACCCGCATGGTTGTCCTGGAACTTGCTCTATAGACTAGGTGGGCCTTGAACTTGGAGATCTGACTGCCTTTGTCTACCAAGTGCTGGGATTAAAGGCATGTGTCACTGCTGCCTGGCTTAAATTTCCTTTTTGATTTCTCCCTTGACCGAATTTTCATGTAGTACCTTGTTTCCATGAGTTTGTCTGATTTATGCCATTTCTGTTGTTGTTGGAATTCAGCTCTACACTCTTGTGACCAGAAGATGGAGGATATTTAGTTTTCCTGTATTTGTTGAGACTTACATTGTGGTCATTTTTGGAAAAAGTTCCATGGGCTGCTGAGAAGAAAGTAAATTCTTTAGTGTTTGCATAGAATATTCTGTTAGGTTCATTTCATTTATGATGTCATTTAACTCCAGAGTTTCTCTGTTTGTGTCCGGATAACCTATCTGCAAGAGTGGGTTATTGGAGTTGTACACTTTCACTGTATTAGCAACAACCTGTGAGTTTCAGATTGTTTATTTTACAAAATTGTGTGCCCCTTTGTTTGTTTTGTAAATGTTTAGAATTGTAATGAATTGTAATGTGCTGTTGGTGAATTTTTCCTTTAATGAGTGTTAATTGCCTTTTCCTGTCTGTTCTGTCTTGTTTTGGTTTGAAATCCATTTTGCTGGGTATTAGAATAGCCTGTTTGTTTATTAGTTCAATTTGCTTGGAATATCTTTTTCTGTCCTTTTACCCTAATGAGGAAGATGTGTTTCTTGTAGGCAACAAAAAGACTCATCCTGTTTTCTAATCCCACTGTTAGTCTGTTTTTATTGGAAAATTGAGACTGTTGCTATTTAGAGTTACTATTGAGCAGTGTTTATTAATTTTTTTTTATTTTGTTGTTGTGGTTGTGTTGATTTTTTTCAGACCTCTTATGGTTAACTGTTCTGGGTTTTTTTGTTCCTTCCTTCTCTTGGGTATGCTTAATCTTCTCTTTAGACCAAAGTATTTCTTATAGTATCCTCCGTTGAATTGGCTTAATAGACATGAATTCCTCAAATTTGTTTTTATCATGAATATTTTTCTTTCTCTTCCAGTTATGACTGAAAGTTTTGTTGGGTATAGTAGTTTGAGCTGACAGCTGTGGTCATTCAAAAACATATAGAATGTCAGACCAGGTCTTTCTTGCTTTCAAAGTCTATATTGAAAAATTAGGTGTTATTCTGATGAGTCTGCCTTTATATGTGACTTGGTCTTTCTTTCTGGAGGCTTTTAATATCTTTTCTTTGTTCTGTACATTTAGTATTTTTATCATTTTGTCTCTTACCCCACCCCCATCTTGTTTGGTTTTCTGTATGCCTCTTGTACCGTGATAGCATCCTTTCCCTTAAATTTCGGAAATTTTCTTTTACTATTTATTTTGGAAAGTATTTTCTGTGCCTTTGACCTGGGTTTCTTTTCCTTCTTTTCTACTTTGTATTCTAGATTTGATTGCTACTAGGGGTGAAGAAATTTCAACTACTGTTCAGAGATTGGGAGTACATGTTGCCAATGCAGTTTGTGGAGTGAGGGCATTCTGAAATTTCTAAGTGTATTGTTTTGAGATGCATGTGTACACATACTATGTTCAGGTTAAGGAATTAGGCTGCCAAGTACACTATTAAAATATGCATGTATGTGAATCTGTATACATAACCCAAACCAAATTGGGGTCTTAGGTACTGAACTCCTGTGTGTGCCCACTTCACTGTAATATGGCATGTTGTAATTAGTTTCCACCCTTGTGACTGAGCAAACAGAGAATAGAGGTACTGTTTGTCCTTGTTATATGTTAAATACTTAAAATTGCCTATATGTAGATTATGCTGAAAATATTTGTTATTGAATAGATGCATGTATGAGTTTATAATGGGAACAATAAGGGGTACTGGCTTTGAGTGCTTCTGAGGATAAAGTTGTTACACATAAGAACTAAGGATGGTACCAGACCTCAGAAGTGATCTCATTACCAGACCACGAAGGTTATAATGACTTGCTTTTTATAAATGTAAGCCCATGTTTTCCCTTATTAGCCCCAGGTATTCGAGTTCTTTTCCAATGGCATTGCTGATAAAATGAAGCTACAGAATTCTATCCATGTAGCTGGCATACTTAAATCCGTGTATTTAACCAGCTTATACTTTCTAGTTAGGGAGCTGCTTTTAATGTAGGATAATGAGTGGGAAAAGGATTGAATAAACATAGTTCCTACATATATATAATTTTTTTTTTTTTTTTTGAGACAGGGTTTCTCTGTGTAGCTTTGCGCCTCTCCTGGAACTCACTTGGTAGCCCAGGCTGGCCTTGAACTCACAGAGATCCGCCTGGCTCTGCCTCCCGAGTGCTGGGATTAAAGGTGTGCGCCACCACCGCCCGGCTCATAGTTCCTATTTTAAAGCTTCTATTTCTTAAAAATTTCACTCTCGAAGACTAACATACTTATAGTTGTATGCAAACAAAACAGCAATGCTAGGTAGACATTGCTTCTTGTTGGAGAACATCAAGTTTGAGCTGACTGGAAAATATTGACTCAAGCAATTGCTGAAGTGTTTATGCCAAGGGACAATAAATCTTGATAGTGAGAAAATACAGAACTTCACTGTTATTACATATTTTTCCTAGAATTATCTAGAAATTTTGTGGCATGAATATCTTGAGCATAGCTTTTCTTAGGAAAAGTCCCGTGAACTAATTTTTAAGTTGAAGACAGAATTCATTAATGTACTTTGGCAGGCTGATGACCTTTCCTCTCTTTCTCCTTTGAACCTTGGGCAGCAAAGCACTTTTATTAGTATCATTTTCTTTAGGTTTCTTTCCATTATGTTATTTCTACCTCTCATGTTAAAATACTCTATAAAATAGAAGACAAGTAGAAAATACCCTTTGATCTGCACCAACTGCAATTAAGGACACATAAAATGTATATGCAAATAGGCAATACTACACAGTGTTCTGATTAAGTAGGAAGTTGATAGTGGGTAAAAAGCCTTGTAGAAAACTGTGAATAAAATCTTGCAAAAGACTTATAATTCGATGATCAGATTTATAAAAGCTTAAGATCTTAATATATTGAGAATTTCTAGAAGCAATTTAGAAATACTTGAAAAGGTAGATCAGTTCTTCTAAACCAACTATTGTTGGTTGTTTTTTCTACTCTTTTGTCGGGGCCTGCCACCCAACTCCTAAATAAATCACACACGGAGGTTTATTCTTAATTATAAATGCCTGGCCTTAGCTTGGCTTATTTCTAGTCAGCTTTCCTTAACTTAAATTATCCCATCTATCTTTTGCCTCTGGGCTTTTTCCTTTTCTTACTTCCTTAATCTTATTTTCACTCTTACTCTGTGGCTGGCCCCTAGCATCCTCCTCTCCTTGTTCTCTTGCTCTTCTTTTTCTTCCGGATTTCTTCTTCTATTTATTCTCTGTCTGCCAGTCCCGCCTATCCTTTCTCCTGCCTCACTATGGGCTGTTCAGCTCTTTATTATACCATCAAGTGTTTTAGATAGGCAAAGTAACACAGCTTTACAGAGTTAAACAAATTCAACATAAAAGAATGCAACACATCTTTGCATCATTAAACAAATGTTCCACAGCATAAACAAATTAATACATCCTAAAATAATATTCTACAACATTTCCCCCTTTTTGTCTGAATTTAAAAGTTTTAACTTTAACATAGTAAAACTGTACACAACAAAAACAGTTGTCAGGAAAGAATCAAATTTACAATATTCTGTCCATTAGTAGTTAGCATATTCAGAGAAAGTAATGCACTATCTATCCTATCTTAGTGAATCCAAAGTTTTACACCTAACTTACTTTCTATCAAAACTAAGGAAAACTGCAACTATAACTATCTAGTCTTCAACTCCATCAAAGACCTAGAAAGATATAATATTATCTAACAACAGAGACCGTTGACTGCCTGGACAGCCACCCAAAGTTCCTCTGCAATGTTGGGCCATCCATCTTCAGCCTACAGGCCTAGAGCATCTGACAAATTTTTCAGTGAAGCAGGAAATTTGAAGGACTGTCCTGCCTTGTATTGGCAAAGTTCGTCAGTTGATTTCCTCTGTGTCCTGCATGTCCAGTCTGCACAGCACATTGTCAGCAGTTAAAGGCAAGAGCAGTTTCTTTGCCCAGTGGTTAACCTTGCCACAGTGAAAGCAAACTCCATAAGGAGTTTCTTCAATGCCCATCGCCTTCTCTGAAGTAAATTGGTGCTGCCAGGAGCAGATGTGTCTCATTGTCATGAAAAAAGCCTTAGGCTGACAAAACATTTTAAATGCCATATTCTGTATGTCTTTGAAATGTTTGAAAACCATTTATCTGTCTAAAAATATATATCTGTATGATCTTGAAAGCATACCTAACATATCTAAAAATTTTATTGTTATAGATGACAAACTACTGACCCGTGTTTCTTGATTATCCTAAATAGTTCATAATAATAGCTTTCAAAAGCTAGAATTTTTTACCTTACATTTTTAAAGGAACTGCATAGGTGCAATACCTTAAACAAGAGTGGAAACATATATACAGTAACAAAAATAACTTTGTATCAATATACTATATATAAATGATAACCAACATCCGTAACCCACCAAATAATCAACTGCCTCCCATAACCCCACTCTTGGGAGTATGGACATTGTGTTCTCCAAACTGCTTCCTGCTGTCTGTGGACAAAACATCTCTAGGGTCGCAGAGAGAAGATTTGAGATAATGGCCAAGTCCTGGGAAGACCAGCAGTGACCTTTGTTGATAGATATCACCTGTCAAGATTCAGGAGGTCTCCTTTGAACAAACCTGATCTATATTAACCCAAAATGAATCCACAGCGTCTTGTTTCCCATGGAAAAAAGCAAAACCTCTTATCCAAAGCATTTTTGACTTCCATTTTAAAGTTAAGGCATTCCTAAAATATCCAGGCTGGTGTATGTCATCAGTCCTTCTTTCAATCCCATGTCTCTCAGCAGCTGTTGTTTGCTTGTCAGCAATCAAAACATTCAAAATCAACACAATACTGTACAGGATCCAGACTCCCTGTGTATTTCCCATCTCTATGTGGTTTACTCTTTTTTATTATTTTACTTCTCTTTTTAAAGACTTTTTTTATTTTTAAATTCTTTCTTTCAATGACTGTCCATACCCTTTTTCTTTTCTTTTTTAAGCCTCTGCCATTGTTAAACACATGGTAACCTTTTTAAGGTTTTTTTTTTCCATCTGAACCTGCTTTCTTGCATATCTTTTAGCCTTTTTTGACCACACTCGCAAACTTTAGACTGCTAAGCTACACCTTTAGACTGCTAAGTGCGACTCTCTTGGCTTGCTCTGTCTGCTTCTAGGTTTGTGAGAGCCAAGTCTAAAGCTTGTGGCCTGCTTGGAGGTTTGTGACTGAAAACTGCATTCAATCTTCCTAGCCTAAGGAAGCCGGTACTTGTGTTGCCATAAGTGGTTTTTACTTAGCTTGATGTTTCTAGTTTCTATTTAGTGCTGCTGGCTGAACATCAGTGCCTCGTGCCTCTTTTCTTCTCTTTTCTTCTCTTTTCTTCTCTTTTCTTCTCTTCTCTTCTCTTCTCTTCTCTTCTCTTCTCTTCTCTTCTCTTCTCTTCTCTTCTCTTCTCTTCTTTTTCAGCTTTCTCAGGCCCTAGGGATATTCGAGCCTCACGTTGGTATGCCAAATGTTGTTGGTTGTTTTTGCTCTTTATTAGACCATCAGGTATTTTAGGCAAGCACAATAACACAGCTTCACAGAATTAAACAAATGCAGCAAAAAGAATGAAACACATCTTTGCATCAGTAAGCAAATGTTCCATAGAATAAACAATTGTAACACATCCTAAAATAATATTCTACAACTAGCTACTTTTAATCATCTGACACGTAGATGATAGACTTTTTGTTCAGTTTTATAACAGATGTGAATATATGCCATTCTAGTTTGGTTTGTGCAATAAAGTACCTTAGACTGGAAAACTTATAATTACAGTTATGCAAGCTGGAAGTTTAGGCCAATGCTCCAAGAGACCTGATGTTGGGTTGTCTGGTAATGGTCCTTTTCCTTTTTCTTTTTGATATTTTGAGACGGTCTACATAACTTCGGTTGTCCTGGAATTTACTTTGTAGACCAGGCTGGCCTCAGTCTTAGAGAGATCTGCCTGCCTCTGTCTCCTGAGTGCTGGGATCAAAGGTATGTGCTACCACTGCCCAACACTTAGTTAGTAATAGTCTATTTCTTTTCATTTTCTAGACAAGGTTTTCCTGTATAACCCTGGCTGTCCTGGAACTTGCTCTGTAGACCAGGCTGGCCTTGAACTCAGATGTGCCTGCCTCTGCTTCTTAACAGATGGCACCTGCTATATGTCTTATTATGGAAGAGGCACTCTCTTTCAGGCATATTTTACAACTCTAACTAATGTTCATTAGGGTTGTGCCTCACACACAACCTCCCTCAACATCTTTGCATAGGGGATTAAGATTGAGCATGTGAATTTTAGGATAGAAGCATCTAGACCATAACATAGACATATACATATCTGAATAAATGTAGAATAGGTATTTATAAAAATGAAACCATTTATTTAAATAAATGGTTTCAAAAGATTATTGCACATTCTAGATTATAACTTTGGCATTTTAATTGATCGTTGAAAAACTCGTGTGATCTTTTTGAGATTTTTCTACTCAAACATTAAAAGAATCCTTGTTTTAACTGACAGTGAAGATCTCAAAATTGTTTGTAGGTGCTGGATCTTCAGCTCTAAAGAGGCCATTTGAAGATGGATTAGGGGATGATAAAGATCCCAATAAGAAGATGAAACGAAACTTAAGGAAAAGTATGTAAATCATTATTCTAATTGTGGGAACTAGAGAAGGTTTATAGCTTCAGAAAATAAGAAATGAAGAGTTTCATTGACTTGAATTAGAATTTTTTTTTTTTTTTTTTTTTTGGTTTTTCGAGACAGGGTTTCTCTGTGTAGCTTTGCGCCTTTCCTGGGACTCGCTTGGTAGCCCAGGCTGGCCTCGAACTCACAGAGATCCGGCTGGCTCTGCCTCCCGAGTGCTGGGATTAAAGGCGTGCGCCACCACCGCCCGGCGACTTGAATTAGAATTTTAAGAATAGACCTTAGTTGACAAAATTGGTAATTGAACTTTGAGTTTCATTGCTTAAGACATCAGTGCTGGGCTGGAGAGATGGCTCAGAGGTTAAGAGCACCGACTGCTCTTCCAGAGGTCCTGAGTTCAATTCCCAGCACCCACATGGTGGCTCACAACCGTCTGTAATGAGATCTGGCACCCTCTTTTGTATACATAATAAATAAATAAATCTTAAAAAAAAATAAAAAAAAGACATCAATGCTGACAAATAGAAATTAATGGGACCTTATTTTTAGCATCCTATTAGTATAAGAAATTCAAAGACTACTCATGGAGAGAATTTGTATTTTAAAATTCTCATTTTTGTAAACACATGAGAAATTTAAAAACATTCTTTATATTTATTTTATTAGACATAATGAATGAATGTTTTGCCTGCATTTATGTATTTGCACCATGTGCATTCCTGGTGCCTGCAGAAGTCAGAAGAGGACATCAGGTACCCTAGAAATGGAGTTAACAGGTGGCGGTGAACCACCATGTGTATGGATGCTGGGAACTGAACCCAGGTCTTCTGCAAGAGCAAGTGTTCTTAACTGCTGATCTGTCTTTCTAGACCATCACATGGGGAATTTATAGTGGCTAATGGGAGCTACAGATATATTGTTTGAAGCCAAATGGCTTTCTAGTTAATTTCTAATCTATTTTCTCTTTCTTTCATAGTTCTGGACAGTAAAGCAATAGACCTTATGAATGCACTAATGAGATTAAACCAGATCAGGCCTGGGCTTCAATATAAGCTTTTGTCACAATCTGGCCCAGTCCATGCCCCAGTCTTCACAATGTCTGTAGATGTGGATGGCACAACATATGAAGCCTCAGGACCATCCAAGAAAACAGCAAAACTTCATGTAGCAGTGAAGGTACAGTATTCTTTTACTTGCCAGTGCTTCCTTTGTTTTGTTCAGATAAAGTGCTTACCTATATCTGTAAGGCTTTAAGGACAGTGACATAGAAACTTCTTTCACCTATGGATCACATTTGTTATTGTTGTGACATAATATGTGTTGATTGTATGCAATTTAGAAAATACAGAAATTGTATGCCACATTTTTGAGGCAAAGATAATATTTATACATAGTGCATTGTTCATAGAGATGCTTTGTTCTTGAGATATTTTTATAGAGAATAATAATGAAAATTTTTGAATAATCATATAGATAATCCACAAATAATGAATCTCTCAATAAATTTGATTTATTGTAGACTAATGCCAAAATGTCAAAGATCATGCATGTACAATGAAGATTGATTTTTATTCTGTCATTTAAGAGTATATGGTATAAAATAGAATTAGTCTGTTTTCATGGATATTACATTTGCTAAAATATTGTTAAAGTAGAGCAAGCAGTATGCTAGATGCTAAGGAAAGAGTTTATGGAGTTTAGTGGAGTTTATGGAGTTTAGTGTGGATAGGATGGAGATACAGATAATGCATATATGCAAAGTATATAGTGTGCTAGTGATTAGAACTATACAGAAAAATAGTAACAAAGTGATAAAAAAAATACCAGACAGTCCATTCTGCTTTGTTTATAAATTTAAAATTAGACTATAAATTGAACCCAAGACTTAAGACTAAAAATAGAGTTTAATAATTGTTTTAGTTGTTTTCTATTGCTGTGATAAAGACCATAATCAAAATCAGTGTGGGCAGGAAAAGGTTTATTTCAGCTTACATCTTACATACATCATGTAGGGAAGTCAGGGCAGGAACCTGGAAAGAAGAATTGAAGCATAAGTAAGCCATGGAGGAATTCTGCTTAACTGGTTTGCTCCCCATGGCTTTCTCTGTCTGCTTTCTTATTGCCTCCCATGGTGGGCTAGGCCCTCCCACATCAATCAGTTAAAAAAAAAAATACTCCACAAACTTGCAGACAGGCCAATCTTATGGGGGCATTTTCTTTTTCTTTTCTTTTCTTTTCTTTTTTTTTTTTTCCCCCTGGAGCTGAGGAATGAACCCAGGGCCTTATGCTTGCTAGGCAAGCGCTCTACCACTGAGCTAAATCCCCAACCTCGGGGGGGGGGGGGGGGGGGGGGGCGCGTTTTCTTAATTGAGAGGTTCTCTTTTCCCAGATGACCCAAGTTTGTGTCAAGATGACAAAACCAAACCAAAACAAACCATTGCAAATGAGCTGTGCTGAGTACCCTGAGAATGAACTGCAGATTTAAAGCTAAATTCTGTAGTAAGACAAAAAGCTTGTGAAATAAACTGTTTATGGCATAAGAACAGTCAGTTGGTTTTTGAGAGTCACAGTTGTGTTTGTTAAGGGTCAGGTGGGCATTTCTTCTTGGGTAGATCTCTACAACATAGGATACCAGTAATCCTTAATGTATTGTCTACTTTTACTCTATGCTAATAGCCTCATAGCAATTTGTAGTTCATTTTTTTTAACACAGTGAATTAGATGCTATTTTCATTTGATACAGTGATAACAATATTATACCACGATGGATTATTTTAACCTAACTTTTGGTAAACATGGTGGACTTGTAGACTTAGAGTTTCTCAGTTTGCTTTCTTACATTTCAAGGGTATATAAGCACACATCTGAAGCATCAGTTATAATTCCAATGGCATTGGGTCAGAGGAGTGAGTTAACATCCTTTTTATAATTTGTGTTTCAGAAGATGACTTTCATGCTTTTTCTCTTTCTCTCCTTTTTTTTTTTTTTTTTTTTTTGTCTTTAATTGCAGTTTGGGTAGAATGTGCAGTTGAGTAGTAAATCTGAACTATGTGAAGAGTTGAGATTTGACTGTTTTGAATGGCCACTCAATTAGATTGCTGATGCACTCAGAGGAGATGAAATATCAGAGTAAATCAGCTTTGAAGCTTTGGATACCCCTCTGTGGATAATTTGTTTGTTTGGCTTATGATTATTATGCAGCAGTGTGATATGGAGACGTAGTCAGAAGTAGCCTGTGGTTCATTTTGGGTCTCCCCATTCTTATACTAGTTTGTGTACTGGATAGCTATATTCTAGAGTTTGCTTTCTGTGTTGAGGCAAAGAGTTCTTCCTAAGGTTTTCAAGTTTTAATGTTTAATTGTGTGTGTGTGTGTGTGTGTGTGTGTGTGTGTGTGTGTGTGTGTGTTGGGGAGGGTGTACATGTATGATGGCATGAATGACTCTCAGAGGACAACTTTTGGGAGTCTGTTCTCTATTTTTAACTTAAGAGCTCCACAGATCAAACTCAGGTACCTGTGTCCTCTATCTTGCCAATACAAGCTCTTTGGGTAGTTTTTATTATTGTATGCCTGGCTTTGCAAAAGTTGGCTTTTCTTTTCTTTTCTTTTCTTTTTTGGTCATGTATGTTTGTTGTAGTTTAGAGAATGAATGAAACATCCTTAATTCCAACAGTTAGAAATAACAGCAACAGGTTTTACATTAAGTGCAGAAGGTGTTTATTTTTTCCCAAGCTTTATTTTTACTTAAACTTGCAATTCCAAAATTCAAGGAAGTTTAGCTGTTTGATGTAATCATAGAATTTGTACTAATTGGGTGGCAAGACCCAAGCTGAATTGATGCAGGGCGTTTTTAAATCTTTATTATTCCATTTAATGTTTCTGTATATGAATATAGGCTAGTACCTGAGCATTCACTTGGGATTTTTGTCAAATAATTTGGTTTTATATTAGGTTTTGGAAATAGAAACTTAAGAATTCTCAAAAAAAAAAAATTGGCCCTAAGAGCAGTGGACCTACATGTTGTGTATAAATATGTACATAAAGTAGTTCCCTGTTGCTTTGCTCATCTAAACATAGTTATTTTTCTATTGAAGATTGTTCTAATATTAGCTGATGGCTGAAAAATTTATTTTTATCAAGTTATCATAAAGTACTTGTTTTGAATGTCTTAGTTTATTAGTTTTCATATTTTTGACCTTGTCTGATTATCCTCTAAGATACATTCTAGAGATGGAATTACTGGGCCAAAGTTAATGAATAATTCATTAATTCATTAAAAAATGTATTGGGAATCCTATTATATATCAGAATACATTGCCAGATTGCAGTCCCTGAAGGTCGTACACATATTTACAGATGAGTCAGAGGCAGTGCTGCCCTTCTGGAGGTAGATCCTTGGACAGGACCTTCAGAAAGATCACTCCAAGTCAAAGTACAACAAATCGACTAGAAATTTGTCACTGCCACGATAGTCGGCTTAGCTACCCAGCTGCAGCTTCCCTCTCCTTCTGCAGCTTTTTTTTTCTGAGAGCCCCTGACAGAGGGTACATTTCACATATTCCTGTCATGAAAGTAATTGTGCTTTAGTGTGGAGAAAAGACAAACATGGAGGGGGACAAGGAGTGAAGACTTTTTTTTTTTAAATGACAGGTCTTTTCTGTGTAGCCATGGCTGGCCCCAGAACTCACTCTATAGACCAGGCTAGCCTCGAACTCAGAGATCTGCCTGATTCTTCCTCTAAATGGCCCTGAGTAAAGGTGATGAGTGAAAACCTTTTCGAGAAGTGTTTAGATCCATTAGGTGTTCTGAGAACCTGAGACCAGATCTCCATCCTACAGAAGCTATGAATCTTAGTTTCTTTTGAGCACAGAACCATGGAGTATTTTCTTTTTACTTCCAGTGCCCAGTCTTTGAGGGTAGCTCATCTTTCTTAGTCTTAACCTGTATCAGACTCAACTCTCTTCCAGGAAAAATGGGCCACAGTTACATACATAACTTGCTTTCAAGTTACCTTGTTTTAGTGAATTATCTTGAGAATTTTAAGCTCAGTTGATGTGTTTAATATGTTTGACTATGTTTTCTAGATACTTAAGCTGATTTTCTTTGATGTACTGGTTTTGCTTATTTTTGTCTTAACATTGATTTGAAACAAAGTTTGGTTCTGCTGAAGAAAGTAGACCAGGACAGTTATTAAGTAGGTGAAAATGGATTTTACACAAGAAATATTGCAATGGGTGGTAGTGAGGAAAACATCTTAGTATGTAACTGGACTGAATTCTCACTCCATAATTTATTGCCAAGGATCAGAGAATGATGAATGGGTGGGAATTACTGAAAAGAAACATCAGGGGTAAAGCATGATTTCTGACTAAACAGAACCAGCAGAATTTGTTTTCTATAAAAAAAAAATTTGTGTGTGTGTGCGCGTGTGTGTGTGTGACTGTAAAATGTGTACACATGTATGTGGGCATCCAACACAGAAGAGTGCGTTGGATGCCCTTCTTTATCACTTTCTGCTTTATTCCTTTGAGGCAGGGTCTATCCCTGAACCTGGGGTTTGCATATTCTGGACTATGCTTGAAGCCAGGAAGTCCCACCCATCCTCTTGTCTCTGTCCCACATGGAACTGAGATTACCGGTATGTACAGGATGCCCTGCTTGTTGCATGGGTGCTGTGATCCAAACCCAGGTTCTCATGATTGTGCAGCAAACAGTTTTCACTATTGAACCATCTTTCTAGCCCCTGACTAGCAGGATGCATTCTGAAGGCAGGCGAAGTCAATTGGACATCATACATGAGATTGTGTGATATGAGAGGATTTGGTCAGATACTGTGAATGATAAGATAGGAACAGAACCAATGTAACCTAGCAGGATTCTTGCTGCAATTGGGCTACTGAGAATAAGGAACCTAATTTAAAAAGTGGTCCTGCTGGGGTATGGTGGTGCATGCCTTTAATCCCAACACTTGAGATGCAGAGGCAGGTGGATCTTTGTGAGTTCGAGGCCACCCTGGTCTACAGAGTGAGTTCCAGGACAGCCAGGGATACATACAAACACTGTCTCAAAATTTAAAAAAAAAAAAAAAAAAAAAAGGTAGAGAGATTTGTAGCTAGACTTTGGTCCAGAAGAATCTTAGCAATTGTAGAGATCTGAGAACTCTTCACTTCTGACTTCTTTAGCCCATTCTAGTACTCTGAGAAGGTGTGTGATGGAGAATGACTTGAAGTTTCTTACTAGTCCTGTCCCTTGTCTGCTAAACCCTGGCCCTACCCTGGCGTGTCTGCATCACCACACCACCACCCACACTGAAACAAGGGCTTCATGTATGCCAGGCAAGAGCTCCACTTCAGAGCTATGTCTCTACCTTTTATTAGCTATTTTAAAGATTTATTTATTTTTATATGTGTAAGTGTTTTGCCTTCATGTATGTATGTGTGCTGGTGTCCGTAGTGGTCAGAAAAAAGTGCTGAGTCTCCTGGAACTGGAGTTACAGGTGGTTGTGAACCATCACCTGGGTGTTGGAAACTTAACCCAGGTCCTCTGCAAGATCAGCCAGTGCTCTTAAGAGCTGAACGTCTCACCAGCCTGTTATTTAAAAATAGTTATTAGAGCCAGGCAGTGGTGGCACATGCCTTTAATCCCAGCACTTGGGAGGCAGAGGCAGGGGGATCTCTATAAGTTCGAGGCCAACCAGGGCTACAGAGTGAGTTCCAGGAAAGGCGCAAAGCTACACTGAGAAACCCTGTCTCGAAAAACAAACAAACAACAACAACAAAAAGTTATTAGGTATCTAATTATCTTGAAAGTGGATACTGTATCCCTTAAGAGATAATACATCACTTTTATAAACTTTGTAAATGTCCTGAATTGTATTGCTGTCTTTACTTGGGTTAATAAATAAATGACTTAGGACAATCGAGAAGAGCAAAGCAGGAAGTGGTATTCAGTGATTAGCATTGAGGTTTCAGTTGTCTGTGTTAAACTGAGAAACATTCTCTCCCCTGCTGTGATGCTGAGATTTGAACCTAGGCCAGTGCCTGCATCCCAAGCCACATCCCTCTCTGTGCCTCTGTACTAGAGGAAAGAAGCCCTATTGTTGGTCAGTTCAACTTTGACCTATGGTGGGCATTATTAATGTTAGTTTTGTACTGATGGCTCTTGTCCAGGGTGAAATTTCTCAGGGAGAGCATTATTTTCAGAACTCAGTGGAGCAGGTGTTTTCTTTATGAAATATTGATGGATTAGCCAAGTGATGTTAGTGTACTTAGTGCTGTCTGAGTACTTTTAGAACTTAAGATCTTAAAAGGGGTTTTTGACTTGATTGCCAAATAAACACAAGGAATTTATTTATGGTGAGAATGCAGATTCTCCATATAGGAATTGGATGAGTTAATTTCCAGTTCACTTTGTACAGAGTTTAGCTTAAGCCCCCTCTTTTTTTGGAGTATTACTGTTTTATCTATATGGGTAAAATCTTTTATATAGATGCCATTTTCTGCGAAGATTTTTTTTTTTTTTTTTTGTAGTAACTTGGTTACTGTAACATCATTTTGAGGCACCTATTAAGTACGGTTGGTACAATGGAGAAGAAATAGGACATTGCTTATATACTCCAGCAACTGAAAGCTGATCTTTTAGACCCTACTCCTATATCATGGGCATATTGCTTTAATTAAGGTTGAGAGAATAGCTTAGTGGTGAGCATGTATGTAGCCTGGCAAGGCCTTGGGTTTGATCCTTATCACTCTCTTTAATTTAAAAATAAAGTAAAAAAGGTTTAGTCAATAACTCATATTAACCTGCTTTGAAAGAAACTCAATAAGATTCTAGTGAATTCATTGTCATGTTTACTGTAAAAGTAGTGTGATCTGGAAGGAGAGGTCAAAGATGCTGTACATGTGCGTGCACATACATACTTGGAACACAGGTCCACAAAGGTAGTATTGTGAAAGCTTTGTTTCAGAAAACTGAGAAACCCCGGGACATAAAGCTAGGAAACCTTAAGAGAGATGCATAAGAAACACAGCTGGCAATTGTGGCTCTACTGGTAAACCAGTTTGAAGGTAAAACACAAAACAAAACCAGCCAAATACAAACAGGACAAAGCAGTAACAAAAACAACTCTGGGTTCTGTTCCTTGGCCAATTCCTCAATGATTGTCATAGAATTTGGAGGTCAGCTGATCCAGTCTTCCTGCTTTGCAGATGGAGAGGTTGAAGAGCAGAGGAGAGTGATAGGAGTAGATTTCAATGTCTCTTTGTTTTCTAATTTCATTTTCTTTTTTAAGTGCTGTTTTACTGTCCCTCTCCCCCTTTTCCATTGGTTGAGCTTGACCATCCTGTATCTTTTCTTTATTGTTCTCCAAATTAAATGAGCTAGCAGTAACTTTAGGCTTGCATTTCTGAATCTTTGAGCTTGGTACTCTGAGGCAGCTCTCCCGTATTCATGCAGTGCTACCCTGGTAGGTGGAATAGATTGAACTGAGGATTCACAGGTGTAGTGCCATCTTGTTCTTCACAGGTGTTTCCGGAAACTAAATGTTACAGATTCTAAGACTTTTTATCTCAGAATTTCAGTTGTCCTTTTTGATCTTTGATAAGTGAATAAATGTGTTTTAATGGGATTTGTACAGGTTTTACAGGCAATGGGATACCCAACAGGTTTTGATGCAGATATTGAATGTATGAGCTCCGATGAAAAATCAGATAATGAAAGCAAAAATGAAACAGTGTCTTCAAACTCAAGCAATAATACTGGAAATTCTACAACTGAGACCTCCAGTACCTTAGAGGTATACTTGTGTTCTTTTCTTCCTTGGAATAAAGTAGTGCAAGTGCTGTGGAAACCTTAGAAATGTGGAAAAGAACAGGTGTCTCATAGAGGCATATATTACTAATAGTTTGAGTGGTAGTGGGTATCAAACTAAACCTTGTGGATATTAGGCAAGCACTCTACCACTGAGCCACAGCTGGAGCTCTCTAATTGCTTGTTTTGTTTATTTATTTATTTTTTGGTTTTTTTGAGACAGGGTTTCTCTGTGTAGCTTTGCGCCTTTCCTGGAACTCACTTGGTAGCCCAGGCTGGCCTCGAACTCACAGAGATCCGCCTGGCTCTGCCTCCCGAGTGCTGGGATTAAAGGCGTGCGCCACCACCACCCGGCAGTTTTGTTTATTTTTGAGACTGGGAAAATAGTAGTCCAGGCTGGCTTCCACCAACTCCCTGTATAGCTGAGGTTGACACTGAACTTGTAACCTCCTGTTCTACCTTCCAGGTGCTGGGATTACAGGAGTATTGCCACAACATCTGGCTCTTTTACCTTAATTGTGCCCAGATTTATTTCTGAATATACTTAGGAAGGCAGCCATGTTTCAACATAGCTTTACATCTTGATTTTCTTTTATGAACTCAAAAAGCATCTGTCAACATACCTATGCAAAAAAATAGATATACCCCAATTCAAGTAGCCTACTGGCCATAGAAGATAATTATAATGTATCAAGACTATCGGTACTAACTGAAGAACAAAAACCTAAAAGATCTAGTAGAGGAAACAGATTTTTTAAAGTGCATGCATGCTAAGCTGGGGCACATGAGGGTATGCATAAGTTCACCATTTAATTTGTGCATCCTTACAGGAGGGCGCAGACTGCCAACTGTGTATTTCAGAATTAGAGACAGTCCTAGACTGTGAACTAGTGATCCCAGATAATAGAATGGAATGAATCTAAGTACTGAGTATTTATAGTGCATTGGGAGGAGCTCCTGTTGGCTGCATTCTCTCTTTGGAATAATAGCAGAAACTCACATTTATTTTATTTTTTTTTAACGAAAGGTGCTTGTTGGGGGTGAGGAAGCACATATACATAGCAGACATAGAGCACACAGAGAAAAAGACTCTGCAAAGCAGAGGGACTACTCAGAAAGCTGAGAAACCCAGTCTCTTCTCCAGGGACTTTAAAGCCTCTATAGAGTCTTCCTTCCCTAATTTAGGGTTAGTCAGAAGAAAGACAAGATGGTTGATTGACCCAGGACTGTTGTGTGACATGTCCTGAGCAGGTCCTGAACTTGAGCCTGCCCATCACAGGGCTTGCTGGTGGGAGACAAAAGCCACCAAGGCCTTTGTTTTAAGCTACCAGGCTTTTGTCTCAAGTCAAAAGCTGACCATCTTGAAAATTTGCCATCTCTCTTGCCTAGCCATGGCCCCTCTCCCTGTCTGTCTGCCTAACAGGGAGTCTAACTCCTAGTCCTCATTACCCTTCCTTGGTGGGGAGAGTTTAAGGGGACAACTCCTCTTAGCTTCTTGGAGCTGACAAAGGGTTGACAATGTGGGCAGCAGTCAGTGTTTTAAAAGAGGGGTCATCTAAGTGACTATGATAAAATTTAACTGATGGCAATGATACAGAGCACAAGAAAGCTATTTGGTGATGGTATGTATCTTTGGAGCTTATTGTGTGAGGTAGCATCTTGATGAGTTGGTCCTCAAAAGAAATCCCAAGATAGGTCTTAAAATGATACCAACTTCAGAAGTCTGAGATGAGCCCCCAGAGTGATACTGTCTAGGAGTCTTGGTCAAGTTTATTTTCTGCCAGTTAAAAGAGTAAAAAATAGGAAAAATCTGTAGACAGCAGATAGCAGCAAAGAAATTTCAAGCCCAAAAGATAGAATGGCAGGCAGTTGAAGGAAGAAAGCATTTTATTGAGGATGAGGAAACACATACACAGCAGACATGCAGAAAAAAAAAGACCTCCTGCAAATCAGAGGGGAGACTTGGAAAGCCAAAAAAAAATCCTTACATTAAAAAAAAAAAACAAAATCAACTTTCCTACCCTTAGTTGTAAGAATAAGTAATTGTTAAGGACTCAAGTCTGTAAATCCCTGTCAGTAACTTTAGCCCCAGGTGCTTCAAACAGTGTTCAGAACCTGAAGATGCACCACTGCAGAAAGCAGAAAGATAGATTCATAGTAGGTGCTCCAGATAAATGCAATAATGTGAAATCTCAAAGGAAGAAGTAGTTGTTCCTGGCACATACACATACAGCCATGCAAAATTAGAATGCTGCAGCAAGAACAGTTCTGCATGAGGACTTTTGCCATCCCAGGAATAGGGGGAAGCAGGTATTCTGGGCTGAAAGAAGACAAGATGTCATGACCTGGAGTTGCAAGTACATGTCTGAGAAATGCCAAGTGCGCTGGTTGGTATGGAGAACACTGATGGAGTGTAAAGTCTGAGGAGGACACTAAGTTCTCCTACTGAAGAGGGTAGGTAGGGAGTCTGTTAGCAGAGGATTGCTCATTTACTGGTGGTAGTGAAAGGACCACATACTGTTTTGTTGACAGTGATATGTTTACCAGGACAAGTAAGGGCTTATAAATTATGAAGTTCAGGTGACTAGATTACAGAGGGAATTAGGAAAGAAAAGAGCAGTGTGAGCTGCTCTCATAGCAGCTACACAAGTTTTGATAGTGGGTACTGTTTACCCTTTGTGGTAATCAAGTGGAGACCTCTTATTTCTTCATATAATATAGTTTAATTGATCAAAATTGGTGATTTATGTGTGCTGGGGTGTGTGTGTGTGTGTGGGGGGGGAGATAAAGCATATTTGTTTGCATAAAAAGGGTTTGGTAGTTTGGACCCATCCTTCTAATAAGGCTGTAATATATCCCCATCCCTATATTGCCATACTTCTCTTTGGCCTTTGACTTGCTAATTCTCCCTTTTCCCTTGATGCCTACTCATGATTGGTCTGGCACTTATCCCTTTAAAGCCAGGTGTGCATGCCAATTTTAAGAAAACTGTCCTGATTACCTTTAAAAGTAATTCTTTGTGGATGGGTGTGGCAGTAGTTGGCTGTAATCCCAGCTCTTGGAAGGAATGAGAATATAAAACTCGAGTTCCACTGGGCAGTGGTGGCGCACACGTTTTATCCTAGCAGTCAGGAGGCTGAGGCAGGCAGATCTCTGAGTTCAAGGCCAGCCTGGTCTACAGAGTGAGTTCCAATATAGCCAAAGCTATGCAGAGAAAACCTGTCTCAAAAACAAAAACAAAAAAACAAACCAAACCAAAACAAAACAACAAAAACATTGAGTTCTAGCTTGCTTGGACTAGAGAATGAATTCAAAGGGAGATTTCACCTCACCAGTACAAAACAGAGTATGGTATATTCTCCCATGTTTTCACAGCAGGTACCTGCTCTGTAACACACACAGTTTTACAGTGATGAAACCAGGGAATGACTACTTGTATTGTTATTTTTAAACTTCAAAATCCATAGTTTATAGCCTATTGCTTTTACATTAGGTATCTTCAGATATGTTTAGAGGGACTGAGAGGCATGTAGAAACATTTGCCTCTCACATCCAAAATTGAGAGTTATTTCTTGCACACCTAACGATGGAAACGGTGAACCTCAAGGCATCAAGCAAATTCTGGTTGTTGTATCTGCTTTGCTAGTTACCTACAGTCTCAGAACATGAACAGTTCAGTTCAGACCCTGGACTACTGTGGAGTGAGTAGCAAGGTTGCCTTGGGTTTTTCAATGAAGGCAGAACTGCTTCAAAGGCAGGCTGTTGAGATGACTACAGTAATTACCACTTGCAGAGTTTCATCACCTTTGATAATGTTTTGCCATGAGGGGACAAAGGTGATTCATTTTAGCCCTTAAATGTCTTCAAGTAGAATTAATGAGTTTACTTTGAGCATAATTATATTAAAAAGAAATTCAGTGTTCTGAAGTCTTGATTGAACCTCTATCTTCCCTGTCTCTTAGGTAAGAACTCAGGGTCCTATCCTCACAGCAAGTGGCAAAAACCCTGTAATGGAGCTCAATGAAAAGAGGAGAGGTCTCAAGTATGAACTCATCTCAGAGACTGGTGGAAGCCATGACAAGCGCTTTGTAATGGAGGTGTGTACCTAGATACATACCCACCTTATTTTTCATCTCACAGACATATTCTTGAACTGACAGTAGAAAGCATTTTAGCTTTTATTATTTTAAGAACACTTTTTGACTTTCAGTATTATGATTGTTCTTAAAATTTTTCATTTTTTAGATTTGTTTATTTTACTTTATGTGTACTAATGTTTTGCTTGCATGTATGTATGTGTATCATTGCTTGTTGAATCCCCTGAAATTGGAGTTACAGATGGTTGTGAGCCACATGTGAGTGCTAAGAATTGAACCCAGGTCCTCTGTAAGAGCATCAAGTGCTCTTAACCATTGAACTATTTCTCCAGCCCTATGATGTCTTGAATTAAAACCACGTACAAGGAGTTGTCTAAGATAACTGTAAAGTGCTGTTTGTAATTTCAGGTAGAAGTAGATGGACAGAAATTTAGAGGTGCAGGTCCAAACAAGAAAGTGGCCAAGGCAAGTGCAGCACTAGCTGCCCTGGAGAAGCTGTTTTCTGGACCCAATGCAGCAAATAATAAGAAAAAGAAGATCATTCCTCAGGTATGAGTGAAGCAACCATTGTAATATTAAGTTAAATTTCCTGCTTATTTGCCATTTTACTGTCTCCTTTAGTCTTATTTTTTTTAAGCCCACATTTGGGAATCAAGATAGGCAGATAGATCCCTGTGAGTTCCAGGTCAGCCTGGTCTACATATGGAGTTCCAAACCAACCAGGGCTACATATTTATCAGTGTCTCTGAATGTATGTCACATGTGTGAGGGTGCCTATGAGCCCAGACGAGAGTGTGAGATCCCTTGAAGCTGCCTGTAGTTGCAGGTGGTCAAGGCAGTGGTGAGGCACCAGAAGTAGATACTGGGAACCAAATTCAGAGCAGTTAGCACTCTTTACCGCTGAGCCATTACCCTACCCCCACCATATTTTTAATTGACATGTAAGGTAAGGGGTTTCATTATGACTTTTCTTTTTTGGTTTTTTGAGACAAGGTTTCTCTGTGTGACCCTTGGCTGTCCTGGAAGTTTCTCTGGCCTTGAACTCAGAGATCCGCCTGCCTCTGCCTCCTGAGTGCTGGGATTAAAGGTGTGCGCCACCACAGCATGGCTTATTATGATATTTTTATACATGTTTGTCATGGTACTTTGTTCTCCCAACCCACTATCCTCTCCCCTGTCCCAATCCCTTCTAACCCAATGCTGGTACTTTTCTCCTCCCAAATGGTCTTATTTTGTACATAATGATCTCTATTTCCATCCATATTTTCTGGAAATAACCATAATTTCATCTTCTTTATAGCTAAATAAAATCTCTCTCTCTCTCTCTCTCTCTCTCTCTCTCTCTCTCTCTCTCTCCTCTCTCTCTCTCTCTCTTCTCTCTTCTCTCTCTCTCTCTCTCTCTCTCTCTCTCTCTCTCTCTCTCTCTCTCTCGTCTTTCTGGTGTGTGTGTGTGTGTGTGTGTGTGTGTGTGTGTGTGTGTGTGTGTTTCTCTGTGTAGCTTTGGTGCTTTTCCTGGAACTAGCTCTGTAGACCAGGCTAGCCTTGAACTCACAGTGATCCACCTGCCTCTGTCTCCCAAGTATTGGGATTAAAGGTGTGCGCCACCACTGCCTGGCTCCTGACTGTCTTATCTGTCATTTGATGGTGGTTTTCTTTGCTGTGTAGTGGAAGCAACCGCCTTTGTTGGTTCTTGAGTTTATCTCCGGTGCTTTTGGAATTCTTTCAGAAAGTCCTTGCCTGTGCCTGGATCTTCACATGTTTTCCCTTAGCACTTTTGTTTTTTTGGTCTGAGTGAGAGACTAGGCCTTAGTTTCCTTCTTCTACATGTAGATATCCTTTGTCTTTGTGGATGAGGTGGTCTTTTTTCCAATATGTGGTGTTTTTTTGTTTTGTTTTGTTTTTGTTTGTTTGTTTGTATTTTTAAAGATTTATTTATTTATTTATTATGTATACAGTGTTCTGTTTGCATGTATCCCTGCAGGCCAGAAGAGAAAGCCAGATCTCATTACAGATGGTTGTAAGCCACCATGTAGCTAGAGTTTTCCTGCCTGGCCCACAGTCAGGACAAATCTCTCTCATCCGCCAGTCCCACAGCTGCTCAGACCCAACCAAGTAAACACAGAGACTTATATTGCTTACAAACTGTATGGCTGTACCAGGCTTCTTGCTAACTGTTCTTACATCTTAAATTAATCCATTTCCATAAATTTATACCTTGCCACGTGGCTCGTGGCTTACCGGCATCTTCACATGCTGTTTGTCATGGTGGCGGCTGGCAGTGTCTCTCTGACTCAGCCTTCCACTTCCCAGAATTATTCTCCTCCTTGTCCTGCCTATACTTCCTCCTGCCTGACTACTGGCCAATCAGTGTTTTATTTACTAACCAATCAGAGCAACACATTTGCCATACAGAACATCCCACAGCACCACCATGTGGGTGCTGGGAATTGAACTCAGGTCCTCTGGAAGAGCAGCTAGTGCTCTTAACCTCTGAGCCATCTCTCCAGCCCCCAATGTGTGTTTTGACACCTTTGTCAAACAATAAGTGGCTGTAGCTGTGTGGACTTATTTCTAGATCTTCTAGTTTACTCCCTTGATCTGTGCTGGTTTGTGCTAGTGCCATGCTGTTGCTGTTATTATGGCTCTGTAGTGTGATTTGAGATGAGCTATTATGATGCTTCCAGTCTTAAAGTTCACTATAGAAATCGTTGGTCTCTCATTAGGTTTATTCCTGGTTATTTTGCTTAGAAGCTGTTATGAATTTGGCAAGTTTGTTACTTTTATATATATATCAAAGTTAATTTTTATATTCTGCCACTTTGTTGAGAGTGTTTATTAGATTTAACTTTCTTGTGTGAAGTCTTTAGGGTCTTCTAAGCATAGGATCTTATCATTTGCAAATGGGATAATTTGACTTCTTTTCTGCCCCCCACTTCTTATCTGATTGCTCTAAGTAGGACTTTGAGCACTATATTAAGTAACAATAGAAAAAATTGACACCCATCTCATTTATGATTTTTTTTTTTCACATTTAGTATAATGTCAGCTATGTCTTTTTTTAAACGTTCATTTATTTGTTGCAGGAGGGAGGCATACATGTCAAGACATGCATGTGAAGTTAGGACAACGTGTAGGAATTGGTTCTGTTCTATACTACGTGTACTTGAGGATAACTCAGTTCATCAGGATCAGTGGCAATTACCCTTACCTGCTAAGCCATTTCATTGGCCCTCTTCTGGAATTTTTTTTTTTAATTTTTTTTTTAATCATGAAGAGATGTTGAACTTTGTCAAAAAGCCTTTTTTTTTGCATCTATTGAGATGATCCTGTGATTTCTGCCCTCAAATTTGCTTATGTGTTACTTAAGCTTTGTGAAATTGTTTATTCTTAATGTCTTGGCAGCTTTCTCTTTGGGATCGGTTATAAGTAATGCACATCAAGACACTACTTCTTTGTTCAGTGGGCTTTTTGGTTTCAGCCCATAATTTTATGGAGAGTGAAATCATTATTGGTACAGTGAGGAATGGAGGTATTTGGGCTTTGCAGTAAGAACATTTGTCCAGTTTAGGTCACTGCATGCCTGCTGGAGCTTACTCACTCCCAGTCTGTAGCTACTCATCCACTTTGTTATCACCCTGCCCTTATGTGTTGTGGTAGTTGTTGTTTATTTGTTTGAGGGGGAGGGGAGACACAGAGAGAGAGAGAGAGAGAGAGAGACAGAGACAGAGACAGAGACAGAGACAGACAGAGAGAGACAGAGACAGAGACAGAGAGAGACTCTCCTCTGTGGGCAGCATAAAACATGACTGTGTTGTCTGTATAGACTACTGCTTTGGGAATGGCAATGCCACTGGAGGCCTAGGATCTTTATAAGGTATTTGGGAAAGATGGCCCCTTAGTTACATGTATTAGCACGAGATTCTTTCATCCTTCCATTTTTGTATCACAAAGACATTTTTTTAAAACATATTTTATGTGTCAATTACATAATTCTGAGGGAAAAGAGATAACGTGAGTAAAATGTAAAACACATTGTCTTATAGTGAGTGCTGGTGGTGACACTAATGTCTGAGTATATATTATGTGATAGAAACAAATACATTAAATGTTTAGACTAATGAAAGGAGCTTAGACAATTTGAACTTCAGTGAAACATATTTAGATTCTTTTACATATGGTAAATCCATTATAGGAGGGTAGAACACCATCACATTTTACAGAGGAAGAAATTAAGAAACTTGTAGGTAGTTACATGATTAATAGATGAAGCTCCCTGTCAAAGGCACTGTGAGAAGAAGGGGGTTAGGGGAGGAAGATTAAAGAAAAGCAAAGTATGTATAAAATGTACATACACTGTACTTTGTTTGCTAATTAAAAGTGGTAATTATATATATATGGCACAGTGCCATAGCCCTTAATCCCAGTACTCGGGAGGCATATGCAGATGGATCTCTTTGAGTTCAAGGCCAGCCTGGTCTACATAGTGAGTTTCAAAACGAACAAACCAAACCCCAAACTTGTCCCTCTTTTCCTTTTAAATGATGAAATAGGAAAAACAACTTTAATTTCCATGTGGATGCATAGAAAAAAAAATCAATCTAAGAAATGTGCTCCAAGGGACAGCAGTACTCTTAGGTTGTACTTGCTATCTAGACAAGAAGGAAAGCCAGAGGGCTGTGGCATAACAGAGTTCCAGGTGTCGGGGAAGTTGCTGCTGCTGCTTTAATTCTGGGCACGGGCTGCCTCCATTTGGTGCTGAGAAAACTGCTGCCTAGGTACTAGTCTCCATTTGCTTCTCAGGATGTTATCAGTCCTGTACTCTGAAATTTAAGATAAACAGAGAGAGAGAGAGAACAACTGAGAAAATGATGGTAGTGATTGCATGTTCCTTCAGTTACCCACTGTTAAATCTTTCTTCTATTTATTTCTTTCATTTAACTTTGCTGTGGGTGGGTGGTTGGATTCTTTGAGACTAGTTCTCACTCTGTAGTTCAGGCCAGTCTTTAATTTACAATCGTTCTGCCTCAGCCTTATAAGTGCTGGGATGGACACTCACCACCATGCTCAGCTCCACTCTCTCTTAGATGTCATCATTTATTTCCTTCATAACTACTTCTAGCTGGTGAGATAATGTAGGGATTGTGGAAGGAAGACTGACAGTGAGAAACTTTCTCTTGCTTTTTCTGAGGATTATAGCAGATGCACATCCAGGCTGATAGGAATAGGGCATTATCAAGCTCTTTTTTCCTATGATGTCAGCCTTAACAATAGTTGTAGTTATGTAAGATTGCTGGCACATGGCAAGTAGCCTTTCCCCAGTGGTAGAGCTCCTCCCAGTTCACCACCATCTAACTCAGTTATAAGATAAGCAGGGCTGGTGTGGTTTCCACAATCCACAGCCATCCTGTATGGTATAGGCTAGGTACCTGTTTTTAAAGAAACCTTTTCTGGTTGAACTATGTAGACTTACAGTGATAACAGTGTTACACATCTGTGGATGATTTTAATCCAGTATTTGGGGAACCCTGTGAGATTTCTTTAGTTTCTGAGTCATATAGAAACAGCTGAACATGTTATGCTGTCTTTGCAGCAGTGCCCCCGCCCCCCCCCCCTTCTTTTCTATACTCAGCAATGCTATATGTTCTTTCATTAGAGCACATACTACTTTCTTTGGTTGTAAGTATTTTTAGGGGTCTCCTGCTTCAAAAAAGAAGAGTAGGTAATTCTACCAGGTAGTAGAAAATGTGTTATCCTTGGTTTGGTATCTAACTTGAAACTGTTATACAGTGGGATTGGCTGCCTAAGTTTTCCAGGGCAGTCTGCTGATGTCTGAGGGAGGGAGGGTGAGGGTGCTCTCCGTATATCCAGCCATGATCCTGATGATGGTCTTAAGATACTTAGGGCCTAATGAGTCTGTAAATAGGTACAAAGTAAAAACAAAAGGCATTTTAATTCATGGTTAGTTAAGATGAGTCTTGTCTCTTGAATTGATATTTGAGGCTGTCTAGTTAGCAGCTGAGTAATTCAGGGGTCAGAGGGACATCTGTTGGTGGTGCCTTTTTTATTCAGGCGTAGCATCTTCTCCACAAACATTCTGAAATGGTAGGTGAGGGCTTCTCAGGTGACACTGACACAATTTCAGGGGTATATTTCATTAGGGTGGGGAAAGCATGATGACAGGAGGAGGAGGAGGAGGTGGCTGACTCATTATGCCCACAGTCAGGAAGCAGAGAGCAGGAATAGATGCCCTTTGAAACCAGGGCTTCTGTGGCAAAAGGCCAGAGACATTTTGTTGCATGTTTCATCCATCTGAACATTTGTTTTATATTCACTTAAATTTGTTTTATCAATTATGATAAACACTATTAGAATTAAGGATTCAGAATATAAGCAGAGAAAAAAACAAAAGTAAAATTAATATTAAGTAAAATCTTTAAATTATAGAGGTATAAATGTACAAAATAAGGTTTTCTCAATTCTTTTAGTAAAAACAGGATCAATTATTTTTCTAGATTATATAGAAAGATTATTGCCACCTTGATCAGTAAATTTTAGTATTTACAAAGCCTACGTTCAGGGTCTGGAGCAATGGCTCAGTGATTAAGAGCACTTGTTCTTGAGGACAACTTGGGTTTTTTTTCCCAGCACCCACTTGGTGGCTCCAGGTCCAGGGGACTTGCCCTCTTTTGACTGCCACAGGTACCAGTCATGCATGTGATGTATACATAGACACAGATGGGCAGAGACGAAGCACTCTCATACACAAAATTAATCTTTAGTCTGGGTTAAAATATTAGTTAGATAATGAAATTAGTGGTAACATAAATTAGATCTGTGTGGAGTCACTCTACAGTCAAATATGATTACTTTGAGCTCAATTGTGTCTTTTTTGAAAAATATCCATTCATTTTTAGAAACCATAAAATTAATGTGTTCAGTGTGCTTGATAGCCAGGAATCAATGTTTTGTGTATGGCTTGGCTAATTTCAGCAAAAAGAGAAATGGCTGTCTATGTCACATCCATTCTATTTTGGAGGTTTTTTATGGCTGCTTAGAGCTAAGGTGTGGTTCTGAAGGAAGCCCCTGGCATTACCTGCTGTGGGCTTCTACCACAGGAGGGATCCAGTAGTTTCTAGCTGATACTTTGTGTGCACCCCCCCACCCTCCTTCTGTCTAGTTTGAGTTTTTATTGCGTTTTTGTACTGAAAAAGAAGCATATAGTATTTTAACACTAGACACAGCTTGATTTTTCTGAAATGTTTCATGTGGGAAAAGGTTATATATTTTAGGAGTCTCGTCATTTTTTTCTTTTAGTGTTGATGTCTGTTTTATACCCACTGCTGCTTCTAATGTAAGAAAAACAAAGTAGGTCTATCATCCTCATTTTATAGTTAATGGTGGAGATTGCCTGAGCGAGATGATGGGATGTCATCAGTGTTCCATGGCATTTGAAGCAGGTGGAGGTTTCAGGTGGTTTTTACTTAATGATTGGTACATGCAAACACAAGCAGAAGGAACAAACTCAAAGAAAGCCTAGGACCTCCTGAAGTGATAAGGGACTGGGACATCTTTGGTCTGCCTGTCTTAGACTGTTCTTTCTTTTTTTTTAAACCCCACTCAGGTTCACAGCTAACTCAAGGTAGTTTATTGCTGGAATATTTTCTACCTCTGGGTGGAAAATTCAGTGTTTTTAAACCAATGTGTCAGGTGTTCCTAATGACTTTGGGTGTAATTTGACCCAAATTTGTGTGTAGAAGGTTTTTCCTGGGTAACCTCCCCCCACCACTGCCCAGTGAGACATAGTCACTCAGTATTTTCCTATGTTCAGCATGTTCTTCAGAATAGCTCATTAAGACGGATGTCATTTCTATTTTGCAGATAGTCCACCGAGGAGTTCTACCTGTAGATGGCTTACTGTCTCACCTGAAGCTCCATAGCAAATGAGAGGCTGACAATTCTTTCAGTGATGAAATTATTATTGTTGTTAATACAGGCAAAGGGTGTTGTGAATACGGCAGTATCTGCAGCAGTTCAGGCAGTTCGGGGCAGAGGAAGAGGAACTCTGACAAGGGGAGCGTTCGTGGGGGCCACAGCAGCTCCTGGCTACATAGCTCCAGGTTAGTGCCACTTGCTAAAGATCAAACGCCTTTTTGATTCCAGGCCTGGAGACCAGCATTTCCTCATTCTCCAAAGTTGTTTGTGGTCTCTGGAAATACTGCACATGTGTAAGAGGAGTGAATGTGTGTGTGTGTGTGTGTGTGTGTGTATCCCCCCCCCCCCAAAAAAAAAAAAAAAAGGATGTGCTGAGTAACTAGAGCCTTTCTGGAGGGAGAAGAGAGATAAGCGTGGATGACTTTGGATGAAGGAACATATTTTGATAGAGGAATCTAAAAGCTATCCTACAAACTATGGTGCTTGGACAGCAGAGCAGGGTATATTCTGTGGTGGATACCACAGTCATGCTTGGTTTACCAGAATTGCTATGGGGCTTCTTAATAGGGGTGTATCCTGGCTAAATTAGCACTTATGAAGTTCAGTATTTGAGAACAGTCAAAGAAATACAACACAAGGTGGCGGGGAGAGGAGAGAGAGAGAGAGAGAGAGAGAGAGAGAGAGAGAGAGAGAGAGAGAGAGAGAGAGAGAGAGAGAGAGAGAGAGAGAGAGAATGTGTGTGTGTGTGTGTGTGTGTGTGTGTGTGTGTATGGCAGGTATTTCCATGTAAGTTACTTCACTTCTTACTCCTCAGTGTTTCCTCGGGTGGAAGTTAGTTTCCAGGCAGGGCAACCAGGTCTGGGTGGAACAAGCAGCGTAGTAAGAACTTTGATGCAGGTGCTAACATTCCCGAAGCTATTGGCCTTTTTAGTTTACCACATGGCTTGAGAGAGATCCAGAAAGCTGCCCACTATCAGCCTTCTGTTCAGATCTGTATGTTGTTTTAACATGTCCAGCTGGTTTGTTAAAGTGACATTCTTTATGATAGTGAAGCAGTGAAAATTTTCACTTGACAAGCCATTTGTATTTGTTGACCAAGATGAAATTTGTATGAATATTATGGCCTGTCTTTTTTTTTTTCTTTTTTCTTTTTTTCTTTTTTTTTTTAAAGGGAACATCCTTAAGAATTCCCTAGAATTGCTTTACTGTGCATGTTGTTGCCATTTGGGAATTTTTATGAATGATGTGGCTTTGGAATTACAAGTTTACTCTGGTTGCATCCCTAGAGGATATGTCTTACGGAGTTCTCTTACTTTGCAACAAACACACCACAGATTTTACTGTTGTTGAGCTTATAGTGTGGAAGGAAAGTAACAAAAGTCAGCAAGTAACAAAACTTAAAACAGATGAGTCTGGGAGGATATGGGCATCTTGTCGTGAGAATGTAACAGAGTATCTCGATCTAGTCTAGTGGGTCCACGAAGGCTTCCCTGAAGAATTGACACTGGAATGGAGTGTGGAGAGTGAGCAGGCTGGGATGGAAGAACAAATTCCATGTGCAGAAACTCAATACTGTTGTAGGCTTTCTGTATAGAGAAATGAGGCTCTTTGCAGGCAGACGTTTGTGTGCTGTCATAGTTTCTGGAAATTTTCCTAAAAGCAGAGAGCCTTGAAAAAAAAAGTGTTTTGTACAGTTTTGGCTTCTTCTCCTATGTGACTTAAATTCTGAATGGGTACTTTAAACTACTGGTTAGTGAGGCTAAAATTGCTAGAATGGGGAGGAAGGGGGAGGTAGGGTAGTTGCTGAAGAGATGTGTTAGAGTTGCATGTTTCTTCTTGGCTCTTGGAGGGCCCTTGGCACAAGTACTAATGATGAGAACTTGATCCTTCGATAAAGCAGAAACACTAAATAATTGGATGGAAAACATGAGTGGTGGGATGTCTTTCTCTGGCCCGCCAGCTCCTACATAATGACATGGAAGCCTTTTCTTATTTGTGAAAGCGCAAGCCTATAGCTTAGGCTTGTTCCTAACTAGCTCTTAGAACTTAACCCATTTCTAGTAATCTACACTCTGCCACGTGGCGTGCAGCTGTTACCTCTCCTCCTGCACATCCTGCTTGCTGTGCCGCCTCTTTCCTTTTCCCTGTGTTCTCTCTCTGCTGTGAAGTCCCACCTGTACCTCCTGCTTAGCTATTGGCTGGTCAGCTTTTTATTACACCAATCACAATGATGCATTTTCACACAGTGTACAAATATCCCATAACAGTGGGAAGAGCTTGGGGTGGGGCGGAATGTGAGTTAAAGTTGATGAGTTACCCAGTCCTGGAGTCCATGGCTTGGATTTTGTTTTAGAATCTTAAGTACAGTGGAAAGTCATCAAGGGTTTCAAGGAGAGATGGGCAAAATTATATGTTATTTGTAAATATTACTCCTTCTATAGGGTAAAGAGTAGACGCAAGGACAGACATGGGCATAATGGCACAAGCTTGAAGGCTGTTGTAGATGTGTGCAATAGACTGTGGGAACCAGTAGATGGAGAGGGTAGATGGGTGGCAAGATGTGAACAGACTACAGGAAGCAACATTGTTCATAGGTGGAGTAAATTAGACTGAATTGTGAAGTTTCGAGAGTACTGCCAAGGTTTTTAGCTTGATGAACTAGGGGAGCAGTTGTGCCATTTCATGGGATGAAGAATACGAAAATAGGAGTGAAAGGAAATGCGGACATGTACTTTGATTCAGTTTGTGTCCAACATTAAGATACCTTTCTGTGAGCCTCACTTTCTTTATTGAAAATTAATAGTCTTAGCCTTATTCAGTAATGGGTATTTATTGAGATAAGTCTGTTTTTTGATGGCATGTTCTTTTGGGTCTCAGTCTGGTAATGTCTGTCATTGCCAGATCTTATGTCATTTGCTTCCTACCCAAGGGGTATGTAGCTGCGTTTAGTACAATGATTGATGCTGAGAGGGATTGTGTGTGTTTCCTGGTTTCCAGCTCTTTTGTCTTAAGCCATTGCTTTGACCTCTATACAAGGCTTGTCTCCTGAAGCTTGTAAAAACAAAACAAACCAGTTGTTTTTTGTGTGTGTGGGCAAGAAAGGGTTAAGGTTAACCTGGATCTTGATGTGTTTCTGTCACTTGTGGAGTGTCTTATGTCCACAGGGATGGCATAGGTGTTTTCACATGTACTTTAACTTCCCTGACCACTGAGCTGCTATGCGGAGCATGGATGCTCAGAGTCTTCATGTAACTCAGCCATCTTGCTAGTTAAAGGTCAGGGTTAGAATCCTGGTGGCCTGATTACTGGCTAACTTAACTAGTTGTAGTTTCAACTCTTTCAATAAAACCTTTGACATTGTAGCTTATGGAACTAGCACTCATTTCCTGGACTACATTTATGAAATATGAAATACAAACTTTTAAAACCATTTATTTTTATTTTGACCTTGGCTACTCTTGCTTTTCCTTATGTTTATCTTAGCTGTGTTGTGTCCTCTTGAAATCTACAGTTAGTGAGTATGGTGACTGTACTGTTCCTGTTTTAACTGCAGAGTGATGTGGCACCTGTCTGGCATGTACTTTAGTGCTTTATAAAAACTGAGCAAAGGGCTTTTGCTCCAGTGAGCACTCAGGGTCAGATGGGGCAGGAATAGACGTTTGATTGAGCATAGTGCATATTGGGAAGCTATAACATCATGGGTTGGACAGTAGAGGGGATATCAGTCCTGGGGAGCTGATATTTGATGCTGGTCTCAAGGATAAATCATTTTGAGCAGCATAAGCATAAGCAGTTCTAGAACAGTTGTGACTTGATATGATAGAAAAAAAATCTAGATTTGAGTAAGGCTTTATATAGCATTCATGTTGTGTTGTGCCTTGAGACAGGATCTCTCTATAGCCCTGGCTGACCTGGAACTTGCGAAGTTATAGAACTTGAACTTACAGAGTTCTATAACCTGTCTCTGCCTTTCAACTCTGAGATTAAAGGTGTGGGCCACTATGCCCAGCCTGCTTTGTTTCTATGTATTTAAAGACAGGATGCCCTGGAACCTTACTGCATGAATCCTAGACCTGCCTCAGCATCTATGGTGCTGGGATTACTAGCGTGCACAAACATGATGGGACTTTGTCATAGTTAGAGACCAATTAAAATATGTCCCCTGGGACTTGGCCAAACCATTGCCTATTTATATGCTTTTGAATTTCTTTTTCCTGAAAGATGAGAAATTACAGTTTTTATTAACGTGGTGTATCTAAACCTTACAGCAACACCATAAAGAAGCTTGGATTTTCCCATTTAAAAGATGGGAGTATGGCAAAATACGTGCTCTTTGCTTAAGGATATGCAAGCAGTTAATGCCAGAATTAACTCTTTCAGAAACAGTTGTGTTCTTAGTAGTACTTTTTGCTTACTACAATCAATTTTTTTTCCCATAGACAAGAGACACTAATGTATCAAGTTACCAACTTTTACAGGGAGACTTTGAGTTGGAGCCTGGCATTCAGATACTGTTAAATTATGGATCTTGTCACTGGGCTCATGACCTGACCCAAACATGCTCTTTTTTTTTTTTTTTAAGATTTATTTATTTATTATGTATACAGTATTCTGTCTGCACATATCCCTGCAGGCCAGAAGAGGGCACTAGATCTCAGAACAGATGGTTGTAAGCCACCATGTGGTTGCTGGGAATTGAATTCAGGACCTCTGGAAGAACAGCCAGTGCTCCTAACCGCTGAGCCATCTCTGTAGCCCCGAAACATGCTCTTTAGTGGCATTTGAGGCTGCAGCATGTTCTGTCACTTTTTTCTGAAAGGAACTATGGAAAGTTCCATGTTTCATCTTTGAGAAATTGGTAATTGCGGTGGTTCTGAGTATTATTTTGGTTAATAAATGTTGTTTGTTCTGCTAGGTTTAGGTGATAGAAAGCTACAATTTGATCTCTGCCACTTTAGTGGAGTATACAGACAAGTAGATAAACTGGAGAACAGTATAGAAGTGCAGATGGCGGGAGTGGGAGAGAGGACAAGGGGAGGAAGAAAAGAAAGGGGGAGAGAGGGGAGAGAGAACAGAAATGAACAGAACAAGGGAGGAGGAGGAGGGGGGGAGGAGGTTAGGGTAAGTTAAGGAGATCTCTGTAGATCACAGTGTGAGGCTTCTGTACCTGAGCAGAGCTAGGAAGTAGCTGGACTACTCTGTAGGGGTGCTGCTGGCCTTCTAGAGTCTGGGGTGCTCCAGTTAGGCCTGGACTGATGGCTCTCTTCTTCTTTGCACCAGGTTATGGAACACCGTATGGTTACAGCACAGCTGCCCCTGCATATGGTATGTACACCTTTTTACTGATTGCTCTTCTTAGCACATCTGTCACAGCAACACAGAACATAGTTTGTGACCAGGGGTTTCCATAAACAAGTCGGAGGATCTCAGATCTACTCATTCTGGTGACCCAACTTAAATTCCCTCAAATGCCACAACCTTGTGGTTCTTGGTTTGGTTGAAGTTGCTCTTCTCTCTGCTTTGCCTGATTGGAGAACTGCTTGTTCTTATTGCCTGTTTCTGACCATATGGAAATTAAATATTCAAAATAATTCTTCTTATAGCAAAACTATACTCCATTCAAAGGCTACTGAAGGGCCACACCAGTTTTTAGCCTGACCACCTGCCAGTTACATGGCCACATTGTTAGTTTCTGTATGGAATTTTATGAATGTGGGTGATTTGAGTCAAGAGAATGAAGCCATCACTTCAAATTTGTACCCATTAGTCTTTGCTATACATTTTGTTTGGGGAATGGATAGGTGTCATTGGTCCCACAGAGAGGATAGGGTTTATTGTCAATGTTAACTGTTTCTTCTCCAGAAGTCAGTAGCTGATGCTAGAAAATCCTAGGCTTGTCCCTTCTTTCCTTTTCAAAATAAAAAAATAGCAGATATATGAATGAACCCTAATGGCCCTTTGGATAACTTTTGAATGAGGTTTATGTGGCAATGGAGGCAGTAGGTTTGGAGTCAGTGATATGCTCTTAGACATCTTTTGTAACTCAGGTGGTGTATGTTACAGAATCAGCCACCATCTACAGGATGCTTGTCAATGAGAGAAGAGAGCAAAAGACTGTGTACGAGTGCGTGCGTGCGTGCGTGCGTGCGTGCGTGCGTGCGTGCGTGCGTGCGTGTGCGTGTGCGTGTGTGTGTGTGTGTGTGTCCACACAGCCCCAAACCAGGCATGCATGCACATGGAAAGCAAAGGTCCTCCATGCATCGCTATTCATGGCATGAATCCTCTACATGAGCTCGGACCTTCACCTTGTGCCTTTTCTCTTCACACATCAGCTTTACCATTTTTGTTTTGATGACAATTATAGGTCCTTAGACATTCAAAGTGTAGAGTTTGAATAGTTTAGCATGGGTCAAACGCATGTAGGAAGTTTTGTTTGGGCAAAGTGCAGATCCTAGACTTAAGTACTTTGCCTGGTTGTTTCTTCTGGTACATTCATATGGCTCAGTCTTCCCCATATACTGAACTACAGCAATCCCAGATACGGGATTTGGGGACTAGTCCAAGAATATGTTTTTACCTACAGTTCTTTCTGAATTCAGACTGTTGGATTCTTTTCAGTTTGACCATTGACGTTTGCCCTTTCTCTATCTTTTGAATGTCCCGAACACCTCATCCTTCCGGAATGGGGTCAGTCGTTAACCCAGACACAGCACATTTGACTTATTTGCTCTGCCTTTGCCTTTTGTGAGCTTTTGCTCTGAGTCTGTGTGTCAGTCACATAATAATACGATGATTATAGTAAAGTGTTGCTAAAGACTTATTCTTTAAAAAAATTGATTTTTAGACTCTTCAGTTACATCCATGTTTTTCCTCAGTCTTTTTAATTTTTCTTTCCTGGTCCATTCTTAACATTCTTCACCCTGTGGCCTCTGAGCCTCAGTAGGCTCCTCTCTTTCATGTGCCATATAACTGACTTCCAAAGCTGGTGTAATTTGATGCCCCATTTTTCACATAAAAGATTGGTTTTTAAATGTTACTGTGATGCAAATCTACTAAAACAATGCTTTATTTTGGCTGTAAGGTAAATATGTCTTTTGGCCTTTGTAAAGCTGTTGCATGTGGGGTTATCTCCCTCTGATCATCTGGTGCTCTTGAATACCTGCTGTTGCTGCTTTGTGATTTCTCCTAGGTTAAACATCAGTATAAAGACAGGGGCAGATTTCAAATCCTTCTTAGTGTGCAGGAGTTTGTGAGGCCACAAGAACGTATTAATTACAAATTAAGAAAACAATATTAATCTTTCCAGATTTGCCATGTCAACATTAGTGGTAGCCCATGAGAAAATAAACAGCTGGTCGGTAGCTCTGGTTGGAGCTGTCTTTCCTGGAAGTTGAGGCCCGCACAGAAAGACTTATATCTTGACATATTTCTCCTTAATATGTCATGTGCCATATGCATTTCCAGAGTCACTTTAGGACAACAGTGTTAATCACCAGCATTGATTTTGATCTTTAGAATTTGTACCTGCTCACTCAGATGTCATTTCTGAGTGTCATTCTGTGATACGGGCATTTTTATAAGATAGAAGAGCAATTGATTTGTGAGGGATTTGTGGGCCTCCTCCAAAATGGTATTTATAAAATGGACTGACTAATCTGGAAATGGTTAATGATAATTATTGTAAGAACTTTTTTAACCTGAAATTTTTATTGGAGTCCTCTCCGTTTCTTTTCTCTGTAGGTTTGCCCAAGAGAATGGTTCTGTTACCCGTTATGAAATTCCCAACATATCCTGTTCCCCACTACTCATTCTTTTAGCAAATGACAGAAGCTCATTCCTATTGAACAACAGTACAGTACAATGCAGAATGTTAGAGAAAAAACCTTTTTATCCTGCTTTCTTTGAACACATACTTGATCAAAATTATTTGTAAAGAACATCTTTCCTACTTTTTGATTTTAACAAATGCAAATTCAGTTCTCTAAAACTTGAAAACAAACAAAAAGAAACCAGTTATGTGAAACGGTACCTCATTCCTGGAAATAATTTATACCAGCCCCTTTGTTGTAGGGAAGTAAGTCTAGCAGCTCAAAGTTGACGTTCTCAGAGAGTATCAGATTATGTCAAGTTAAATTTGTGAAGGATGTATAGAGTCTCAACACTGATCACAAATAAACTGCTTTGTTGTAACACAGAGTACTGCCTGGTTCCTGATGCAGCCACTGAGTCGTAGCTGATTGATGTGCTTGCCCCAGGGCTCTTTAATTTGGGCTGTAGTTATTTTTTTTTTTTCCAAATACAGTAGAAACTTTTCATTTAAACCTTAACTTTGTAAATAATGAAGTGTGTAATTAAAGCCAATAAAATATGGGTTTGAATAATGTTAGTTTATTATTTTTGATATGTTTTGGTATCAGATTTCAAGGAATTGCAAACTAATAATAACTTAGCCCTAGAAACCCATTCACTTGTAAGCAAGCTGCTAAAACAAAGCAGAGATGATTGTTAGTCTGACTCAGTCTACTTACTTTGTAAGCTCTTTGTACTCCAGTTGTACAAGAGCATTCCCATGATAAGGTTACATTCTGTTATCCCAGCATTGCTTTTTAAAATGATGGCAGCACCCAAAGATGGGGAAGGAGGATTGTGATTATTTTAGTTTACGAATTTCCAAGTTAAAAAAAAATAAATTAATCACTCACCCTCTTTTGTTCTTGTGGCCTTCTTCACTCTGTAAGACTCTTTCACTCCTTGACTTTTTCATGAAGATAAGACGATTAGCAGTTTCCTGGGATTCCTTGAAGGGTCTCCTTTCCTCTTCAATGATATCAGAATCTAAAGCAGCAACAGGATCCCCATAAAAACTCGCTCTCCGATTGTCCCAGTTCTTGTTGAGTGCTGCTGTGAAAAGTGACAGGTTTCAGCCATGGGTCAGCATTTACTTTTCAGACACCTGGTTACACTGGTGGAAACTGAGTCAGTAACATTGTGCTGTTCTGTGAAGGGTGCAGACCCAAGTCTTCACTTGCATTCTCACCTTGTTTGGAAAGCTGGTGATGTTACTAGAAGGTAATGGTTTCATTAAGGTATTCACCCCCATTCCGGTAGTCCTCTGCAGACATGTGTAAGTCACCGTGTCTTAAAAATGACTCAGTAGGAAATAACTACTTTTCTGTTCAATTCCTTTTCAAAACCAAGCAGTGCCCATCACTTTAAGTGGTCTTTACTAACTTACATGCCAGGCTCCTTTGGAAGCAAAGGGGAGATGTGCATGGAGGCACAAGTGCAGCATCACTGCTCAGATGTATAGTGCACAATCATTTGTTCTTTTCCTTGACTCTGTGTTTCTACTAGTGGTGGGTGATACTTTAATAAAACCTTGTCACTTGCTGGAAATAGCTTGAACTTGTCCTTCTCATCATGTGTGTTAGTGGCAAGACATAATCGAGCAGGGCCCTCTCAGCTGGGAGTTCTCATGTTCGTTGATTTGTTTTGCTGACCTATGGATGAAACAGAGCCATCACTGAGAAGAAAAAGCATGGCTGCTAGTGTCCAGTTTTTATTAATTAAATATTTATAGTGGTCCTCTGTTTTTGAAACACTATTAATTGGCAGTTGCAGTTGTATTGTTATTTGAAATTGATCATCAAATTTGGACTCTAGGCTGGAATCTCTCTGGAGATTTCTCTTGAGAAAATACTTTTGCAGTCTCTGACTCTGCTTCATAACTCACCCCCTCTCTGATGGAGGAGGGAGCTGTGCTGTTCTCCAACATGATGGCCGTCATTTCAAATGGTTCCTACCAAGTCTTCTCCCTTTCTTCTTAATTTTGTTGTTTGTTGGAAGTTACTAACCATGTTGTAAACCTGCCGAGTTGCTGCAAACTTTTACATTTCTCTGCTTTACTTAAAACAATGGAGCTGTCAACCCTATGTTAGAAGTGGTAACCATGCAAGTTCAGCTGTTTAAATCTGTAATGAATTAAGTGTCCTCCCACCTTTTGCCCTTCCTACCCTTCATTTTGTAATGAAAATTCCACTTACAGCTGAAAGAGCAGAGAAATATAAATGAAGCTCTTAGCTTCGTCCAATTGTGTGAAATTAACATAAAGCTCTGCTTCTCTGCTCTTTTCTCCACTGTAGGTGGTTTTTTCATTGACAGCCCCTATTGCCAGCCTCTGAGCGTCGCACCATTTATTATTCACTTGGGCCCTCAAGATTTCTTCTCTGACTTCTAGAACCATCAGGTTGTCTGGCTTGAATGGCAATTTCTATATCTCGGTCTTAAGAGCAATGTGACCCCTGAGGCTTTCCAGCTTTCAGATCCACCACTCTAACCCTTTTTGAAAACAATGACTGAGAATTTTAAAGAAGAGCAATACTTTGTCCAAAGCCACAATGTCTGTTTTAAAGCTCTCCTTTTGGAAACGTAGCAATATCTAGATGTAATCCTTTTGGTGTAGCTCTGGTCAGGGCGTTTACAAATTAATGTAGAACTTAGAACTTGTGTGTGAACTATGCTATCCTCTGGCACTTTTTAATCATTTGTAGCACATAATTCAGGCACTTACATTTTTGACTGTCCAGCTAGCAGTATTATAATTTATCTGAGACAGGTGTCCTCCCTAAGCCATATCTCTTGGTGGGGGCCGGCACTTCACCAGAGGTATGGCTGGCAACCTGTGTCCCTTAAGGCTGCAGGAGTGCCCCATCTCTTGTGCCCATAATGGTTCCATAGATTTCCAACATACCTCATGCCGATGAGGTTTGGTGCATAGTATGGCGAAGTAAGGGGTTGGGTTTAAGTAGCTCCTGATGTTGTTTGTAATGATCTCAAATTGTTAACCTTGGGAATGAAATACTGATCATGCTTGGATTAGCCTTTTCTTTAAAAAAAAAAAAAATTGGGTGAATGTTTGAAATTCATGCATCAGTCACCATAATTAATTGAAGAGCTGGGAATACCTCGTTAATATATTTTTAAAACTGGTGTTGGACCCTCTGTGTATTTCAGGTTAATACTTTTAAGCAGTTTTCAGCACGTTTATCTCACTTTATTCTCGTTCTCCTCGGACCTCCGTAGCCATATCACTTGTATAAGATAGGCTGAGATATAGTGACTGTAAGCTGTGATCTCAGTTCACAAAGGTAAGCTCTTTTATTTTCTGATTAAAGAAAAAACAATAACCAATTAACACAACTTGCATATATGACAATCATATGATGTATTTGATCTCTTAGGTCTTATGTCACTGCATTAACTTTAAATTTTTATGGTCTAAATGTAAAATAGTAATTTTCAGCATTTGTTTTAATACTCTTGTAAATGCTTTTTATTCAAGAGAAACATTTCACATTCACTGAGTCAAGTGTATGTGGGTAGAAATTTAGGATATAATGTCTATGTAAATTATACATACAGAGGCACTTGTTGGAATATAATAATTCAGTGGTAGGAACACTTTAAGAAGAATTAAAATGAAAGGGCACTCTGTTGGCCAAGGAGCTGGGATATCAGAAGCAGTAACATTGGTAACAGTGCCGTAGGATTCATGTGTGCACTTGCAACACAGGCTGAGGGTATAAGTGCCAATCTCTCAAGAAGAGAACCTTCTCTGACCTGTGTTGCATGCCCCAATACAGCAACAGCAAGAAGCCATTAAAAAAAAAAAAAAAAAGCAATAGAAAAGTTAAAAAAACAAAACTATTAACTGTGGAAAATATGTGTAATTGGTTGAGTTTAGCTAATTATTTGTAGAATCAACTTGAGCAAGACTCAGAAAGGTGATACTGAGTCCACAGAAACCAAATCGACTTAAGGAATCTGTTTTTTCCAGGTTAGGTAGCTAGAATATTTCTCATTGTAGTCAGTCATCAACAGTTCATTTAAATGGTGTGAGGGTTAGGCCAGATACTTTAATAAGGATTTGCTTCCTTTAGTATACCCCATAAATACACCTCATTATAGTAGATGTTCTGTGCTAAAGCTGTATTTATATAGATAGATATATAAAAATAAAATTTATGTTTTACATTTCTTTCTGTAGCAATTTCTATTCATTTCTAGCATTAAGGTTGCTGGGACAACTTTGTACCCATACAGAACCTGCAGTTTATGAGGTTGGCTTCTGTTAAAGGCTGAACAAGGCAGAGCAGTGTAGTGCAGTCCTGTGCCTGCTGATGCCAAGTCCTTTTCTGGGACCCTGAGAAAGAGGCCCTGACCAGTGGGAGCGTCTGAAGTCTGAAAGTTCCCTTGCTGGTGGAATTGGCCTTGCTGTAAATAAATGCCCTACTTTGGGAGATAGTGTATTAACAGTGGCAAAAGTTACTAATTTATTTAGTAGTTTAATTATAAAATAATGAATATTGTAGGCTTTCTAACACCACAAAGTTGATGTTACTTGGAGATTTCTTCAAGTAGCGTATTTCCTCGGCACTTTTGAGGAGCTGAAATCTGCTCTGATTACACTCCTCATGCTCTGTCCAAATGTACAGTCAGAAAGTGGGATGCCCAGCACACACTGCAGCCCTGCTTGGCAGCTGTCTCTGTAGTCCTGCCAAGAACACAGTGGGCAATGTAAACACTGACTGCATTCTTTCAGTGGCAGGTGAGTCTTACCATTATAATAAATCACTTGCTGTAAGTTTCCTGATTCTTACTTTTCACTAATGATTAGAGTGGAGGAGAATAGTCAGCACTAAGGGAAATGCGCTAGAGATGTTTTCTCCCCAAGCTGTCTGGAGCCTGTAAACCAGGGGTATTGTGAGCAAAGTGACATCTGAAGGCAGCCTGCTCCATGAATGGTCTGCCTTTCATTTTTACTCTTTTAATGCCAGTGCCTCAAGTCACCCAGAACCGCAAAGGTACCATGGCATTCGTGCCTGTTCTCTGCAACATCTGATGCCATGCAGTCAAGTGTTCCTTAGTGTTACTAGGAGGCTTGGGAGGGAGGTGGATGGGTGTCAGTGACCTAAGCACAGCAGACCTAAGCACCCGAAGTTAAGATGAGCTTCAACATGGGTGTGTGTGTCTGTAGCACTTAACAGCGCACAGTGCAGCCCTGTTTAAGACTCAGCCCCTTCTCCTGATAGTGTCTTACAGAAAGGCTGTTAGGCAGAGAATTTGTGTAGGATTAGTTGCACAAATAGATATCCTTTCCCATGTCACTGTCATTTCAGTTAGGAGCTAACAGCTTCCACTAATGTTTGAAGCAATGATCTTTGGAAGTTTTTAAAAATAGAACCATAATGTGAATTGGGTTATATAAGCTTTACAGCACAGATAGAGATAAAGGATAGAAGCCATGTGGGAATCTAGGCCAATGGATTTCTGTCACTCCAGCCTATTCCTGTGGAGCTTGGGAATCTGATGAGTTCATATATTCAAAGCTTTTAATGGTACCTGGTACACAGGAAGTACTTGTGAATGCTGACTCTGCTGTTCTGGTTGAGACAGAAGGACAGATGTGAGACTCTGCTGGTTAAGCAGCAGGTGCACGGTCTGCTTAGGAGTGAGTTGGGCTTACTACTTTGTGCTCATAGGCCTGGGCCTTCTCCAGCCCGAGGCCAGACTTGGCAGGACAGGTTTGCTCATATTTCTGCTGCAGCAGTTAAATCACCAGCCAGCTTGCAGCCTATGGTTTGTAGATATTTGTTTGGGATTTACGGGTGCTTAGAGTTTTACAAAGGCTGAACTTAGAACATTTACCTGCTGATTTCAAGTTTTCTACCCACAGTTTAGTAGTAAAGAACCTATAGTGGCCAGAATCTAGTCTCAAAGGCTTGTGGTGTTGGGTTTTAGAGAACAAGTTATTATAAACTTTGGAAAGAAAAGGAGGACCGAGGAAGCACCTAGGATGCTGTTGACTCAGATTCTTCTGTGAGGAGTCCCTGTATCTTGTCTCATGATACATTAGTGGAAAGCATCTGCACTCACACCACATGAGGCCTCCCTTCTATCTGAGACTCTTAGAGCGTTAGTCTATTGTGTTTCTACCTGTTTGTCTACCTATCTGGACACAGTTGGGAAGTTTCTGTTGAATACAAGGACAAATGGGGTGATGGTAAAGTTGCTGCTTCTGAACTACCATGCAAGTACTGGCTCACACATGCTTGCAAAGACCTAAGGAGCCTCAGAAGAAGGGTGAACAGGTTGAGTTCCGCAAGGCTGTTGGTAGGAGGCGAGTTAAGTGGAAACACAAATTGAATTCTGAGGTGCTGAATTTTAGAAAAAACTGTGTGGACAAGGATTACCTTTAAGGAGTAAATTAGACTTGTGTTACTTGGTAAAAGTTACTATGTTTCTCCTTAGCTGAGACTGTGGGTAGGTTCTCATTTGGCCAGCATTGAAGGAAGGCTCTTACACACACACACACACACACACACACACACACACACACACACACACACACACGAACACACACCACCAAACAAAACAACAGCAAAAAACAATTCTACCTAGAACTTTACCATTTGTGCAAGTGGTTCTCTTGCCTTGCAAGGGGGTGGTGTAAAGATTACCGCCACTGCCATGCCCAGGTGGCAGTAGGGTGGACTTAACAACTTCCTCCTCACGGGAGAGGAGTGGTCCACAGTTGTCTCTCTCTGCTGCTGTATGGCCAACAGCAGCACATGGGGTCAGCATTGTTGCAGTTAGGACATTGCTGTCCTTTGTTGGATCTTCTCCTTCCTTGTCCCAAGTCATTCAGTTAATGGCAGTTTTTGTTTAGGACTTAGGCTTGTCCAACATTTTGACATCGTAACATGTCTCCTACAATGTTCATGTGACAACCATATAAAATTCCACAAAAAAATTGACAGGAGAAACTATTTGGGAGGCATGAGTAGTAGAGTTAAGAAGCCAGAACAGGAATGAGGAAGGAACATTGCCAGAATTGGTATTGTGGGTGTATGTGGCACTGGGACATTCTTAATTCTCAGACAGCCTTCCTGGAGGTGCTGTTATTTCTGATGTGGACATGAATCCGATACGGAGGGTTAGGTGCTAGAGACAGGAGAGAGTCCTCTCTGTGTTTGGTACCAGTGCTGCTTTCTGCTCAGCAAGCTGCAAATTATAAGGCAAAGGTGAAGGCTAGCTGGATTCTAGGCCTCCTGTCTTAAGCACATTCCGGAGCAGACAATATATCTTGAAAAACAGGGATTCTTGTTTGGGTTGTTTTTTTGTGGGGGTGATAGATGATCAAAGGATATCTAACAAACGGGGGATGAAGAGAAAGAAGACAATGGGCTGTGCCAACAGAGGAAGCTTTTGTATCTAAAGCTTGTTTTTTGTTTTGTTTTGGTGTTTTGTTTGGATGAAGTATCAAGAGGCTGAGGTACCTGTTTTCATTAGCTCTTCTTTCCGGAACATACTCTCTGCCTGAGAAAGGTGATGGAGCTGGAGGAGGTTTTGACTCAGTGGGTAGAAGGAAGAGGTTTGGGGTAGAAGGTAGAACTACTTAGGTCTAGAAGGGACAGTGATACATCAAAAGACCCATGCTGAGTGCTAAGCACTTGCCAGTTTGGAATGTGAGTCTTCCTTCCACCTTGGGCCAGGGTTCTCTGGCTATATTTGCTTCTCACCTTGCTGCTTGCAGACGACTTCCCAACTTCATTGCCAGTTGCTTAGGGGCAGAGAGAGATAGGAACGGAGTACAGAATCCCACCTTGCCCATGTTCTTGTCATCTTTGACAACTGACAAGGGAAGTATGCTATGCTGCATTCTTGGAGACGAATTGGAAGAATCTTATTTTAACCAAGTTCTAGAGCATCAAAGCATGTGAAGAAGCGTGAGGCCATGGTCTGGGCAGGACTCAGAGCACTGCAGAGCCTTCTTCCATTCTTTGGTCCATTTCTAGCTCCCAGTCCTAGAGGAGGAGTGGTGCAAGGATTATTGTTCTACAGGGACCAAAACGCAGAGGTCTCTACAAACCACCCTGCTTGTTTGTGGTTGAATACTGTGGCTTCTAATTAGTGAGTATTGAGCCACACAGAGGAAATGGCATTTCTTGTGCTGTTTTAAGGGTTAGATTGGCTTTGAATCCTGCAACTGAAGGACCTAAAAGTTTGCTCTTAATGGGAAAGGGCATTAGGTAAAGTGACTTTGCTCAGTTACATAGTGCTTGGTGACAGAGCCCACATGCTCTTGACTGTTCTATGCTCAGCTGGCTCTGTGCCCTCCTTACCACCCTGCTTCCCAAGGCCATTTCACAGGAGTGTCCCTTCCTCTGTCTCTGGTACATTCTACTTCCCTTTATCTAGACTGTGGGACTAGACTGTGTGTGCCTTACAAAATAGAACAAACAAAACCAATCCACCTTTCCTGTCTTAGCTCGTGCTCTCCCTGGTTCCTTTGGAAATGGATTGTGAATCAGCTCTAAGCCAGGATGCCTGGTTTTTGTTAGTTGTACACTGGAATATTATTAGTCTAGTGCTGTTCTCAAAACTGTATGTAATGAAGTGCAAATTTAGTGGATGCTGCTTGGAGAGATCCCAGGCTTTTGGAAATGTGATTTTTTGGGGGGTGGGTGGGTAGGGACGGTGGTTGTCAGATAATGCTGGCCAGTCTGCATGTGCTTAACCAAAGGGTCATCCTCACAGTGGCACTTTCCAGAGCAGTTTAATGCAGGGTTCCACTTTGTAAAATCTCTCATACCATTTGAGGCTACACTAAGAAAAATTATGGATGCCATTCTTTGGGAGGTTAGAACAAAGTATGGAGGGTGCACTTGAGAAACCCAGAAAGGCTAAAGTCACCTGGAAACAAGATCAAAGGACCAATGGGTCAAGACTAGTGAAGGGGTGGCCTTGGGCCAAGCATGGACGCTCTTATCAGTTATTTTAAAGAATTTTACTTGTATGCGGTTCCAGAGAGGTAACGACAGCTATGGGCAGCCAGGTGGGCAGTGTGACATGAAGCTACCACCTGAGGGCAGGTGAAGCTGATTCAGAAAAACACAGGAAGAAGTGAGCACTGTGGTATGGTGATAGCGTATGTTCAAGCTATGAGCTATGTTTGGTGGTGTATGAGGAAGATTGTGAGTTCATGGCCAGCCTAGGCTATGTAATGAGACCCTGCCAAAACAAAACAAAACAAAATAAAACAAAACAAAACAAAACAAAACCAGTTTGGATAGTATAGAAGAAGATGTGCCACAGATGTCCATTTGAACCACCTTTGACAGGACTGGGTGACATTGGGAATAGGTCCTCTTTCTGGAGCTAGATTTGAGGAAGGTGTGCACTGTAACCTTCTACTTGGGCTAGGGTCAGGACATGACAAGGTCTCAGCTTAGGAGAGCTGAGCAAGGACAGAAGACCACTGGCAGGTAGAAGGGAGGCGAACATCAGGAGGTTTGAACAGAATCAGAATTGTCTTCTGTAGTGGGATGACCACAGCTCGCAGCTCTGCACTGCCTCAGAGGGATGCTAACCTTGGGTTCAGGGCTGATGTCTAGCAAGCCCATTTTCAGTTTCACAGACCAACTGTGAATTGACCAACAGCATAGAAGGGCATAGAGCTGAGTCACAATTGCAGTAGCCCTGGTCCAAGTGACCCAGGCCTCTTGATTGGGACAGCATAGAGTAGTGAGGGGAGTCTGGGAGCGTACCTTGACATTGGAGGCCTGTGTGCTGAGAAAGGTGCAGCTCTCTAGGTCTTGTGAATGCCTTGGTATGGGGCCTGGAATGGTTAGATAATAGGTTGGAGGTATTTTTTTTTTTTTTTTTTTTTGGTTTTTCGAGACAGGGTTTCTCTGTGTAGCTTTGCGCCTTTCCTGGAACTCGCTTTGGAGACCAGGCTGGCCTCGAACTCACAGAGATCCGCCTGCCTCTGCCTCCCGAGTGCTGGGATTAAAGGCGTGCGCCACCACCCGCCCGGCAGGTTGGAGGTATTTTTCAGAGCTACTTTGTGAAGAGCCCTGGGTGCTGTGCCCTTTGTGATTACCATTCTTCGATGTGGTGAGAAAATTGTGGAAGTACATCTAGACAGCCAAGAAGCTATAATCAAGGCTGACGAGAAGAGGGAGGAAGAGGCTATGCTTCATCCAGATAAGGATGAAGGGAGTAGCTATAGCAAGCAGAGATGTGGGCCCATCTGACTTGTCTGTTACAGTAAGCAGGGCCTGAGCAGGGCCTGCAGCTGATCTGCATAAGCAGACCATTCCCATCCCATCGGGGACTGGTGCTGCCTCTGAGGTGAAAGGTACTGATAGAGTTCAGAGCCACTGGGCAGATAAGGGCGATCTCCACTGAGGCTGTAGGCAGAAGTATCATCTTGACATGAGGCAGACAGATTGGAAGCCAGCCAGTTGGCATCTGTACCCTTTCATTTTTTTTACAAGGTTGGGCTTGCCAATCACAACTATATACTGGATATTCTCTTTTACTGGGGTCTGTCTTTTGCTTTCATTTAGATTTTTTTTTTTCCTAATTTTTAAGATTTTAACCTATGCAAGGGTTAGTGCTTTTTGGGATTCAGTGTCTGTAGAGTATAGCCTCTAGCCAGTGGGAAGGTTCTTAAGGATGGATGAAGCTATGTGGTTACCGAAGGATTTGCTCTGGGTTTCAGTTGTGTTAGTCTCCATCTAGCCATATCTCCTGTGTTCTTTTCAGTGCTGGAATTTCTTTGGGGGTGGGGGGGAGGAGGTATTCAAATTAGGGCCTTGCAGGTAATAGGCTGCTACTCTACAGTGAGCAGGTCAGGATGGGCTTCTGTAGCTCTGCTGGGGACTAGAACTGGAGGTAGTTGTTTGCAAGCCTTAGGTCAGAGCTTTGGAAGGTATCTGGGACACCAAGCCTAGCCATCTTTGAGTAATAAGAACTCTAAGGCCACACAGATGTCACCTTCCCATCTGTTAAAATGAAAATCTGGGCATTGGTGGGTGTGGCTCTGTCCAATCACACATTACTTACACACTATGCCAGAAGGCAGCCCTAGTCTTAAGATGGTCAAGATTATTTACCCTTTACATCTGTCCTGTGGTAGCACCTGAGCTCTCCTGGGCAAGTACTGAGGATAAGGTAGGTGCAGATCCTGTCAGCAGGAAGTGACAGAGGCATACTGCTGGCCAAAGAGTGTAACGGAAGGGCTCAGGATCTCCTAGAGGAGGGAAGACTGAGTGGGGCAATGCCCAAGGGAGGCAACAGCTGTGGATTTGGACCTAGAGGATGGCATGGTCTGGTAAAGAGGTTGTATCACAGCCACATCTTTTATGTTGCCAAGAGGTACTTGGGTTAGATTGGGACAGGCTGGGTGACAGGCTGAGGGGCATGGACTATGCTCCGGGTGGTGGGCAGTCAACAGATGAGTTTAGGAGGGTAAAGTGGCCACAGATACACTACGTTGAGTAATGTCACTCTGATTATAGTAGACCATGCCTGTAACTACAAATTACACCTTTCCATTTAGTGTGTACTAGACTGTCAAGGGGTGAGGAGCTCTTAGGATTAGGACGAAAAGTGCAGCTGGAGCATTGGAAGGTTTTCTTGCCACGAGGCACATGACAGCACATGACAATTTTATCATTCTTCAGGCTTTTTCTTTCTTGTAAGCCTAAAGATCACCTAACAATGTTTCTTTGGCCTTGATCTGTTTTATATTCAGGCTAGTTTTGGCTTGGGGCCTGTGTGTGTGAGGGTAAAATGATGGACACCAGTCATCCCCTCCACTCCCATCCTCACCCCCTTCAGAACCAATCACAGGGTAAAGAAACTGTATGGAATGCAAACTCCCTTCAGGCCAGGCTTTGCAGTCTTCTAGAGGACAGGTGAATCTTGGGCCTGGAGGGTACTCCTTGGAATCCCTCTTCTCTCTTCCAGGTACGTACTTCAGGGCAGTTTTTAACCCAGTTCCAGCAACAATGGCTTGCTCGCAGTAAGGTTTTGTGATCTGCAGGTGGTATGCCTGGGAGACATGCTGGCTGTCTTGAGCCTTGCTTAGCTCCCTCTAGAGCAGTGGTTCTCAACCTTCCTAATGCTAAGACTCTTTAATACAGTTCCTCATGTTGTAGTGACCCTCAACCATAAAATTATTTTCATTGCTACTTCATAACTGTAATTTTGCTACTGTTATTAGTCAAAATGTAAATAGGTTTTTTTTGGACATAGTTTGTCAAGTTGGTCTCGACTCACAGGTTGAGAACCTTTGCTCTGTAAGGCTGTGCTGCCTGGTCATGTCTCTGAGGCTGATAGAAGGAGCATTCCTTGCATATTTCTAGAGAAGTTTCTAGGTTCATGGAAGAGAAATTGATTTTTGCATGGAGTAGATGGAGACTGGCTCTGTCTTTGGTAAAGAGTGTGTACTCTGTCCATAGCTGATACCAGGAATATCCTTTTATTTGGCAGCTCAGTCCTGTGCTGTGCTCTAGCCTCCTAGGGTGGTTCTTGTCTTCTGGCTGTCAGTAAATGATAGAGCTATGGCTGTTGATCGTGTCCTAGTGGTCAGTTATAAGTTTAATGCCATCACTTTGTTTTCCTACTCTGGGAAATAGATGATGGTTAAAATTAAAAATAAATACATTAAAAAACAACAACAACAACAACAACAACAACAACAAAACTCTGCCCTAACTATTTATTCTGTACTGGGAGCCAGAAAAAAGTTTTCATTCCTTGTCAAGTGGTCAAGGAAATGAATCAAGAGTAAGGACAGCATTAGGAGGTTTAAGGTAGTTAGGAAGACTGCCTTTAAGTTTCTTCCTGTAACTTAGAAAGTTGCATTTCCAGTTTCTGGCTCCTTGCCTTCCTCCGAGTGGTGGATAAGCTCCACGCTTCCTGACTGAGCATACCTTTTTACTCTGGCCAAGGAACTTGGTTCCTGTTGGCATAAACATAAGATTCTGGGTTAGTGAATCAGTAACAAGACACAGGATCTAAGTAAATTTGTTCCCTGGACATAATCATGTCCCAGCTGACCCTCAAGGTAGTGTTGGTATCCATCTATGAAGATGTGGTAAGCCCACATTCCATATGTACTCTGCTGTTACTTGACCCAAGGACTAAAGTGCTGCTACCAGATGCATGCAGTCCCTTCTCTAACATTCATATTTTTGCTCAGGCTAGCCTGGTGCCACTGGGTAGCATCCACTCCTCATAAGACACCTAAATAGGATTTGGAGTGCTGCCCCCCGCTCCCAGCTCACTTAACATGGCAGCTTTCCAGTGACAGGCCACACCATGGTGGTGTAGAGGTGCTTAACTGTCCATATTCCTGTTCCTGGAAAGCACACTCAGTTGTAGAAACTGCCAGGTGGGGCAGAGCATCCTCACAGCCTATCCAAGGCACTTGCTCTGCATCCCAGGAATTGGGGGTAGTACTGACCTCAAGAAGCACACCAAGGCCCTGGCAAATACTTTGCTGGTCTAGGAAGAGAAAACCTGTCTATTGCAGAGTTACAGGTGGCATTTTTTTCTCCAGGCTTAGCTTACTCCGGTCTGATGTTGGTCAAGTTAGTGCTTAGGAGTCTGTTTAAAATACCCATTTGTATTTACTGTTTTCCCCAAGTACACAGTGTAAATAGTATAATTTGCAGTGCAAAGTCTTTGGCAATAACTTCAAGATGTATACTATGTTAAACATTGGAAACACAAGCACCATGGACTGCCCCATGCCTTCTGGGCCTGTGGTGACATGTAGACTCTGGACTTTACAAGTATCAGCGTGGTTGAAGCAGCAGCCTGCATGTGTGGACTATCATCAGTGCCTCGCCCAGAGATGCCCGGCCTTCATCCAAAGGGACCCTGCTGCTCCGAGCCCTGCAAGCAGCACCTACACTGTGGCTCCTTTGTGTTGAATATGTTGGACTCTGCTATAGATAGACCCCTTTGTCTGGCTGCCGCGGTTTGTAATGCCTTGACATGTTGCATTTCTTTCCCATTTGGATGAATAAAAATAAATGCTATGTGTAAAATAGGAATGGCCTGAACTATTCTGTGCAGGACTCAGTCTGCTGAAACTTAAAGTTCCAGTGCCAGCTGCAGAGATGGCTCAGTGGTTAAAAAGAGCTCACTGTTTTTTTCAGAGGGTCTGGGTTCAGTTCCCAGCACCCACCAAAAGCTGCCTGTAATTCCAACTCCAGTGGATCCATTGCCCTCTTCTGGCCTCTGTGGGCACCTGCACATACATACATACCCAAACACAGAGACATATCAATAAAACTGAACAAACTACAAGCCCCACTCCCTTTCTTGGCCTGTAAGGCAAACTTGTTCATCTCCGAGGTTTTTTACTTCACACGGAGGGATTCATTTTGTATGTGTGTCCTGAGATAGCCAGTGATTTGGGCTGTGGGCCCAGGGCCTGTATAGTCTGTTGCCACGTTAAACTTCCAGTTGGTGCTGAGTAAGTATATCATATTGCATCAGCGTGCAGTCTAAACCTTTTTACATCCCTTACAACTGTCCCATGGGTTGGCAAGACTTGGGCATTACCAGAAACGGAGGAGTAGAACTTCAACAGGGCAGCAGCAAGCAGTTTGACTTCAAAGGTGGTGAAGCTCTTCCTCTGGCAGCCATTTGTGGGAAACCTGCTGGAGACAACTGTGACCCCTGGCCCACCAGTTAGGTAAGTAGACAGTGGCACTGGATGTTGTGTCTTGAAGCACCTTATAACTTAGGGCCCCATGTTCTCTCTGCACATCATCAGCTTGGACTTGGCAGCCTGTTTCTACTGCAACTGCATTCTCTGGGCCTGAGGGTGCAGACCTTCCTGTAATGGGCACAGGGCTCAGCCCACAGCAAAAGGTTATTAGGGAACCAGGAAGGGAAGGAGTAGAGGAGGAAGAAGGTGTGACTCGAGTCAAGAGCCTCCGGCAGTGGGTAGCTTCTCAGCAATCCCCATGAGGCAGGTAGAGAAAGGTTGAGTGGGTACGCGTTCAGGGCTGTACTTCATGGTCCCTAATTTCCATGTAAAGGGCATCTAGTGAAGAGACCACCTGGGCAGCAGGCAGGCCTGATGGATCTCCTCCCCACTGCTGGGAGTTAGAACTACAGGGTAACATTCCAGGTGTGTGGCCTTGTCACCTATAAAATAGGAGGGTAGAGAGCCTAGTGCTTATGTCCTTTATTCTTTGAGCCTGCACCCAGTCATTTTGTATGATTTTAATCCTGTCTGCTCTAGCTCATGCCCTGACCCCTCCCCTCAGTGATTCTTAGAAGATCAGTGTTTTAGCATATGGCACTCTGAGTAGTGAGGAGACTCTCTTACCACAACACCCCTTCACAGAGGCTCTGGTTTTTGTTGCTTTTGGGTCATTTATACCTGGGCATGGTGGTGTTCTGGGCTTAGTTGGGGTTTGTGTGGATTCTCCTTTTCCTACACTGTTCTTCTCTAACTTGGCTTAGCACTTTAGAGCTCTTGCTGACAAGGGGCTGACCTGCTCCAAGATGTCTGTCCTTCAGGCTGCAGATTGTATTTCTTACTACCCTTGAGCAAAGAGAGCAAGCTGCCTTCCAGCTCTTAACTGTTTGACCTGTTCATTCCCTTGAGTGCCTGCCACCCCTGCCCACATTGTGTCCTAGCCATCTTAACTGTTTGCCTATTTTGTCTGCCTCCTCCTGCCCTTGCTACACCCCCAGTAACCCCGACTGCAACACTCCTTTTCTGGATCTGCCTCATCAACAGCTTAACAACACTGCTTCCTATCTCACTAACAGACCTTCACTTGAGACACCTGTCCCACTCTTGCCCATCATGTGGCTGTTCATAGACCCCTGTCTGGGTCTAGTGCTTGCTTGTGTACTCTGCACATTCCCTGAATGTGCCTGTGCTCCCCTATCCCTGGTCAGGTTACAAGAGTGTGTGCTGAACACTACCACACAGGACAGCATCAGTAGACAAAGCTGTCAACAGTGTTGAACTTGAGAAGCTTTGTGCTACTAGATGACTCACTCCTTAGCCAATGTACATTCCAGACATCTCCAGCCTTCTGTCCAAGGCCATCTAGGACCCAAACACTGAAAGCCAAATTTATCTTCCTAGTGTTTGTGTCATGAAGTGTCACTGACTCCTTTTCTTGTTCTCTTTCTAGTTTGTCACCCCTGCTCACACCCTACTTTCTTTTTCCATTTTTTTTTTAAGCCCCCTAAAGGATCAGTAGGAAACTTCCCCAAATGCAAACTGCCTTTAATATCTCCAGTAGTTCCCCCACCACTTTGAGGCTCCTTTGCCTGGACCTCCACCTGACTTAGATTACTGCTTTCTCTCCTTCCTATACCTTGATCCCCTGCTTCTACACAGCAAATCCCTATCTGTCGCTGCAGAGTTGTTTCCCTGCCTTGTTTGTCTCCTTTGCAGACCCTTCAGCGGTCCAGCAACATGTCCCACACCTCTAAGGTATTTCCCCAATTCAAGATCCTTATCAGTTAGGCCCATACACTAAGGCTGATTGGTGTATGGGGGGTGGTGGGGGTGGTGGTGTTCCTTTCTCAGATGGTGTAGCTTTAAGATGGAGATTTCTGCCAAGATACACTCCTGAATATGGGACCCTTGAGCCTGGAAAAGTATGAGGCTAGCTAGCTAGCAAGCAAATGTGGACTCCAGAAGTATGTCCTCCACCCTGTAAACATTGAAAGGGTCTCGACTATGCTCTGGAGCCACCATCCAGGCCTCTCCAAGACCACCTATCACAGGCTGGGCCTAAGGATCAGCCGTTATGTAGGCAAGCCAGGCAGAGACCACTCTGAGACAGTTTATGGTGGTTCTGGAGGTTTGGGCAAGCGGGGGAGTGGGGAGCATGGTTAGAAAAGTAACACTGACATTCAGAGAAGTGAGGATAAAGAATGCTAATAGAGGTCCTGGCTACCTACATCCCTAGGATGTAAACATGTTGAAAGGACCAGCCAGAGAGGGTAAGGAATCTCAGTTGAAGACATTGTCACTGCTTTTCCTATTGCTGAGCAAGTATCCCAGGGCCCGGGTGCTCTGCTCTTCAGTTCCTTCCCTTGCTGTTTCTTCTCCCATCTCCAACTGGTGAGATGATTTATCTTTCCAAACATAATTCTACTTTCTTCCTTAGATTTTAAGCACTGGGGTATCTCACTTGTCAACCACAGCACTGTACTTCTCAGGGAGGGCCACCTTGTACCTGTGTGTTCTTCCCCCATGTGGTTGGCACATTTCAGCTCTGCCTGATGTGCACATGTGACAGCACATGCGGTCCTGACTGCTGTTGGAGCATGGGAAAGGAACACGCAATAAAACAGCTTTGTACAAAGCAATGCTGTTTGTACCAAAATATTTAATGAATATGCTGTTAAACAAAAGAAATAGTAATACAATTTTACTGGTTTATATTTCAGTTCATAAAGTTGACGCACAAACTACCCTAGCACAATGTCCACACACCTAGTTTTAGATGGGCCTACAGCTGTTGTGGTAACTGAACAACACAGACACAGGAGTTGGTGGGGGATGGTCTGGGGGAGGGCTGGCCACTTGTTTTCTCCCCACTGTAGATGACCTCATCAAGCATTAGTAAAACCAACAGGGAAAGAAAGCGACTCAAGTGTCCTTATATACAAATCCACGCCACCTCCACACAGCAGAAAGGACGAACCCTGTGAAACTGCTTGTCAGCATATCACCACATAAATTAAGTCAAAAGGTTTGTTTTTTTAGTTTTTAAAAAAGGTGCTAAAACCACCATCTCATAACTTTGAAGTGAGACTCCGCAGCCCATCTGACCAGTTAGATAGATCCACACCTGCAGCTCTGGGAGAGACAGGCCAGGAAGGTAGGGACCATACAGTGTGTGTACTCTTATGTATTTGGACACATAGCTCAGTCTTCCTCACTTGTGCAAACATTAGAGGTGAAGGAGCTCTTGCCAGCTTCCACAGTGGCAGGAAGAACAGGAAGTGCCTCATAACCACAGACGGCAGTGGTACAGATTATCGGCTGAGTCTGGGATTTAAACACTGTCAGTGCAGGGTACTAGGAAAGGTATTTATATATATATTTATATATATATTTATACACACACACATATATATGTACACATGACACATTAAACAAAGTAAGAGCTGTCCACATCATGATTGATTCAGTCTCACAGTCATGTGGCCCATTCCAGCCTTTTGAAGCCATTTTGGCAGCTAATGCTTCAAAAAAGAAAAAAAAGAAGGAGGAGAAAAAAAAAAAAAAAAAAGGACAGGACTATGAGAGTTGCATAGGATTGCTCAGAAATGTGAATAATGCCAAATCAAAACCTGTGCACTGTACTGGTTAACAAAATTAGGTGACTTGAGCCATACTACGAGACTCCTATACTCAAAAGTGCTTCTCATCTCTCTGGGGGCTTCTGCCGGCACTGAACCCCTGCCCCCAGCCTAAAGGATAAAGTGTGTGTGTATTTTTTTTCTTTTAATAAAGGGTTTAGAAAATAAAACAAAAACTAACACATTGGAGGATGGATGCCTTACTGGGCGAGGTGCTCCTACACGTCAGAGGCCTGGACAGCACTAAGAGGCAGGTGCATGTCCAGAACATCAGTTAGGTTGGCAGCCTGCTGTAGGAGCCCTGGCCCACTGACCTACCAACATGCTAGACAGCTCTGACCCAGGTACATTCTGGTCCTGGAACATGTCACAGAATCACACATCTGGCCAAAGAAGGCAACCAAAGGTGGTGTGTTTTCTGGAGGTGTCTGGAGGCAGCAGCTGTTCTCAGCATGTCTCTTTTCCTTGAACTCCAGTTGCTGTCTTTATGGAGCTCAGTGTGCGGTTAAACCAGGTCTTCTTGGCTGCTTGCACCTCACTGAGGGCAAGGCCCAAGTGGTGTTCCAAGTCCTACAGAGAGAGCAGTGAGTGTGAGCCTCTGCACAGCTGAACAAGAGCTCCATCCATTCATTCTCCTGAGGCAGGGTTACAGTGCCTATGGATCTGGGAGCTTTCCTAGTAAAGCCCTTTCTTGCCTAGT